CAGCTATTAAAAAATTCTCGATTAATCATGATTAATCATTCTGATTTTCAGCGATTACGATTAATCGATTTTCGTTTCAATATCGCGATGAAATCTGATTTTATCGCTGATTTTTCAACATAATTCGATTTATTGCGATTTTACACTCATTTTTCTAAAAATCACCAAAATCGCGGCAATTTTCACTGCATGGGGCTTTACATATGACCGTAGCCTGGGAAATGTCCAATCAGTTGCAATAATTAGCTAATTAATCTGAGGGAAACTTTAAATCATGAAATTTTTCGATAGTGTTCAGTTCTGACAAAAATCTTTCTTTTTGCTATATGTCAAAATACAAGGTTCGAATTTTCGAAAGAGCAATAATGCTCTCACCAGAAACTGAACAGAATTGTCGTGAGTCTCTGGCAAGAAAATGCTAATCTCCATAATTGAAATTTGTTGTGCTTTTTCGACAGCTAGTTAGAATCTAACTCAGCAGATAAGGTAGATTTCATTGAAGCGTGAAAAATATAAAAATATAACTCCCTTTTGGGCCTTCTGTCTAGAGCCATAGGCATTTTACTTCTATTCCAGCCTGTCGCATAGTAAATACCAACAAATCGAATGATGATATTTCGAGCTGAGATCTTGCTCACGAACAGATCTATCTTTGAATAAAATATCTCAACGATTTCAGCTCGAAAAATGTTTTCTTGTCGAGCTATCAAAGTCCCAAAATCATTCTTATCCGGGGAAAGATGCTAGAATTTTTCTTTTTAGAACTTTGATGTAGCAAAAAAGAAACATTTTTTGAGCTGAAATTTTTAGAAAATTTTATTCATAGATAGACCTGTTTGTGGGTAAAATCTCAGCTGGAAGTACAGTCATTCGATGTTTGGTGTACAGCATACCGTAAACTAACATTGCAGTAAAACATCAATAATTCTAGACAGAAGATCTAAGGAGATTTATTCAGTTGAAAGTTTTTCATATCTCAATCTCAATAGGATTTGATCAATTGAAAATGTTTCTTCATAAGTGTTTATGTCTTTCAAAGATTCTATAGTACTAGTTGATGTTTATTCGGTTCATTATGATCATGAACTTTGGGGCCCTGACGATCCATACGTCTTCTTGCCTGAACGACATGAAAAAAAACGTCATCCAATGGCTTATCTACCGTTTGGAGCCGGTCCACGTCATTGTGTTGGTATGCGTTTTGCATTGATTGAAATGAAGATTCTGTTGACAAGAATGCTTCGCGAATATTCCGTTCTACCTGGTAACCATTTCGAAAGTAATTTCCATATTTATGACCAGACAGTTATTGCACCGGAAGAAGTTTGGATCAAACTAGTGAGAAGAAGTGTGTAAATTCTTACGTTTTGACTTTACAGTTTGGTTGAAATACAGAAATGCCTTTTATACATATAGGCTTTCATATTGTTTTAAATAAAGGAATATTATAATCATATAAAATAGTACTTTGTAATTATTTCGTTTGAATTTTAGTTGGTTAAACTAGATCAATGGTTCTACTTTCATTTATTATTTAGTTATGTTTAAATTGTCTGATATATAAACTCTTTCTCAACATGTCTAGACTTTCTTGCAATAATGTTCAGATCTATATCAGTCGAGTATTAGCACGAACATGACACAGGTTTCTGTCCAGCTACGGACTCCATCAGGTAGCTGCATAATGGATATGTATAAATGAAAATGAAATATGGATGGAATGTCTTAGTCAATACTTTAGTGATGGCCATGCCTGTTCGAATGGACAATAGTGGATAGATAAATGTCGATAATATATTTGAAAAAGAAGATAAGCTGTTTTATCAAAAAATAATGAACGACGATGGAAACAATTTGCTAGAATAGTTTGATGAAAAGATGAGGAGTCAGCGAAGCACGGTTCAACTTAAGACAGATCTCGATTCAAATGTTGGAGTTGATATTATATTTGTTTCAATTGCTCTTTCTGTATGAGTTGTTCATTGTTTCACTTTTGTTGCTTTTTGTCTTGCATTTTTAGTACTTTTTCAGTTTATGGCAATAGTTCGACATCATCTTTCATCGGATCGAGCCCTTTCATTTCAGCATGATCTTTCAGCTAGTTGATTCCAACCGAAATGCTCTTCATAGTCATCATCGGATGATCTTTCACAAAAAGGAATAGTTTTACTAGTAATAATCATTTGTGACGTGATTCAAAACTGACTTACATTCTATTAATTGAAATTTGTTTCGGCGGAAAATAGTCTTGTGCGATGAAGGCGAACAAAAGAATAAATATCTCAAATAAGAAATAGACAAAATATTCTGTATATTGAGGTCAAAGTATCGAATCATGAAGAGTATGGCTAGTTGCACCCTTTTCGAAGAGACTGATCACATATTTCTATATTACTTGGCATATATGAAATCGGATCATTAAAATGATTGGTAATATTCAATCAAGATATATATGTATCATAGGAAAAAAAAGCTGCTTTTGGAATGAAATAGGTACATGTGTACATAGAGAAGCAACTACGATACACTTGATTCTCGTCAATATAATTGATTCTGTAGCTCGATTGACGTTTCTAAGTTATGATGAATCGAGTCGATTTAGCAAACAAATGAACATATTCGACATCAAAAGCAGCGCACCGTTCACCATGCATTGAAATCGTTCGTTCTATTTGGATCGAGAGAGAAAGAAAAACAAAGTTATCGGCGTCGTTAAAACTTCCCAGCATTATTATTCTTCTGCTTTTGTATTTGTCTTGTATAGAATGTAACAGTATGAGTCTTGCTGTTCAACAAGCATAAAGGATTTAAGTATGGATGTAAGAATGAGGGTCAATCGAAAACAGGCGGATCTATCTGTTGAAGAAAAGACAAATTCAATCGAATAGTTTTAATTCTTGATTCTCAGCAATCGATGTCTTGTAATAAAGTGATAAATTGATGTTCTTTTGTATAACTAATAAATAAAGATAAATGCAGTGTTAATTCGTTGATGTATTTCGTGTTATTTATTAAAATATAAACATTCATCAGTGTTTCGCATTACATTGTTTAAACATAGCAAGCAAAATTAAACGAAACGTAAAGAAAAACGAAAATTGAAAGCAAAACTTAAAACAAAATTAAGAACAATGACTGTTTTTAAAGGAAGAAAGAGAAAAAGCGTTAGATTTTGACAAAAAAAAGAGATTCATTCATGAGCACAAGCCAAAAAATCAATCATTCCATGAATTGATATCCAATTTTTATGCTATGTACGTTTCGAAAGCTTAATTAGACTATTATTAATAATTCTATCAGTTTTTGAACATAAAGTATTTAAACGAAATTAAGACGTGAATCATATTCTCCATGTAGATAGCATTCCACTCATCAATGTTAATGTTAAATGTATGCATTTAGTAAAATAACTGAATCAAGTGAATCTTGTTTCAATTAAGTCACTAATGATAGACATCTTGACTAAAAAAATTTAAATGTTTCACATGGATTTATATATACATATGACCACTAAAACTGAACTTTTTTGACTGATTAATATTAAATATTAATTATAATTCATTTAATAAAAATATTTTGCATTCATCGATTTTATATGTTCGCGTTAAATAACATATTTGGTAAACTATTCAATTATTAAGATCTCAATTAAGTTTTTAAATTGTTTATAATAAGCCTATACTATATTGAAATGGTTAATCATAATGCATTATTACATAGACGCCACGCATTAATAACAGGATAAATTTTAAATGAAAATTAGTTGGGTAGGTGATAACAACAAAGAGTTACATTATAATAAATTAATCAACAACATATGATAAGATAAAATTTTATCGTTAAATTATATCCAATGATGTCATATCGGCATTGTACGATTGTATCACATGACGATATTGATCGTTACTAACATCAGTAGTGATGATATGGAAGGTGTTCATTGAATAATTTTTCATTTTATCATTGACTCTTTTCAGAGCATTTATTAAAATTCGAACGATTATTCATTTGCTTAGTTTTGACGTTAATAGTTGAATCAAGCACAAATATTGGTTTAACCCTTTCAGAACGGATGATTCATATATGCATTTTTCATTCCGAAACAATTCTGAACTATTGATGTGTACTACTTATCAATGATCTAACTGACATTGCTCTATGGTTTGATACGAAAGGCATGCATATGTACTGTGCTGGTCTTTGAAAGATCCATAGCGCTGATTAGAACTGAAAATAAATTCACATTAACGAATTGCGTCTTTCATTATTTTTCTTCGAAAAAAAGAATCTCATTCTGAAAGGGCTAATATCGAAGTATATCCTGTTCAATGCACAAAAATGAGTGTCCTTATATTGGTGTAGGTGTTGATCTTTTCTTCGCCGAAACGCACACTCTAGCTATGATGTATGTGTGTTCCATGATACACATTGATATTGAGCAAGGCATTGACAACTTGTCAAAAACCATAAAGATAGAAAACTAGAATATCTTGCATGATTTGTTTCTTAGTTGTTTTTCTTTCCATAGATCACATCATATAGTTGAACAGTTGATAATAGAAACTGTTAGAAAAATCATCATAGAAACCGTCAGTAACTTGTTCCTATCTGCCGCCCCTTTCGAAATTTCTTAGATCCACTTCTATGCGTGATATCACGCATATCAATATCGTACCAGTAGACATGACAGAGTTTGTGATTGTATTTGAAACCGAACTGACGCGACATCATTTTTAAAACAGTTCAAACCTATTTGAAAACACTATTTGATTCACACACACATTTTAAAATTGTTATTACTTATATGCAGATGGCGCTATTTCATCATACTATATAAAAATCGATTAGGAGGCGAAATGTAACAAACGTTATTCGAAATAATTATTGACGAATGAGAATAATCTAGTTCATTCGATTTGCCCACGCGAATACAATCGTAATCATCTTTATTGCTTTAGTTTGATTTCAAATATGACTTCATTAAAATTACAATTAAATAAACTTGCTGATGCTCATACACAATGGCAATTAACTGATAGTGAAAGTCGTAAACGAGCATCATTTCTTTATGATCCAAAAGTTGCTTCAACACTTGATCGAGAAACAATTTATTGTCTTGGTAAAGAAAATTTTATAATTATTTTCATTATCTTTGTTTCTTATTTGTTTTATTCGTTAAAGGTACAAATGGTTTTGAAGAACTTTGTTTACTTGATTCTGGTTTTGAAGAATTCGAACGTGTACTTTTCAGTGATACAAGTCTAACATTTGAACGTAGTATTCAAACTAAAGAAATCAATGATTCACTAAATCAAACTATTCGACGATTTCTTATTCGTCTTTCACCTTATTTTCTCTTGAGTCCAGCTCATAAAGCACTTGAGTGGCTTATACATCGGTAATCAAAAAAACAAAAAGAATTTTTGTTTTTTTTTAAAAAGTAAATTCTCATTTTAAGATTTTTCATTCATTTTTACAATGTCGATGATTTAATGCGATGCATATTACCCTATCATGAGCATAATTATTTCACACGTGCTATTCAAATGTTTCGTTTCAATGATAAGCATAGTACTTGGTCTTGGCTTGAATCTGCTCAAGTAAAATTTTCAATAAAAATAACTAATTATTTATTTTATTAAATTTTAGAAAGCTGGAACAACAATTTCTGGTCTTGTTATGGCTAATCGGTGTGCAACTGATTTAGGATTTTTAAATTTTATTTGTGAATCCACTACAATGGCAGTTCAAGTAAAAACAAAAATAGATATTTTTATTTTAATCTAAAAAGATTTCTTTTGTTAACATTTAGGAATTTGGTTCAAATAATTCATCATTACGTGTAATAATAAATTTTTATCTTAAAACATTATGTTCAACTATATTACATTCATTATCACATAAGAAAAAAAAGAAAAAGAAAAATTCAAATGAAGAAAATTTTATTGCTCAATTCATGCCTTATTTACTTAAAGGTCTTAAATCAAAATGTCTTGATTATAAACGAGCAACATATTTAATTCTTTCAAATTTATCAAATATATTTACATTTCAAATCAATATTAAAGATGAAATACTTAATGTTCTTTCTAAAGTAAGACGACAATCGTTTTGTATAATATAAAATATAATCAATATTTTACATAAAACGAAAAATTTTTAAATATATCTTCTTCCTAAAAGAAAAGTATAGATTAAATTAATACTCATGAAAGAACCACTCGAATCATTACCTAATATTCTGAACATCTTTTCATAAGAAAAGAATATTCGTTTGTCGACATATAGAGTTTACTTGAAAATTAAATATCTTGACAGAAGATGATTTTTTGCAGCTAAAACTTTCCAGATACTCTATAGATCACAAGAACAATTTATGGATAAAATTTCATGTCGAAATTCTGTTATTTGGAGTAGACCTAAAACTGGATGAAAAATTCAATTAAATAAGATTAATTTGATCATATAGGTTCAATCTATTTACGATGGACCTACCCAGATGATACCTCGTATTTAAAATGAGACTTCAATCATTTTCTAGGGTTTGTTGAGACTAGAATGATTTCTCCCTATGAGCTGCCCTTCCAAAGTTATGACTGTTTCCCTGGAATTTTGATCTGAAACATTAGTCAATCAGAGCGATTCATTCTTGAGATAGCAAAATCGCCGTAAAGTCATTATTCCCTACAAAAAAAAAAAGAATAGACAATCTAGCTGTTTGAAAGATTCAATATCTCAAGAAGGAATCGCACTCTTTTTTTGACTCAATCTAGTATAACGGTCATAATTCTTGAAGAGCAATGTATGGGCAAGAATTGTTCTAGTCTCAATAGAACTTCCCTAATGAACGATATCTCATCTCAAACGCAGGATTCCATTCAGGTTGGTTCCCTTGTTAATGAATCCGTCAGCTAAAGCAAAGCATTGATTAATATACTGTTAAAATGTTTACATAGAAAACTATCTTTTACTAATTATAGAAAATTTCATCAGTGACTATTGTAGCTATGAAAGTGATTTATCTCTCTTCGCTTACAATTCGAACCAATTATTGCTTATTTAAAAAGTATTAATCTTATAGATAGTTAGTCTAGTCTCCGTTGAGTAGTAGGAAAGTTCTTGAATATTGTGTCACACTTTCAACTGATCCCGAATGAATTTTGAAGAAAATTTTTCATATGTATTGATTTAATACTTTTAAAATTAGGGTTTTTCTGATGATTTAATCAAAGAAAATCTCTTAATCGTCTCAGTGTTTCTTAACAATCAACATCATCAATTAATACCTGATAGGTTTGTTGAAAAATTTTTTGTATTGAAAAAGAAAAATCTTTTTATTTTTTTAAAGATGTTTTCTTAAATTATGTCAAATGTCAAATATAATTGATGAAATATTTCAATTATCAAATGATGTTCGAATAGACAATTTTCTTTGTGGATGGTTTGAACAATTACTTAATCATATTTTAAAAGATAATAATCAAATGGAAATCGATAATGAAGAAAATTTTTCAATATTACTTGAAAAAACATTAAATACAATTAAATTTAATTCAAATATTTTACAATTTATTATTAATTGTTTTATAAAACAATTTAATAATAATAATAATAAATATTTAGTTTCATTAGCATCGATTATTGAACGAAAGTAAATTTTCCTAAAAGAAAAAAACAAAAACTAAATTATTAAAACGAGTTGTTTTTTTGTTTAAAGATATCCAATTGATTTTGATGATAATATTCGACAACAAGCAGAAGATTGTTCGAATAATGAAGAACGAAAGCGTGTAAGAGAATTTGCATCAATGACAGCAATTGGATTTAAACATCAAGTAAGAAAATATGTCAATGTACCGATTACTTAATTTTTTTTTTTTTTTGTTAGCCTTTATCTGATCGTAGTTCACTTGCTATTTGTCTTAATCATCCACAAGCACAATTACGTATTGAGGCTTTACAACGAATTCGTGAAGGAATTATAGCTAAACAAGTATTTTATTTTTTATTAATAAATTGTATTATTTTATTTGTTTTTGTTAATTTAGAATATTGAAAAAGAATTTTTAATTGATGTTCTTATATCACGTTTAAATGATAATGAAACTAAAGTTGTTAATGAAGCAATTCTTCTTTTAGAACAATTACATTTAATTGATAATCAACAAATTAATGATATTTTACAAAAAATTCTTCAACGTGAAAATGAAGATTGGTAAGTTTATTCAAGTGAGACTTGATTAAGTCATGTATAAATTATATACATTAAAATATTGTTAAAAGAAAATTTGAAATCGAATATAAAATCATTTGTTTTTGTAGGACGACTAGTGATGTACGGAATCGGGATTTGTCCTAACTCGAACTAAAGATTGCAATTAAATATTCTATATTTTTAAGCGAATTGTCTTTGAAATCATATTAATCGAAACACAATTACAGACTGATGAACAAGAAAAAGTACTTAGTCGTCTACTAAATAAATTTAAAAAACCAAGTATTGAAGGATTTTGTTTTAGATGTGATATGAATAAATTCTAGAACAGTTTTCTCTAGATCGAAACAGCTTCCACATATGTCTAGTGATTTATAGTCTACACATTTCTTAGACAATCTTAACGCTGATCTTATAATAATCAAATCATAACTGACTATGACTTGTAGAGTTAAGTTCGGGACCAATTCAATGGGCATTGTTCTATAGTTATACATAAATACTAAATAGATAGTATAGATATAAAATATTTTATTCATTTCATAAAAAATGCGAGATATTAATATTTTATATATAAATTTAATCAAACATTATATTTTAGGTCATCAGTTCAACAATCAATTGTTCGTTTATTAGCACTTGATTCTACAAGTGAAACTAAATATCTTCATCTTCTTTTTCCAACAACATCATCGGAACTTAATTTATTAAATAATCTTTTAGAAAATTATAAACAACAAAAACAAACATCATCACCATTACTTAAATTAACAAAAAAAAATTTTAAATCAACAACAATCGATAATTTATCTATAACAATTGATCGATTTATTCAATTGATAACAACAAACGATGATCAAAAAAATATACTTTTACCATTATTACAACAATATGATGAAATTTTACGTCTTGTTGAACATTATCGACCAAATTGGATTAAATTTTCTATTATCTATATATTATTAGGAATTGAAACAATTAAACAACAAGCTAATAATGAATATATTGAATTAGCTACAATTATAGTTTTTAAACTATTAAAAAAATTATCTCAAGAAGTAAGTTGAATACGTATAATAGGTTCGAAGGACATCAGTTAATAATGTAATATAACAAATTATCATGATCGATAGAAGACAATAATTAACTTCTTATATGTATACTACTTAAATTTCAATAATTGAACAATTGTTTGTACCGATTGCGGGAGATTGCAAAAAATTTCATCATAGGAATCTTATTCATATATTGCATCCTCTCTTCAATTCACACGGCCTCAAGACACTCTGAGTTTATGTAGCTAAATAGCAGAAAAAATACTGTTTTCAAACTTATAACTTTTAGTCAAGAAATGATGAGAAGAAGTGTAATTTCAGACGAATTTGCAGTTTATCGAACCATCTCAATCTAATGGTTTATTTCTTCAAATAGATAGTTCCTATGAATAAGTCATAAATGACTCAACCGGGGGATAAAAGGCATGCAATAGCCTATTTAATTTTAGCCTGAATTAAAAAAGACTCCTTTCAATATATCGCACAGCATGTCGATTTGTACATTCTCTTTTTACCAGTAGAGAATTCTCATGTGATAACTACCACCAATATACCGATTTGTATGATGTTCGCTATGACCACCAATTTTTTTTCAAAGCGTAGATTGTGTCAAAATAGGATGATGTTTTTGAAGTCTACTAACACGAGCAGAACTGAGCGGTCTTCGATGCATTCTGATAATCTTGATGTGTACCACCCACAGAGCCCAAATCGATAGCAGTTATGAAATAAATTTTTATTTGTAAAATATATTCTCTAACAAATAATTCGAATTCGAGTAGAAAACACTCTGCAATCGTTTATAGCTAACACCAAAAGTCTTAAGCATCTACCGCCGATTCTTATGAATACCGCAGATGCTGCAAATACACCTGCAACTAGAGGTGTAAGCCGCCGCCGTTGACATCGATACATATGCAAAGACGTTTTTTTTCTTTTTTTGGTTGTCAAAGCCGCCGCCGGTGCAGAAAAACATAAAGTCTAGGAGGCGCCGCCGCTATGCAAAAAATAATTGATCGTTGAAGGCGCCGCCGCTGTTTGGCCCTTCGGCTTACACCTCTACCTGCAACATGGATATCTATATACTATGAGATATAGTTAAGCATCGCACACTGCTGTAAGTACATCATGTTCAGAAGACTTGCTCCCTATCATAATGGAACTACGGACATTCTTTGTTAGAAAGCGTCGTTGCTGAAATAAACGAGATTATGTACTCGTTAATGAGATAAATCTTATCATATTTTACCATTTGAGTTAGATCATTTAATTTTATTCAACAGTTTGAGCAGAAGAAATAAAGATTAAAATAAATTTACATATGTTATTTTCTACTTTTGATATTTTTATATAGATTTCTCCAACCAAGGATGAATCTATAGAAATACCTGATAGTAAAACTTTAATTGATTTACATGTAATTAAAAAAAATCCATTAACATCAACAAGTTATGATACTCTTTGGAAATTATTTATTCATGCATTACCTAAAGGTAAAATTGCTCTCTCTCTATCTATCAAAATTCTTGGTTTATCGTTTTTTTATTTAGATCATAATCAATCATCATTTTTCAATGATTTTCTATCTGAATGTATTCAATGGTTATGTTCAGAAAATAAAATTTCTATTCTTTATCTTCTATTCACTGAACAATTTTCATCATTAAATAAACTTATTCTATTTCTTGCTGAATATTATTTAAATTTAACAGATAAAGATCATGAACAAGAAATCATATTAAAATATCTTGTTAAACAATCACAAATAATTGAATATACAAATTTATCAATATTAATATTTAGTTTTCTTCTTCATTCATCATATCGAACAATACGTTTATTAACATTAAAAATTTTTCAAACAAAATTAAAATGTTTAACAAATGATTTTGATACATTTATTCAAAATATAAAACATCATGAAAATGAAATAATAACAGATTCTGAATATATTTGTTATTTAATAAAACAATTAATTCAAACAATTAAATTAAATGAAAAGAAAAAACGAAAAATAAATTTTGATAATTCATCATTAATACATTTATTTAAAATAACAATTGATCAAAATGATGATTTAAATTCTAAATTAAAACAACAATTAAATATTCAATTACTTTATTTATTAAAACAATGTAAACATTGGTCAATATTTAATGAATATCGTATTGATTTTGAAAATCTTCTTCAACAATCAGAACAAAATTTATCTTTAAATCATAATAAAATATTTATTGAAAATATTATTCAACATATTAATTATGAAACATTAATACATGAACAATCATTATGTTTTGAAATTATTTTACAAATATTAAAACGTTCAATTAAAAAATCAAAAGCATTAACAACTATTGATATTATGATATTAACATTAAAACAAGTATGTTGAATATAAATCATTGCTATATATCGAATCATTAGTAATGATCAATTTCTTTTTTGTAAAATTTAAATACTTAAATGATAGAGAAAGATATTAGTATGTTTAAAAAATGATTATTAAATCGTGTAGTATTTTTTGTTAACATAAAACATTATTTTAAAATACTTCTACTAGAAATTTATCAACAAAATGATTTATTCTCTTATCAGGAAACATTCATAACTGTCTAATTGCTTTTCTATTGTCAAATGAAGAGCCGAAAACTAAACAACAATAGACTTCTTCACTGCTTATCATAACTGATTGCATGTGATAGTTTCGAGAGAAAAGCGATTGGACAGTTGAGAATGTTTCTTCTCTATATTTTAGTTGTAAGTAAGAATAAATTTTTCGACATACTTCAAGTCAAAAAATGACTTGTTTTAATTTCTATTTATTCACAACATATTTAATTAACATTAAAAATTGAAGTGCATAAAAAGTCTAGATATGCATGATCCACTCATAACCTTTACGACTATTCGTTACAAGAGCTTTTTATTTTGCTGTCATCTCGAAATCCACAAGAAGAATTTATACCATTTACTCTTTGAACTTCTCATTCATTTACTAAAAAATATTCATACTTAGTCCTACCGCTAGCCACGAATAAACTCTATTATTGAAAAACTTAACATTTTTACAAAAAAAAAAATCGTTCTATGGGGATTTTATACCCTAAAGCAATAATAACTCAGCAGAACGAAAATCTAAGGACTGAGATTTCCAGGATATCTAGAGTAACTCATCATGCATTTGTATACATATAAATTCGTGAAAACCTAATTCAGAGATAGATGCAGTTTTATGTACTATGTACAGTTTAATGAAATTATCTAAATTTGTTTTAGTTTACACCAGAAATGTTTTCATCACTTTCATCAGATTTTGATAAACAAATACAATTAATTGATGAATGTTTTTTATTATGGCAACGTTCAAAATCTTCACAATTAACAACAACAATTAAAACAACACTTTCGAAAGTTTGTTTTAAATATTTTATTGTTTTTTTTTTAATTCAATATTATTCTTTTGGTTTTTGTTAGTTTCCATTTGAGGCTAAACATTTCTTAACTTATTGGAAAAGTATTCTCGAACCTGATAATCAAGAAAATAATACAAATATACAACAAAATCGTTTATCAAATAAAAAATTAATTATATCAAAAACAAATGAAGTAACATCAACAAATTCAATAAATACAATGATTAATTGGAAAAATTTAATACCATCATTAGAAATTTTACATAATGATCAATTATTAATTAATAATCGGCATGAATTAATTCGTCCAATTTTTCGTATGCTTGAAAAATCTTTAAATGAAACAAATGAATTCGAACAAAAAACATATATTCATCAATTATGTACAACTGCTTTACTTAATCTTTATACACAATTAAAACCAGGTTAAAATTAAATTTAAAAAAAGAACAAAAATTTTTATTAAATTTTTTTTTTAGATGAATGTAATCCAGATATTTTTAATAGTGAAATTGTTATGGAATGTATGAGACGTACAAATGATTTACATACAACGCAACAATGTCTTATGCTTTTATCTAAAGGCGCACAATTATTTCCTGTAAGTTGTATGGAAATAAATGAGGAACTATCAGATGCAGTAATCGTGAATTTCGCAAGAACGAATACGATCCATGGTGTATCATTCTGTCAGTGGATACAACCCTGACGAGAGAATCATCGGGGCTAATACCTGTCGTTTGAGTTCATCCTGTACTTATAAGAGCACTCGGGTGAAACTAACAAAAGTCTGAAAGAGTTCGTTCCCATGGGTCTTTGAAGTGGAGTTATTATTGCTCTACTGAATTTTCGACCCAGTCTTAGGTATATATATACTGAAAAGTCAAGATATAGATTTCTAGGTAAAATTTTGACCCATAGATAGGTCGACTCATTCATTGAATATCCTGCAAGTTTCAGTAGAAAAACATGTTGTTTTGCTGAGATATTGAGTTTTTAAGTGAACTCGATATTTGTGACATGTCTATGATCAACAATTATTTTTTGGAAATTAAAGAACATTCTTTTCGATTGAAACTTGCAGAATATTCTACTGGCCAATCGATCTATCTATAGGCGAAATTCTGTTTTTTTTTTTAATTTTTCCATGTATTGGTGAAAAATTCACTAAAATGATCATAACTTGGTTTTAAGAACCCACTCGGACGAACTCTTTTAAATTTTGCTAGTCTCTTTACAAACTTGAAAGTTTTATCTTTAATTTCTTATTCAAATGGTAAATTAAACAAGCTCACAAAGAAGCTGTTCGAAGTAATTCACCTATGTCTGACCGATATTTTGCGCATAAATAGCGAACATGTAGATTAGGAAAAGTCCAAAATGATATGGACTCATGTTATCACTTGACTAAGATAGAGAAGATTTAATGAAGTCTTTCTGTAGAAGTCTGATTTTCCAGTAAAGTCATATTTTCAAACTTAGCACATATCGAGACTACAACTAGGCTAGCTTGTACAAAGTTTCAAAACTATTTCATATAACATCATCGAGATATGAATATTTCAAAAAATTCATATCTTCGTTAAAGTACTTGGAATTGTTCTCAAATTTGTTATACAAGCTAACCTCGTTGCATATTCAATATGTGAAAAGTTCGAAAATAATTATGATTTCACTGGAAAATTAGGATCCTATAGTCAGATTTCAGTAACACATTTCTATCATAGTTAAATCACAACATGAACCCATATCATCTTCAACTTTTCCTAGTCTACAGATATCGACACATAGTACAAACTTTGTAAGAAGAATCGGATCGGCTGCCTTCATATTAAAATAAAATATTGGACATATTTTGTATAGCATGCGCTAGAAAATAGTCATTAATCAAATGTTGAATTAAAACATCTTCTATTTTGTTTTAGGAAAAATTAATTAGTATGATTATGGCAATGTTTGCTTTTGTTGGTGATCGTCTTGTACGTAAGGATGATTTATATAGTTATCAAGTTATGGAAAAAACAATAAAAACTGTTATACCATCTTTATATAAAGTAGATTCTCTTTTTTTTCTTGTTCTATTTAAAATAAATAAATAATTTAAATTTAAGGAAAAAAATCTTGAACAACGTCGACCAATACTTGCTAAAATTACTCATGTTTTTGTTACATCATTAGCACATTTACCAGCACATCGTCGTCAAGATATATTTCGTATGCTTATGGAATCAATTGGTCAAGATGAATGTCTTTGGTTTGCACCAATTCAATTGTTTGATTCAATTCTTTTATCACCAATAAATAAAAAAAATGAAGAAACATTAAAAGTAAATAATAATGAAAATGATTTAATTTTTACTTTAATGTTTTTTTTTTTCTTGTTTTTAGAAATCTTTAATCGATGCTAATGAACAAATGTTGAATAGTTTTAATCAATTTTCATCATCAACTCTACTTATTAGTCTTACACGTATATTAAATGTTCTATTAAATCTACCTGATCAAATAACGAGTAAATAAAAATTCGTGTCTTTCTATTAGATAAAAAAAAAATCCTTTGTTTTTTTTTTAAAAATTATTATTAAAGAAAATCAATCAACTCCATCGACATATTCACATTTAATTGATTTACGTTTATATACAACAAAACATATTCATGTATTTAAATATCAATTATTAGCATTTGTTAATAATATTCTTTCTGCTGATTTTTTTATTAAAATGGTAAAATTCTTTTTGTTTTTTTTTTATTATTCAAATCAAATTTATTCTTTTTGATTATTATTTTAAATAGATTAAAAATGGTTTACGTCAAGAAAATGAACTCAATTATTTAAATGAATTAATTCAAACAATTCTTCATTGTTTATTATGGGCTAATAAATTATCCGAAGATGATATTGATATAAGTCGTTATAATAAATCAATATTAAATAAAATTTATGATTGTTTAAATAAAAGTATTGCATTATTAAATGGTTCAATGTTTGTTAGTATTATATCAAATTTACTTCAACAACAACAAACTAATGAAAAATTACAAAGAAAAACTTTAGAAATATTAAATACACGTCTTAAAGATGAATTTACAACAGAAAATGAAGTAGGTTTTATTCTTATGGAAAACGATCTAAACGGAATATTGAAGTGTAGATGTAAAAATTTAACCCTCGCTCTAAAACCCATCAGGACCTAATACTTTCGGACTCAGTCAAACCGTATTTTAATGCTCTGAATGATACTTTTTTCCTGTTTGTTTTTCTATTCACTCACTAGGACACCCAGCGCATTCTAGAGAGTACTAGAGCCCATGGGGTCTTCATATTTTCAGATCCGAATACAGTTAACGAAAAATTCTCGGATCTGAACTCGACCCCATGTGCTCTACCTCTCTCCCACAAATCATGAAAAATACTGATGAGAGACCATGATAGACATCTTTGCAATACTTCCTTATTGAATTTCTGGAGAATTAATTAAAAGGATGATGAAGAAATACGGTTCAATAGTAAAACAATATAAATTAAAAATCGATTGTTCATATGATATACTTTGAAAATAATTGACGATTATGTTTCTCGCTCTTAGACTTAACTTAAAGATGCAATGATATTGCCAGTACCGTTTATATCATAAACAAAACAAATATTAAAAAGACCTGTCTTGCTATATTTCAACTTCGGTTCTCTATTCAAATTTCGAATATGTAAATTTACGGGCTTTGCCATCAAAGGGTTAATTTCGTAAGGTTTGCGCTAGTAGCTTTTTAAGCAAAGAATCAAAAGAAAAAATATTGAATTTATTTTTTTTGTTAATGTTTAGATTGTATTATTTTTACCACATATGGATAATTTATTATCAATTGTTAATAAATATTCAACACATGAACAAGAACAAACAGCACAAACATCTTTGTTTTCAATTAAATTATTAGCTAAACGTTTAGCTGAAAAACATCCGACAGAATTTTCATCAGTAAGTTTTCATTTTTTTGATTTTACTCTCTTATTCATTCATAAAACATTCTATCTATGACAAGAAAAGATCAGTAAAACTTTTTTCCTAAGACTTCCTCGTTTTTTATTACAATCAATTGTAATATATTCTAGAATAAAATCCTACATAGATGTATTAATAATCTTTATATATTATTTAAAATTTCCTGGAAAAGACATAATGAAGACTAGATTTTTACCTGAAATAGCTTCAGAACTTGTTATTGTGACTATATGACATCTACGAATTAAAAATGCTCTCTTGTAGTTATGAATTTTTCTCATGAAAATAGAAGTTACATTTAATATGTTGTTGTCTCCTGAATTCATTCCTAATTTTCAAGAAACATCACAAGTGCAGCAATGAAGGTGCCACGTAATTAAGGACGAGTCCGAGATAAAAATATTTTCATTTCTATATACGTTTTCTTGAATAGTTTTTATTCCTCTAATAATAATACACAAGCATAGAGAGATTATTAATACATCTATGTAGGATTTTATTCTAGAATATATTACAATTGATTGTAATAAAAAACGAGGAAGTCTTAGGAAAAAAGTTTTACTGATCTTTTCTTGTCATAGATAGAATGTTTTATGAATGAATAAGAGAGTAAAATCAAAAAAATGAANTAGAATTCTCAAGTTTGATTAACAGCCATCCCATGTAGACTCTGACCTACCGCTACAGAGGAAATGTTCAAATAAGTTTTTGAATTTGCGCGCGATCTTTTCTATTATGTAAACTTTGTTGTTTTAAATTTAAAATCGAAATTTTTAGTTCTATTGAAAATTTCCTTGCCGAGATAATTAAATGATTTTTCATCGAGCAGTCATCCTATTCCGCAAAGTTACACACTGCTGCATCGCATAAAACCATCAAACTCATCATCATTCAATTCCGGAATTCCTGACATCCAATTCCTACCCATGCCATTGAATATTACGGAATTCCTGCACAGGCTGATGTATTCATGTTCAACTGAACATTGCTATAGAAATAAAGATTCAATTCCGTTTTAGAACTCCGGAATTGCATCGATGTGGAATGACCAGGAATTCCTGCATTTCCTAGTGATTCCGGAATTCCGCTTTGCATTTATTCAAGCTCGATAAATGATCATTTAGCCATCCATGAGATATTTGTAACTTCGGAATAGGCAGGAATGACCAGGAATTCCTGCATTTTCTAGTGATTCCGGATATGCACAAATTCTGGAATTCCGCTTTGATATCGAATAGATCTTTTAAGATGATCATTTCGTTATTCAGTATATCCTTCGAATTCTGAAATTACCCGGAATGACCAGGAATTGGATGTTCAGAGTTGGATTTGAAAGGAACTACGAATCAGAAATTCCTGGTTGTGGCATGTATTTGAGGGAAAGGGTCGTTTTAGGTTTTCCGGAATTGATGGTAAGGGATTCCGGGTCAGAAGGCGATGCAGGAATGTTTAAATTTTGGGAATAGGAAGTATTCTCTTTTCATCGAGAATTTCCTAACAAGTTACACACAACTTGATAGTACAAGATAAATTTTATGACCTCTAATTGATCGCCATATATATCGAGCAGCTCTTATATCAAAGTATCACTTTCTATAGTATTCGATAGCACATTCGATCTTATATATGATCTAACATGATTGTCAATAAATCTTATGACAGATTATAACATTACAAAATTTTAAAATTCAAGTAATAATGAACGTTAATTTATTATTTAACAAATAATTTTTCTCAACAATATATATCGAATAAATTATTTTTGTTTTAGCTTCGTGAAACAGAACATTTATATGAATCTCGTAAATCATTTCATAATCGTTTTGAAACATTTGAACGAAATGTACGTGATATAATTGAATTAATTGAAAATAATGGACAAATACAAAGTGCAACATGGAATCAAACATTACAACGTTCACAACAAATTGAAAAACAATTACAATCAATTCAACCATTACTTTTAACTATTGGACATGAATTAGCTGATCTTGAAGTTGCTGGTTTACCAAAAATTGAATTACAAACTGTACAAAATACTTATGAAGCTCATCGACAACGATTAAATATGTAAGTTAAATTTTAAAAAAAAAGAAGACAAATTGAATTGAATTTTTATTTTTTATTTATTTAAGTTATGAAAATATTTTACAAAAACGTATCGATTTATTAAAACGTTTTGAAGAACATATAAAGCTTTCAAATGAATTACGAAATAAATTACAACAAATAAATGATGATCTACAACAAAAACAACAAATTAAAATTCATGATATTGATTTATTAAAAACTCAGCTTGAACGTTATACAACTGATTTACGTACAATACAATCGGAAAGTAGTATACTTGATCGTTTAATGGAAGAAAGTAATACAACAATAACAGATTCAACAACTAATCGAACTGTTTTCTTTACTGTTGAAAGTCGTAATATTCAAAATTTAATTGATATGGCTGAAAATAAAGTAAGTTTAGTTATTTCTCATTAAAATACAGGAGTATCCCGAGGTCATTCGCTCGGGACACCCCTATCTAAATGAGTACTATTTACTTTAATATAATTGAGAAATTTTCAAAAAGTGTACAATGTAAAGACGAGAAAAAGAAGCCTTGTGTATTTTATATGAAACATTTTAAAAGTTCTTTTTTTTTTTTTTGTAAAAGAGTAAAATGAAGAGAATAGGAGTACTTTCGAATCATTTAAACGATCTAGATTTCGAATAAAATATACGAGACTAAAGATTAGATAGTAACGAATGATGCAAAAGTTTCTGCACGAAATATTTGTTCACTTTTTTTGACCAATTAGATAAAGAAATCAGTAGAACATTTAAAACATTGAATTAGAATCAGAATTTTGTGCTCTTTCTGAACATTTCTTACGTTTGTGGGGTCAAAAAAAACTTAAAATTACATTTGATCGTACCTCATTTTAAGTTAAATCTGTGCTACTTTCTTATTTTCGTAATAGAAGATACTTAATTTAGCTTAATTCCACTGCCTTTCGCTTGGCTGCATTATGCTTTGAAATTGTCAATGCGTTTTTTTACAAAAAAAGGTCTTATTATCGATAGAAGTATCATAGAAAACTAATGTTTCACTATCCATATAAAACAATTACACTAGTGAAAATATCCTTCTGATCGATATCTATTAATTTTGGTATCACCATGAGAAAGATTTCTCTATGATGTTTTTGTACAAAACCTAGAATTTTCATCATTTGAGAAAATTTGTTCAAAAATAATCTGATGATATTCTTTTGTTGGGAATAATACTAATGAATTTCAGTGTGTTATACAGGATAGAAGCCAAGGAAGTGACGCTCCTCTGAATCGAGCAACATCTTCTCTTCCGAAAGAGGGATTTAAAACTTCGAGAGTGCGAACCTTTATTTTTGAGAACACAGACATATTGTACATGTTTCAATAACAATAAACTTTTGAAGAGTCAACCAAATATTCGTATCAACGCCGTGCCCTTGTCCTCATATTAGATAAAACATTGAAGTTGACTGTATCGAAGTTTTTGAACTTATACTGATATTTTTTATCCTATTGTCTTTTTACATTGAATAATACGAATTTTTCATTGTAAATAATTTTAATAGCTTACTCAACGTCGTACTCAAACTCAAGAACTAAATCAATTAGTAGAAGATTTTACACAAGCTCATAACAATTTACTGTTGCGTATCAATAGTTTAAGTGCCAATCTTCGTTCAGCTCGTCTATCTGGTTATACAATTCATGATATCGAAGATCTCATGATTGTTATCAAGGTATGTTAGCTAAATATTTCCTTACTATTTTTTTTTTCTTTTCTAATTATTGACTTAATTAAACATTATTGCGTGAAAAACAATAAAAAGGAATTTAGGGAATTAAAATTAAAAAAAACCAACAAATGTGTTCTAGAAAACTTAGTTTTATATCGCCACTTTCAATATTGAAATATATAAAAAACAAAACAGCTATAATAAAAATGCGCGCACTCGCCTAAATGTTCTATGCCCTTCTACATGTGTGCAACATATACTGTGTGTCCGTGTGTATATAGATTTCACTAATGCACACGTAGATATATAGATATGACACAATATCCTATCACATATATTCCTAAATACTTGCTTTCTATGCTTAATAATTCGTTTTGCATGCTTGATCTCTATCTATCCAATCCTTTTGTGCCATGCTGCACCTCGCAGCTAGCTCTTCTCGTGAGCTTTTGCTTTCCAGCATTTACAAGACGAAATCGAACATGAACTCGATCCGTTATTCAAACAATTGATACGAACATCGATAAATCCAACGACTGAAAACGAAAATGTAATAGTAAAAACGCAAATCGATTGGGAAAAATTAAATGTTGAAACAAATGAACGTCTCTATGCTCTACAACGAGCACATTCATTATATAATGAAATAGAAGTACTTCAAAAACAAATTGAAATAACTATACATAATGTTGAATTAATTCTAAATGAAACTATTAGTAGTTCCAATTCATTTCAACAAGCAAAAAATCATTTAAATAAATTAAAAGTAAATTGAAAATTTAAAAGAAAATTTCTTTTGTTTTATTATATTTATATATATTTAGCAAATTCAATTAGATCAACGTCAAAGCGCCGAACATGATATGGCAATATGTCAAAAACGACGTGATGAATTTATCGGTTTATTAAAACCATGGTATGAAATGAATTGGTCTACATATTTTGATCTCTCAGATTTACAAACAAAAATAAGAGAAATATGTGAAGTAAGTGTTATTAGATATTATTCATTGATTTAATTATTTTAAAAAAATCATTCTGAATTATTCCGTATATATCTATATTTCTATTTACTTTTTAGGTTAATTTACATGATCATATAAAACGTACAGAAACCATATGTAATTATTTACAATCCATTGAAAAAATTCAAAAAGAACTTGATACAAAAGTTCATGGACTTGATGAATTAGCATCTAAAATGAGTGATAATATTGATCAAAATCGTTTTCTTGAAGTTGTACAAGTATGTTAATTAAAAATAAATTAGAAATTATTCATTTTTATCCTTTTTATTTAGATTCAACGTCCTATTATAGCTAATTTATTTACTCAATTTGATGAACAATTAGCTCGTATAAATATAAATTGTAGTCAACATCATTTTAATGAATTAGAACAATATCGTCATAATATTTATCAACGTTTACAAAATTTTGATTATCAAATTAATCAATCTGTTGAAAATGAACGTAATATTCAAGAACAAAGTTCAAAATTATTATCAGATCTTGATTCACTTAATCCATTATTAGTAAAATTATCTGAACAAACAGAATCCTATGAAAAAATTTTTAATGAAACAGAATCTATTGAAAATTTTGTTAAACTTCATCAACAAATAAAACAAATTCAAACTGAACTTTCATTATTGTTTAGTTCAAAACTTCAACGATTAAATGAAAGTATTCAACAATATACAAATCATAATATTCGTCATGAAAGTACTCAATTATGTACAACATTGATGAATATAAATAATCGTTATAGAGTATTAAGTCAAGATATAAATCGTTTTATTGAACGTATAGATGAACGTATTGAAAGTGAAACAAATAATTCAATTGAAAGTTATAGAAAATTTATGGAAAATTTACGTGTGAAATTAACACGAATAAGTACTGATTATCGTTTAACTATTGATGCTAAACAAAGATTAATCAATGTAAATATCAAAACAAAACAAATTGATATTTTTCATTTTGAATTAATTTAAATTTTCTTTTCTTTTATTAGGAAATTGCTAGTTCATTAACAAATGGTCGTGTTTATGTTAATCAAGCAATTGAACATATAAAATTCACACGAAGTTTATTAAATAATGAATATAATATTAATGAAATAGATGATGAATGTCAAGCTATTGATGATGAATGGATTGAATTTATAAGTGATTTTGATGATCAAAAACAAGAAATAACTAAGTTAGAAAATGAAATAAAAAAATTTGATTTGGAAATCAATAGAATTCATCAATGGTTAAAACAACAAGAAAATTCTTTTCAATTATTGATTGCAAATCAACCAACACTTGCATTAAAATTAGATAAACTTGAACAAATAAAAGTAAAAATTAATTTGTCATTTAAAATTTTTTTTATTCCAAAAAAAAATGTTTTTTTTTTTTTATTTTAAAGATTCTTATTCAAAATTTGGAAACACACGTTGATCTTAAACAAGAACTAAAACAACTTGAAAATAAAGTTTCAATGGTTTCTTTAATTCAAAATTATAGTCAATCTATGGAAAAACGACAACAATTACTTTCAAATGCTCAAGTATGTTTTCTTTTTTCTTTTATTTAAATCAATAAAATAAAATTTTAAATAGGATGCATTGATGCAAGCATCAGAAGCTGTTGAATATCATGAACATTTTGAAACAATATCAGAAAGATTTCATCAATGGATGACAGATGCTGAAAATCAATTAGAAAAACATACATCAACTAATGAAATGAAATCAGATTATGTTATTGAAGAACATTATAGAAGTGTAGAAGTATGTACAAAATAGAAATTTATTCCAAAGAATTATTTTTTTTCTTTCTTTGAAACAAATTAAGTCTAAAAAGATAAAAGTTTTTACAGTTATGAGTTTATGCTCTATAAAGGAAAAATCACAGAAGAATTATTTAATCGTTTTGAATATTAATCAATAGAATTCAAAATTAAGTTTCTTCATTTTCAAACCACTCTCAGACTTAGAAAGATATTGAAATATAATCCAAAATATACGTCTATAAGGCATTAAAGTTATCATGATCGAAGTTTTCCTTTACAGCTTTGAACAATCTTTATTTCTTTAGTATCTTTGAACTAAAGGGAGTTATAGAAGGAAACTTAGCGACAGGGATATGAAGCTTAAAGGAATGAAGAAATAAAGATTGTTCATGGCTGTAAAGGAAAATTCAGATTAGAATAAGTTTGGTTTCTTGCGAGTCTTAGCCACCATGGCTGACTGGCCACATAGTTCAACACGCACCCACAAACGATCTAGGACAGTTACTCGCAGGGGAATTGCTCACATGAGTATGGATGTTGATAAAACGCACACCAGCACCAACCCTCACAACCACGTGCCTAGACAGGCGTACATTCATACTTTGTGTACCTTAGAAGAGGCAAATGATGTACTTCGAGAGTACAGTGAAAGTACATCGAGTCCAAGTCAAGGGCGAAACGACGTACTCCCGTGTTCTTCGGAGTGCAAGAGAGTACAATCAGAGTACAGTTTTATAACTAAGGAAAATCTAGACCTAAACCCGATAAGACAATGACATACTCTAGTATCTCATATGCTCCCATGGTTATCCTCCTATACTGCACATGCTTTAACTTCACTCTCAGTGTAGCTTCCTGCTTTCACTGTACTGTCATACCCTCATTGTACTCCCGAATGTACGAGAATTCATTGTTTTTCCCTTGGTATTTAATTGAGCAACTGTTCTAGATCTTTCTATATGCATCTCCCATTTCCAAAAGGGTTAATAATAATCTCTTAGAAACAATCCCATATATTAAATCAGTGATTATGCAAAAAAACAAATCAATAAAAAATTCTTTTTTTAACTGATAAATACTTTTCTCATAATTCAATGTGAATGAATATCATTTCTTTTCAGGATTTAATCAATGAAAATATTGATGGTGAAAGTCTTCTTTCAAATCTTGAGGATTGTCTTGAACAAGTATTCAAAACAACTTCAATTGAAGGTCGTACACAACTAAAACATATCATAACTGAATATCAAGCACGTTGGTCAAATTATAATATAAAACAAAAACAATTAAAACAAATTTTACATAATGTTAAAATAGATCGTATGGAAATTGATGAAACATTAAATGAAATAAATGATTGGATAACTGAACATCATTATAAATTAAATGATTTAACAAATAATTTAAGTTTACGTGATGAAAATCGTAAACGTTTATATCAATTAAAATGTTTTTCAAATGATATTAATGTTAAACAAACATTATTAAATACATTAAAAGAAAAAATTCTTGACAATGATCGATTTGATATAATTCAACAAATATTAAATGAATTTCAAGAAGAACTTCGAGTAAAAAATTTTGTTCTCTACTTCTTTTTTTAAAATTTCAATAAAATTTTTTCTTTTGTTTTATTTAGATAAAAACAAATTCTTTAGAAGAATTTGTTCGTACACAAATATTTATTGAAGATAGTAAACAATTCATAATGGAAAAATTAAAATTTTTAATGGATCGTTTATCATTATGTACAAAAACAGATTGTGATTTAGATACATTACAAAGTCGTTTAAATAAAATAGAAGTTTGTTTAACGTTCTTATTATTAAATTTCAATTAAAAACAAACACAAGAATTTTACTTTTATTTTTCTATAGGAATATAAATATGAATTAGAAAATCTTGAACAAGAATTTAATCAAAGTTATGAACAATATCAATTGATAATTGAATTTAATTTAAATTCAACAATTAAATTAAATTATCAACAAAATTTTGAACAAATGCATTTAGTTATTGATAATGGTAAACAAACAATTGAACGTGCTATTTTAGAATTAAAACATTTATGTGATATATGGTATCAATATGAAAAACATAATAAAACATTTGTTTCATGGTTAAATCAAACAGAAAATGAATTAACTTCTTTTATAGCTACAAATAATGATGATGATGAATATACAATTGAGTATTTAAATCAATTAAGTGAAAATATTTCCGATAAAGATAAACAATTAAAACAACTAGAAGAATTTGAATCATTAATTAATGATTATGATTGGTCGAGACAAGCACATAATACTTCGATTTTAAGAGAAAGGTATCTATTATAGAATTGCATTGGATTATAGACTACTATAATTCTTTACGAATTTACGCAAATTCAAATGAGATAGGTTGGATTACCTGATCCATGGGTTGCAGTATTCTACTTGAAGTTTTGTTATTTCGTATGTTAGCTGATCTTCGTGAGACTGTGAAGAGCTTTAAAATGTTCAAGCCTATGACCTACCTATGGCAAAGTTTGATTGTTTTCATGAAGTTCTTAGTGAGAGCAAAGCATTTTTGACAACTCCAAACCTATTATCCATTTCTGAAAATAAGTCGCTTGGGCAGAATTCTTATAACTTTTGAAAGGAAAATGATAGAGACCTGGGATTTTCACCGTTGGATAGAGGAAATCAGGGCACGTAAGGCTAGGTAAAAAAAGATCTGTTATACTAGGTACGTGTTTATAACTTTTTAATAAATTTGTCGAAAACCGCTAAAATAAGCTTCAAATTTAGAAATCTGAAATTTCCTTTTTCTCACAGGAAATCCTTCTCTTTCAAAAAGGGCAACTTCAACATTTTATCTTGTTGAGTTCAAATGATGCAGAGGCACTGTCTACTGTATATCTGATGTGTGAATCAGTTGTATACTGAGGTTAAATCTCAAGAATAGNAATCAAGTGTCCTGTGGAATCGATATTAATAATGAACGTCCCCAAAGGTCGTAGTTAATGTGATCTTACATTATTGAGAAAACACATTTCTTATTATTCTTCTGAAGACTGTTGCATCGTGATAATTTTATTTTTAATTTAAGATCATTTCACGTTGCGTAAAGTGGAATGTTGGCAGAAGCTAGTGTTTGATATGATAGTTTTTCTGAAACACGAAAAATGAAATCATGATAAGAGTGCTGAAAGCATAACAGAAATCGAAAAAATTCATCCCCACAGGACATTAGGTCAAATACCGAGCCGAATCAATCTCATTTCTGCTTCCTCTCTCGTTTGTGTCTAAGATCACGACAGAAATTATTGATATAAGATCAAAAACCGTATACTAATAATATCTCGTTTTAATATATGAACTACTTCCTTATTCCATTTCCGAAGGATTAAGTAAAAAATTCACATTTTAATGGTACAGAGATTAAGCTAACAGCTTTTTATTTTTTAGTACCTCGAACTGTTTATTCAAAAGCAGATGTACATCGTGATCAAGTTCAACGATTAGGTTTCATATAAACAGAATAAATCTTTTTGTTTTGTTTTTGTCACATATTATTCGAATATATGTGTTTTAGATGAATTTCAAGCACTATTAAAATCAACGATGGATCTAGCTGATCAATTTAGTGATGATACAAGTGAATGGCTATTGATTGATCACCGTCTTCAATCAATTAAAGAAAATTTTGACTTTTTATTTGCTAGAAAAAATCGTGAACATCGAGAAATAAAAGTAAATATTTTGAATATGTTGATTTTTCGAATAAAATATTGTTCTTTTCGTTTTATACAGACAAATCTTATTCAAGCAGAAGATATAAAACATGCAATGTTAGACATCAATTCTCAATTAGATCATCTTGAATCCTTAAGTCATTCTTTGGAACCTGTTGATGAAAGAGAAATAAATATAAGTATTAATCGTACAAAACTTCATCGATTTATTCGTATTCATGATGATCTTGAAATTCTTCATGAACGTTTAATTAATATAAATGATCGTTTAAAATGTCTCTTATCTGGTGATCAATTACGTATAACGAATGATTTAAAATTAATGTTTGATCGTTTAAATTCAATAAAACGAATTGTTAGAATTTATCTTGAACGTTTAGAAAAATTATTAGCTACAAATGAATTACATGAAAATTTTTCATCAATAAATCATTCACCAATTAGAACGTCGAATAGCAATCTTCAAGTAAAGGAAAACAAAATTATAGAAATAAATATTTTATTAGATTTATTATGTTCTTTTTTCTAGCGTGTTTATCAATAATTATTTATTGTCTTTATTTATTCCAATCAACAGTGAACATTTGATTTTGTTTCGTGTCGATTTTTATTCTTGAAAAACATTTTGCTAGTTATCAGAGTTTTATCATTATAAAATTCTATGGTGTGAATTTTGTCTTTTTACGTTCTTCCATCTTTTTTTTACTCTTGCATGCGCATGCTTTTCTTTTCTGTATACGAATATATAATAGTTTTGAAAAAAAACCAACAGCGAAAAATCATTAGTTTGTTTGATTCTGTTTGTAAATATTCGATTTAACTAGACGACTATCAATCTATCCATTGAAGAGAAATCATCGAAATTGTTTTTGTTTTTACATTAACAACTTTTGTTGACAAACGACACATTAGTTCGGTATACTTTATCTACGTTTCTGTTTGTCTGTAACATAGTTCTACATGATAATTATGGTACAAATGACTGCGTATGATAACAAAGAAGGCGCCTACGCATGAGACTTCAAATTAACCAAGTAGTAGCATTCCAAGACGAAGAATACTAAATACGTATGTATTTCATATTTCACCGTATATGATCATACTTTGCTGTATTACATGACTCAGTATTACACCAATATACGTTTATTTGCAGGCGTGATTATTCGATCTAGAATACTTTTAAAAGTGACAGTCATTGTTATTAAATTATTGAATAGTTCGATTAATTGTTCAATAGTGTGTACGTGACAATGTGATATAATAATTATGAAAAGCTTGAGAGAGTAAGTCTGAACATACAGTGAGGGGCGAAAAAAGCCTGGACTTTTTTATTTTTACATATAAACGAACAGCAAGGATATTCTAAAAATTTTCTCTTATATCTATTTCTGTAGAGCTTTTTACGCTGATCATTTTGGTAAAAACACTTTTTGATTTTCATTGAGTAATGACAATGTTATAGTCAAAATACTAAACACTGTAGTAAAATGCAGGGGAAAAGTAGAGCACATTTTTAGTGTTTGGCTAATTTTTACGTTATTTTACAACATCTGAAAGTTGTTCTAAAATACCATTCGATGCAGAATTTAATGGGCTACATTTTGGTAAAAAGTAATTATACTTATATTGTGGTTAATTAATTAATTNCACTTTCGAGATATCGACAAAATAAAAAAAAATATTGTACTTCCTCGTTGGTTTTGCTATCTATTACGAAATATTTATAGTGATAACAATGCTTTCTGAAGCATCTTATTAAAAAGTACATCCAATATTGAATTGATTATCTGGACTTTTCTCTTCAGACGAGTGAAACTAAGCAAGATGCTGATTATTGAAGGAAGTTCATCATACTTGCAGTAAATAATAATGTATGAAAAATTCTGAGGGGTAACATATTAATCAGTTTTCGTATTTAACGCGTTTTCGATAAATTCACGTGTGAAAAATCATTAAAAATGTACTGATTTAACGAAAAAAAGATCGTTAGAATTTGAAAACGCGTTTAAACGCGTTAATTTTGGAAACGTTTAACGCGTTTTCATGATCAAAATTGTAACATTTTTAATCGTTAAATCGTTAAATTTTTAACGAATTTTCACGTCATAAAGTTTCGTTAAATTAGCAAAAATTTTTACATGGGTGCTATTAACGATATTCACCTATTTTATGTACTTTGTGGTACCTACTGCTTAACAGACACTCATTGTAAAACAGCGCCCAGAATGCACTTAAATGCAGCACCATAGTAGTTTCAATGCTAGCTATGATATAGATTTAAATCTTGAAAGTCAATTTTGTCATATGATTGTCCAGTGTGGGGAAAGAGGCGCTAAGGGTCGTCACACTGCAATGCGCAAATAAAAGAGTAGTTACGCAAGAAAAAGACTATTTGAACAGTTAGACTTTTCATTCGCCATCCATACGCATCTCATTGTAATACAAACTCTATTAGAGTTCAAAAAGAATATTTACTGCTTTCACCAGAAAAAGGAACTTATCAAAACGACTGCACATAATAGTATGTCCGATATCAGACTGAGTACGTTGTCATTATTAGACATCGAGGGAGAGAGAGAGAGATATATTATTGTTGATTATGAAACGATAATTGATGCTTTCTCAGTTGAGCATAAGAACAGTCGAATACTATTGAAACGATTTTTTTTTCTTTCTTTTGTTAATTTCCTTTCATTTAATAAAAGAACAGATATATTGTTTTGTGTCACTCACTATAGGAACTAGGCAATTAAAGGACTTGATTTATACTGAAAAAAAATTTAGCGAATGTGGAGAGAGTTTTTAAGGACGGTGGACACTGCCCTTTCACCCACAATTTTCTGGATATGCCACTAATCGGAGCTCATAGAATTTTCATTCAATTTTTATTCCAAAGTTCTATATACCTATGTGATCGGTGTGGGTAGATGGATGTGGATTTCGGCGTGTAGAATAAACAGTCGAACGTTTATAAACACCCTTCACCTGCAATTTACACGGATACACACACCTACTACATCCTAGTAGATAATGAATCATGCCGATAATTAACTGATCAGTCGATACTATTCATTAGAAACATGTCGATGCGCCTTTATACAGTTCTCGTACTGATGAATTTTTCCATGTCTGCCTTTCAATTACTTTTCTATTGCATTAATATGGTGCGAAGAACAGTATTTTTTTACTCATTGGCAAGTTTTGTGTTTTTCCTCTTCTTATTTGTTTATTAAGATGCGAAGCACGTTATACCAATCGTCGAGATTTTTTCTTTCTTTCTCGATTTTCACATCTAAAGTTCATAGTTTGTGACGTGACGATCTCCAGAACGGTACATCGTATGGCACTCGTTGAAACGTCGTTAGAAGCATTGAGATCTCTATATAGTAAAAATTTTGTCCAATTTTCTTGTATGACGTTTTATTCAGCGAAAGTAGAATCCGAATATTATAAATAATATTAGCAATGATTAATTATCACTAACACTAATGATAATTCATCGATGAACAGTTGCGGCGCGGTGATAGAGCTCTCGTAGTGACGAATTTTACTATAGCTGCTTTTCCCATTGGCCCTGACTTTGATCAATTGATTAATGGAGCCGTATAACTTTCTTGATTCATAACTACAGAAAATGATTGATTCTAGTAAAACGTACACATTTGTAAGAAAAAATGTGATTCATGATAAATCGTAAAGACAATTATTCGTTTTTCATGAGATATCGATTGTTTTTTGTAAAATCAAGGTTCGTACTTTGCACCGTGTTTCGTATTTAAGTCAAACTTGAATACCATCTAGTCAACTTTCTTTTTGATTTCTATCAACTGATTGATCAATGTGTTACGGCTCTGATTTTATTTTTGAAGAAAAGCATATTTGTACTCAATTACAAAAACGATCATTAGTTTTTACTAGACATAGAATTCATGATGACAAACATTTGAAGTTTCAGTTAATTCTATTAGACATTCATTTGAAACGATTTTCTTCTACACGGTAGAACATGTGATTAAGCCATGAAAAGAAACAATATGTCCTTGTCACTATAAGTTAGTATGGCAATAATCGAGACATGTCATTTTTTTATTTTTTTTGTCGGTTCAATGATGTGAGAGTGTTCGATTATCATTCGGATACACGCCCTTACCCCATTAATAATAATAGTCGCCTATTCACCCTCTTATTTCTTCTCAGGGGTATATAATCCAAATAAAAGAAGGAGAAAAATACCGCAATGACTGTTGCAGGCTCGTTGGCAAGATTTTCGGCTGGTGGATCAAATTTTTTTCGGTCTTGTTTAACGACACTTTTGCTCCGTACTCTAATTCATCTTTATTTATATTTGATAATTATTCTGTACAATGAACAACGAAAAGAAAAATATGTATAATTAAACAAAGACTTAATTGACTTTATTCGTAAAAGTTAAATGACGTTTTGATTTGGAATAATTAATTCATCAATAACGTTTTCGATATCTACTTGTTTATCGATATTTTTATTAATACTGAAAGTAGCCAAATTACTAAGTTCTTCATGACCTGTCCTATTGTGTAAATATGTCTTAGTTAACTTCATGGCATACAATGAATGTCCAGTAGTAGCTACTGACACAGGTATTTGACATCTAAATTAATGTGAGAATAAGGATTGATACATTTAGTTGCTTGAATAACGCAATTTTTATGGTTCTCACATTTGCCATGATTCGATAAATAATCAATAGCATTTTTTAATGATCTATTAATAAATTGATCAAAACATTCGTTTCCTCCTTTCCTTTAAAATAAAACACAATGTCGGTAATAAACTCTTTGATCAATTTCAGAATATGCCAGCCAAAAGTATTTAACTGGCCGTAAGTGTTGGCGGACTGATCAATTTTTTTAGTTTTGTTCGACTTTTGGGAAAATATAATTTAGTACGAAAATCCATGGTTTCGTCAACAATTGATTTGATAATGAAAAAGCCTTCGTATCTAGTTAGTTTAAAACATACAATCCAATATTATCATCCTTGACAGGTATATTAATAATGATAGTAGAATTAATATTAACATATCATGAACACATAGCAACTGGAATTTCTTTCTTATTATTGATTTCGAGCTCGTTGTTATTATTGGAATTATAGAAATCATCTTCTCTTGATTTTCGTGAGACATTTTTATCTCAATCATCTTTTGTTTTCCTTTTCGATACGAAACCTATACTAATATCTTTCTTTTTTTCATTCATTATTTTTGATAAATATTTATTGACAAAAAAAAATGCTACGTTGATACTGTTATATGTAAATCATCAAGTAACAAGCAAAGTGTCGGCACCGATACAGTTCACATTGACTATTTGACACTAATGTCGGTAGAAACACAAAAATTATAAATTAACAATGCAAGTTTTTTTTGCGAAGACAGAATATCGGCCTCCCTAATCCTCCCTCACCCCCTACCCTAAATACGAATGTTTCTGAATTGTTGTTGAAACAAGTCTAGTTTTCCTTATGAATTTAGTTTTAGTGGATTTCTTTATTATTAAAAAAATCAAATGGCTGAAATATATCATTATGCATTAAATCGTATCTATCATCGCCATCAAAAAACTTGTTTAGTAACATTAATTCTTAGTCTATTTACTGTAATATTTTTTACATTATCTAATATATTTTTTACTAAAGCAACATTTCATTTAAATAATAGTAATTATTTTTATTCTCAAACATTACAATGTACAAATATAAATAAAACTCGAATTGAAGAAGGTCAAAAATATCTATCACAAAGTCGAGTTATTATATGTGGTTTAATACGTGATCGTGAGCCACATATCAAACGTTTAAAACAACAATTAAATGAAATTGTCAAATTCTTTGCAGATTATGCTATTGTTATTGTTGAAAATGATTCAAAAGATGGTACAAGACGTGAATTAATAAATTGGGCAAAAATTGATAAACATATACATGTTATTGGTTGTGATAATCAAATAAATTCTATATCGTCATGTAATTTATCATTAGCTGCAACGAAAATTAGGTCTAGTCCAGATTCATCACGTATTGAAAAAATGGTTCGACTTAGAAATATTTATATGAATTACATTGAAAAACATAGTTTATTAAAACAATTTGATTATGTTATTATTGAAGATTTTGATTTAACAACTTATACATATTTAAATGGTTTATTTTCGACTGGTTTTTATTTGAAATATGATTCGACTATTGATGCTATTTGTTCAAATGGAATATTTTATAATAAATTATTTCGTAATATGATAACATATGAAACTTATTTTGATCCATATGCACATAAAGATAAACACAATCAAAATTGGAGTAAAGCTTATAATGATATATGGTCAACATTATTTCGAAAATATTCTTGTAATGAAGGTCTTATAAGTGTACAATCATGTTTTTCTGGTCAAACTATATATAGATATAAAAGTATCGAAGGAAAACGTTATCGAACATATATTGATCAAAATAAACAAGTTATTTGTGAGCATGTGGGATTTCATGAAACATTGAAAAACGTTTATATTAATAGTGAAATGATTTTTTATGTTACAAAAAATAATATGTGAAAGAAAATATTCATGTGCTGAAATACACGAATTTTACTATTAATATTAATTAGTTTCTTTGTTGAATGAAATTTTGTTTTAAGTAGATATGAATGAAATTAGCTCAATTCAGTTCCGTGTTGATGCATAGACTTTTATTTGCGGAACTTTGTCATAGTAGAACTCATCGGATCTCGTTCAGGTCTAGATCTACGTCAACATTCAACTCTAATTATGCATTTAAATGACGTAGAAATGATAATAAAACTCTTCTTTATTATGTTACCTCGATCTAACTACCATCATTAGGTTGATCAGAGCTATCTAGGAGTTTTAGCTCAGATTCAATTCCAGAAACAAAATTTGACAAGGACAGCTCGATTTGAAAAATTTGAATGACTAGTATAACTTCTATATAATAGACATCCTTCAGACTTTTCAAAAGTGTCCACTATTCGGAGACTAGATATTGTCTAAAAGCAGTTTTGTTACAAGGAACATAAGCATTTTTGAAATGTCTGAAGCGTGTTAGTGAATAAAAGAAAATTTAACTATCGTTCATTATATTTCTCTTTTTATGCATTTTTATTTTTGAAAAACTCGCAATTGTTAAAGTGCATTAAAATCTTCTTGTCGTGGACACCATTGGGACTTTTCAAATGTATTCATTATAGAATTATATGACAATGGCCGCTATGGGAAGTTTTACTATATTTTCATTCAATATTTGTCGATTAATTTTACTCATATTATTTTAACTTTTCGGAAGTTTGAGACAGTTAAATACTTAAATAGGAACTACTCATGTATATCAGTTTCAAAAATTCACTAATTAGTACAAACATTATTGTCGGATTTAGATCTTAACATAACTAAATGTGCAGTCTTCGCTTGTTAATCTAGAAAAAATGCTTTAACAAGGACCTTTCAATCATTTCAACATAGCTAGGCATGTATGAGTTTGAGAATGTCTATTATAATTTCAATTTTCAGAGGCGAAATTCAGCATTGAAGACAGAGGTTGCAGAGTAGTTGTGTCTCATGAAAATGGGCTGTGCGTGGACTATTTTCAAGAGTAGACAGGTCGTTTTAAAGGCAAATTTCAGAAGCAGAGAGAAAGAAGTCATGACTCATACCTTCCCCTCCCTCCCTCCCCGTATCAATTGCATATTCTGGTAGACATAATTATTTTAGAATGAATTAAAGATATATACATAACTTGACACAAATATTTAAACAAAAAAAAAAAATAATAATCGCATAATCTTGTTTACATTTGGATACAATGAAATATAATTATGTATTATTGATAAAAGAAAAATTTTCTTGATTAATGATTTCTTTCAACAGAAATGTTTAATTATAAAGATTAATTGACTAACAAGTTTAATAATGAAAAGCTTCAATTCATATAATGGTCTAATTATGGAAAAGATCCGCGCATTTTTTTTTCTCTTCATCTCCATCAACACATAAATCGAGCATCTAATCAACAGAGCTGTCTTTTTTTTCCATTCATCAATCTGACATGATTTGGTATTATTCGTATGTCTACATACTTTGATATTTTTTCCCATCATGATGATTTATATGTTATTTTTCTTCATTATGATAGATGTCACTAGTGTGCAATCTGATTTCTTTAATTATTTGTTTTAAAATAAAAACTTTATCATTTTTATTAATAAAATCTTTTAATAATTTAGTGATATTTAAATATAAAAAATAAATATAAATATTTTCATTTTCTTATTGGAGTAGACATGATGCTTATAATGTTTATTCATCCTTTTTTCCAGTCAATTAGCCTCATCTGTTATTGTCTTTTTTTTCGAGGCAAACCGAAAAGAAGAAACAGAATAAAAAACGAATACATGTGTGAAGTAACGTCATCGAATTTTCTTGAATTATTTCCATTAATTATTAAATTAATTGATAAATCATGTTTTCTTGCAATTGATACTGAATTTAGTTCAATAGATACATTTTCTTCATCAATTAAAACTATAAAACAATTTTATGAACAACGTTCTAATTTTGTAAAACAAATAACAATATTTCAATTTGGTCTTGCTATTTTTTCTAAAACATCTGATCAACAAAAATATGAAGTTAATATTTATAATTTTTATCTTAATCCAACATCAATTCATCCAATTGATGTTAAATATTTAATTCAATCATCATCAATAAAATTTTTAGCTGAATATAATTTTGATTTTAATAAATGTTTTTATTCAGGTATATCATTTCTTAATCAAACACAAGAACAAATTTTATTAAATCAAAATAAAGTAAAGAAAAAAAAAAATGATGTCATCATATAAATTTTTTTTGTATCCTTTAGTCAATATCAAGTTATAGATTTTCAATAACTGAACAAAATTTTTTAAATTTTTTATCTGAAAAAATTAATGAATGGTTAATAACAGCACATATTGGTGATCAAATGCAATATGAATTAAATAATAATAATAGTAAAGAAATTTTAAATGATTATTTACTTCATGTTGAAATACGTCGTTGTTTTAAAACAATTTGGACAACAACGAAAATAATTGAAAATAAAAAAATACTTTTTATTGAACATATTACAAAAGAAACATATGAACAAAGAATAAAAGATAATATTGATAACAATCAAGATTTTCAATTATTTATTCAATCATTACTTGGTTTTACTAATCTTATACATTATATACGAGATAATTATCGAAAACCAATCGTAGGTTAGTTAACTGATTTTATCATCTAACATTAATCCACTAGAGTTACAGTTTAGTTAGCATCGGGAATAGCTTATGCAAGTACTGATTACGACATTGAAATGATTAAATATGCAGGACTCAATAATTTTCACAAGTGGGAAAACCTACAATTTTAGCGGATAGTTTTCAAATGCTATGCATAAAAGGTAGAGGATGGGCACAGTCATCTCACATTGAAACCTATGTGAACTAGGATAAAGTTATTTAAAAGTTGAGATGCAGTGTAGACCATAAATAATCCATTGATCTTGAATGATATTGTATATATAATGTTTTTTTTTCGTTAGTAGGTTGTTATTTTATTTGTATAAAGCTGCAAAGTAACTTATTATGAATTGTTTTTTGAAAAATGAGTTCATGTCAAGGGGATGATTTATGGTTAGACATTTGCAAAGATGATTAGTTTTGGATTGAAATCAGGTCTTTAGTTTCTAGGATCGTTAATCTTTTGTTTTTTTTTAAATAATATCGAACCATTGGTTTTGATTACGATTGGAAATCATCCATTTCTATTGTTAAGGTTTTGGTAAGAAGGAAAGTTCAAGGTTCTCGATTAGGAAGGATTGGAGCTCCTCCGAAATGTCCAACTTTCTGTCAGTTGCTTAAAACTTGGTGGTAACACTTCGGACAGTGACTCGATTGTGAAACACCATTCATCGTTGCAAAATGAGTAGGATTTTGTGGGACAACCCGGCAGTAAATCGTTTGTTGTTGTAGGCATCGGATTATTGCGGTTTTTTTTCTTTTTTCCGTCAAATACTATCTCTTGAAAATATCGATAACGTTGGAAGGCCATAATAAAAGCTACAGATTTGTGTCTTTTATGAAGAAGTAGTTATTTAAAATCGGTCGTGGAATTTTTTCTGACTGACTATTATATAGTTCTAATAAAGTTTTTCGCATGACAATCCTATTATTAATGAGTTTCTATCAAAAAAAAATAATTCTAAAGAAATCATTTTTCTTGTTACTCACTACAAATGAATCAAAAATGATCCGACTTATCATGAAAAAAATACTACTTTTAGATCTCTAATGAAGAAATTTTGATAAGTTGCACAGTAAATAGACTATATCCGTACAAGTAGTATCAGTGGTGTATTCAAGCATGGTCGATTGAGCAATTTTCCACGGCTCAAAAAGTAATTGCCCAAGGCTTTTTTGAAAATAATGACAATTGTGCATAGTTGCCCACTCTTCAAAACAGTTTGATTAGTAAAATGTGCTTAGAAATCAAAAATCTCTGACTATGACACTGACTAGTATATATCAAAATCAGAATAAACAGTCTGTGTAAGTATTTAAAAAAACCAGATTTCTTAAAACTACACTGCTTTTCAACTTATGAAACTTATAGACAAAGAAGAATGAAAAGAAGTTTAATTTTTTACAAATTTGTAATTTATTGAAGGCTCTACACAAGAGTCGAAAACTATCTTCAGTCGATGGTTTATTACTTCAAATATATAGAACAGTAGAATGAAATCCAATCTAATTGAAAGTTAAGTTTTATTCATGACAAAAGTTTCATCATTTAGACTTGTTCATAGTAGAAAAGTTGAATTTCCTCTAAAAAATTTGCGTCCACCACTAGTAATCTATCTATCTATGCACTAATCAATACTTGGATTCGTTTCATCAAAGAGCAAATATGCATTTCTTTTTATCACAGATGGTCGAAGAATGTCAAAATATGATTTGCGTTGTTTACGTCTTGGTAGAACTACTGTACAAATTTTGATTCTGTCCTCCACTTCTATCAGTTAATTATTATTTTATATCAGTAAATATTAATCATTGTAGATTTAAAAAATGTTTTGGAATTGTATCAATAAAATTATAAATAAATCTCCTTCCACTAGAATAAAAGACCATAGATTTTCCGAAAGCTTTTTTTTTGCGGAAATCCAACAAATTTGTTTTTATATTTTAGTACTTAAAATGCTAGTATTTCGAGTAAAATACAAGTTCTTATTAATATTACTATTTTTTCTAGTAGAAAAATATTTTTAGCAAAAAAAACCTGTTAGCATAATTTCCGCAGGCTTAAAATATCAGACGTGATATAGTTGCTGTTGCTAATCGCAGAGAGGGTGTTTTATTCCATCTATTTTCAGACATTTTTTTTTACCATTCTTTTAATTAATCCTCGAGAAAAACGATAAGGCAGTATTTCGTATATTATAACGAGAGGTTATTGGTATACAGTCCTTAATCGCATGTTAACAACGTCTGTGACGTGTCATTGTTAAGATGTCTACAGAAGAAATCTAAGTGCCTGTCCATATATATCAGCACTCCTTTGAGATTATGTTTTAAAAAACTAGCTCGGAATGAGACAGCCATAGCATTTTATCAATGACTTTATACGGATTTTCGAAAAACATTCATCAAAGCTAAACCGCTTTACTGCACTGCTTTTAAATTATCCCTGAAAAAAAAATGAATGGTTTTATCTTGAGGGAAGGCCTCCAAACGGTTAATTACTTTTGAATTGAGACTGTGTAAATCTAAATGAGCTATGAGTACTCTGAAAAGATGTTATGACCTTAGCTTATTGCTGTGGCTATGTCGCATTTTTACGATATATTTTAAACGAATGTCGTGGTAAGAGAAAAAATGATTTTTTTTTTCAATTTCGACGCAAATCTTTGCATTGAGACACATGTTAACGAGAAATATTTACAAGAAAAAAATGATTCTCGTAAAAGCTTGTCTCAATATGAAATTTGAAGTCAAAGTTTGAAAATAATTTTTTGTTTTGGTTCTACTAAGACGAATTATGACGTTCATTTAAAAACTATTGGAAAAGTAGATTATTTTTGTGGTAATAATTTAAGGTCGTAAGCTCTTTTTTTTTTTAAAGCACTCATATCTCATTTAGATCTATATAATGCACGTAGTCTCGACTGAAAAGAAATTTCTCAGCTGGAAGACTTTCCTCATGAGTGAGATTTTCTTATCGAAAAATCACACGAGTCCTTATATGACATTAGAGACATGACATAAAATTTGTTTCCTGACAATTTCTTTGACTATTTGATTAAATAATACTTTGGATAAATCTATTTCCGATCTTTTTTTTATTTAAAAACTCATTAATTTAAATAAAATCGAAGTGATTAAATGCGAAAAATAAAGTACAGAATTCGACATATCTAACTATAAATAATTTCGAATATTAAATTTATATAAAATATATATTTTATTGTTTAAGGTCATAATTGTTTTCTTGATTGGTTACTTATTTATGATAAATTTCTTGATAATCTTCCATTAAAATTTGAAGAATTTCAAATATTAATGAATAAAAATTTTTTATTATCAATATTTGATACAAAATATCTTGCACTTGAAATGAAAGAATATTTATTTACACGTCAAAATCGGTCAAATATAAGTAATTATATTGAAAATTTAACAACAGCAACATCACTTTCATCACTATATGATTTATTAACATCAAAATATTATGATAGTTTAATATTTTTTAAACCAATTATTGAAATAAATTCAAATAATCGATATAAAAATCAAGTTTGGGTAAAAATTTTTTAGTTTTTATTTTAACTTTCTTTTTTTAATTTTTAAGAAACATGAAGCTGGTTATGATGCATATATGTCTGGTGTTATATTTCTTAAATTAATTTATTTATATAAACAAAAAAAATATCATAAAATTGATTTATATGAATATCAATCAATATTTGATATATGTTTAAATGATATACAAATATATAAAAATCGTTTTTATTCAACATTTACTTCATATATATCATTAAATCGATATGATAGAAATAAAAATTTAACAAAAAAATTACAACAATGTCTTGTTATTGAAAAATATAATAAAGATAAAATTGATATGTCAGATATAATATCACGTTTTAATTCATATTGTTCAATGGAATATGAAATAGATAATAATTTAAATAAAATTTATCTTTTATTTCAATCTGAACATTGTCAACGACAAATTCTTAAAGATTATACAAATCATCCATTATATAAAATTGAAAAATTTAATTGGTTTAAACATTCATTATTTGCTAAATATACATTTGGAATATCAATAGTAATGACTGGTATTTGTATTTTTTTTCTAGTCAAACGTCAAATTTGATATTGATATATATATATCGTTGATATTTTTCATTATTTTTGTTTTGATTTGGTTCATTGAAACAAAGATTATGTATGTATTTACATGGATCGGTGATTAAAGTATAATATCTTTCTACTGTTTCAAGGTTTTATATCTTTTCATGATAAAGATTCATTCTTGTTTTTTTTTTCTTCATCACTCCGTATAATTGTCTATCTTATTATGAAGCATTTAAATAAGAAGAACATGAAAAATATATACATAAGCATAAAATGATCGACATGGTATGTTGATATATCGATGGTAGTTAAACGTTTCGTTCTCCTTTATTCTATTAGTAGAACAGATACTTTACTTATAATTTGATCTATTTTTGAAGATTAATAAAAAAAATCGTGATAGATAAATACTAGGCAATCTTCCAGATAATTTCTAGTTATTCATACTTTCTTTTCTTGTTTGTCAATTTATCTGTTGGCCCCTCGACAGGAAAAAAAGATCATGGATCATTGATAATCTGCTATTGATTTGTCGACTTATTCGTTGACGTATTTCTCTTGATATCATGCGCATTCATAATGACATTGCTTCCCGATGTTAATGGTACTCGTGATACTACTTATGATGATGAAAAGAAAAAAAGATGTTTATGATTATCTGAACTTTTAATAATATCTGAGTAGCTCGATTTAATAAAAAACATATAATTTTGTTTGTTATAAAAATAAAAAAAACATTTGTTATGAATATGATAACTTGCTTTTAATTATGTCACATTTTATGTATATATTCTAGTATTGAATTCGACTCGTTTTTCCTCTTGTTCCATCATTGTCATTTCATCGTAATTGTCATCGTTGTTATATGTCGTTCTTCAGTTTTTTTTCTTCTTTTCTTTTCCTTTTCTTCTTTTCTTTTCTTTCATGGCTAGGGCGTTTTCACATTAGAGCAACAAGAGCTACTTCTTGTTCATCATCTCTCTACAGACGATGGATTTTCTTATATTTTTGTTCTTCATTTTTTTCTCTCCGCCTTTCCTTCGTCTTCTCAACAACATAGACATATACAGCTGAATCCATTCTTCCTTTTTTCTTTTGTTTTCTACTGATTTTGGTGAGTACAACAGCACAAAAAAAAGAAAAAGGATAATAGAATGAGAAGACGACGATGAAGACGAAGAAGAGAAAAATCTTAATCACATTTTTACTATCCGCTAACACCATCATCACACAATATCCATTTTCTTCATCAATGTTGTTGATGTCTGTCTTTATAACATTGAAAACTGATCTTACATAGACAAACATAGAAGAAAAAATTATTTGTATACTGACATAATTATAAAAGAAAGAAGTTTACTTCATTTTCGCCTCTAGTCGTTCGTAGTTCTTGTCGTCCATTGCCAATCAATCAATAATGGATAGTGTGAAATGGTAGTAACGTGGGCCATGTTTTCTCCTTTCTCTTTTCTCTCGTTCTTCGTCTACAGACTTTCTGTTGTACACGTATAAAAAACAGAAGTGAATTGTAATTGTTTCCCACTTGAGTGTCGTTTTGAGAATTGAGAGGAGGAGAAAAATGAAGAAAGCAGAATAAGATGAACTTAAGATTTCTTTTATTTTATGCATTGATCATTGACAGACACAAAGAAAAAGAAACGGATGAGATGTCCAATATTGATTTCAGGATATTGTTTGTTCATTTATCATTTCTATTTTAGATAATTTCTTTTCTGTTTCCTAATCATAATCATGATCGTCTTCAATTATCTATCAACCGATATACTCTACTTGACAATGTAAGTCAATGCTTAATTCTATAATTGAATTATTATTATTATTATTTTCTATTGTTTAGGTAGCATCGATACATTGGTAATTTAATAGAAAATCTCTGGTGTTTTTTTTTGTCCATTGATCCGTACATATTCTTTCACATGTATGCCGATATGATTTGTGATGTTATGCCACCAATACCTGAAGATGGTGGTGGCAATGGTACCAATCTGGAAGGTACTGGATCAGATAATGGTGAAGAAGCTGAAGCTAATATTGAACAGTTAATGGTATCAATGCTTGAAGAACGTGATAAAGTAATATTATTATTTAATTAAAAGAAGTAATTTTATTTTATATACAAATTGTTCTTTTTTTTTTTTGTTTTTAATATAGCTACAAGAAAAATTACGTGAAACAGAAGATACATTAAATACATCACAACAAAAATTAGTTGAAGTCGAAAAAGAACGTGATGTTTTATTACGTCAATTATCACTTAATGCTCCACAGGTTTGTATTTATAATACCATTGTTAATTGTTTTCGTTTTTGTAAGTTATTAAATCATGATCGAAACAAAAGAAAGAAAACTAAAAAAATCCCAGCTTATTATATTCACAAATCACGTAAATCTTGATTGACAACAATCAAATGTGCAAATCAATCGACATAAAAGCTTAACACAACTGTTAAAAAACTGCCATTATTTGATGACAGATCGATAACTATGTACGAATCATCTCTATGACAACTCAGAGAAGGCTATTTTCATCATTTATATCTTATCAAATCGAAATTTCATTTGACTTATTCGCTTATACTATATCTTTAGTTATAATCATGTTATCATTAATAGTTGTGTATTTATCTCAATTAATGATAAACGTTGATGTACTTGATGATAAGCAATTTTTTGCTTTTTATTTATTCGTAACATTTTTTTTTTCTAAAATCATATACATATATATGTATATATACACATACATACCTGGTATGATCAAAATGTCGTTACTCGAGATAAAGGCCATGTTGTCCGTGATTAACACTTTTTTCTTTTTTTTTCTACCAATCATTCACATGTCAAAGAATGACCCTCGAAACACTATTTGAGATAGGAGATTGTTGCTCGTGCATTAAGAAAGTATGTGTGTGATCACAAATTTCACAGTCGTTGTCGTGATGATCAAACACTGGTGATTAGATCGTTAATTTTTTCTTTCTCTTGTCCTCTACCTCGTTTTTTCTCGTTCTTTATTCTATTCATCATCATTGATTGTTTGCTAGAATAATATATCCAAAAGCTTGAATAGGAATTGACACACAAATGTAGAATCTAATGTAATTTAATATACTATATGAAATATGATACTTTACGCGCGATTGATGATAAGATTAAAACAAAAAGAAAAAGAAACTTTTTTATTCAATATTCTCATTTACTAGTAACAAATAAACAAATAAATAAAAAAACAAACAAACAAACAATTAGATAGTATCATGCCATATAAATGAATGTTATTCTATTTAGATAAACGAAATAAGACCTATGATCGATGTCATACTGTCGAGTGACATACTGTTTTCATCTATAGAAGCATATTAGCAAAGCAGTAGCCATAGTAATAATCAGATTTTATGCCAGGGTTCCTAATAGACTGGATGTCATAGAATATATAAGACAATGTCTCATAGAAGTAGTGTAAAATTTCAAAAGAATTGTCTCGTTGTGCTCAATAATAATAAAGCATTTTCAATAATTAGAAGAGGGAGTCAACACACTTCCCACTTTGCCAGGGCCTCATGATAATGCCAGTGTGATGACAATAGTCATTTCAATAATAAACAAACCCATCTATTATTCTTTCCGATGCATGAGAGAGGCATTTTTTTGTATGTGTATATGCCGTTTGCTTATTTATTACTCTTTTACTAGTTTCAATTGACAACAATACTAAGTGGTACCGGTTGCTTGCTTTCATCTCTAGACTATGGATATGATATCGACCTTCATTCTTATTCCCCGAGAGCAACATCAAGTTCGTATGCGTATATATAAATATATATATATATACACATGTACTGTTCTCAAACGAACCGTTTAATACAAGGTCATATGGATGATAAAGATTGATTATTGAAGGCAATACTACCGTTCGGTTGCATGTTACCATAATGATTGAACCACTTTAGCAAACAACTCTTGATAATAATTTTTACTTCTATTTGTTCTTCTAAGTAGTAAAAGCAACCTGGAAGGAGAGAGAAAGAGGAAGAGAATAGATAAATAGAGAAGAGAAAACGATGGAGAGAGAGAGACGATCTGAGCGGAAAAAGAAGCGAGAATCGACAACGACGACAAATTCGTTGATTATTTAACTCTACCGACGAACGAGCACACATACACTTACATTCACGTATAAAATGTATGTTTGAGCAAAGCTGAAGAAGCATCGCACATACACTCACATATATATATATATAAATAAAAAACTAATAAATAATGGTGAACATCGATTGTCAATCAAGTTCATTTCTCTTTGACAATCCATCGCCTTATCTACGTAAAATGAGTTCTACTACCAATCTCTATGGCTATTTAACACATAATATATCATTTAAAATGTTTTTAAATAATACCGATAATGACAATGATGACGATGACGATGATGATGATAATGATCAATTAATGGCAATAAGTCCAATAACAATGACAAGTTCAGATAGTAGTGATAGTGCTATTGTCTCCGATGAAATAGATGATATTGATTTAATAAATGAAAATAAATCAATACATCATAATTCATGGTCTAAAATATTGAAAAACCCTAATGAATCAATATCGACACCATTTGCATCACTATCACAATCATTTGATATTTTAAATCATCTTGAACAACAAGCTATTTATGAAAATATATCAAATAATAATCAACAAAAATATAAACGTCCTTTACCATGGTTCAATTCGACATTAACAAGCCATCATTCTTCTTCTTCTTCTTCTTCTCCATCTCCATCTCATACTTCCTTTCTTGAATTAACAACGAATAAGGTTTTTAAATTATTTATTTATTAAAAAAAAAGATAAAAATAATAAGAAAAATTTAACAAAGAAGACAATCTTTTTTTTTTTATCTCTTAGGATTATGTTTCACTTGTTCGTGAACTTGCTCAATTACGAGAACAATTGACAGAAAAAGAAGATGAAGTTACTGAGCTTAAAGCTGAGCGTAATAATACACGAGTAAGTTAAAACAATTTTTTTTGGAAAATAATTTCAATTATGATTTTTTGTTTTTCTTTCATTTTAGTTACTTCTTGAACATTTGGAACAACTTGTTGCTCGACATGAACGATCAATACGAACAACAGTTATGCGTAGACAAGCGCAAGGTGTTTCATCTGAAGTTGAAGTACTTAAAGCACTTAAATCTTTATTTGAACATCATAAAGCATTAGATGAAAAAGTATTAAAATATTAATAAGAAAAAAAAAGGATTTTTTTACAAACGTTTCTGTTTATTATTAAAGGTTCGTGAACGTCTTAAAGTTGAAATTGAAAAAAATACGCAACTCAAAGATGAAGTAGAGCGAACAAAGAATGAAGTAAGTAGACTTTTGTTATTGTTTTTACTATTTTAATATCAGAAAAACAATCTAGAATATGTGGCTGACGAGAGAATTATTCGCACTGACACCCAAAGTTTCAGTTCATAGTGGGTTAACAAGAAGACGAAAAAAAATCCTAGAAAGGTCCAGGATATGAGCCGCTGGAGTTGATAAATTTTCTGCTGACAAGAATGTTCCTTTGTTAAGCTATTGAATTTCTAAAAAAAAATAGTTGTTTATCATAAAAACCGAGTTTACTTGAAAATTCAATATCTCAAAAAAGGAATATTCTTTTCGGCTGAAACTTTCAGGATATTCCCAGAGTTATGAGAACTATCTACAGGCACAAGTTCAGATTGAAATACCTTTATTTGATTTTTCGATATATATCTTAAGCTGAATCGAAAATTCAATAAAACGGTCATAACTCTACTCGAGAGACTAATCGACACGAATCCTTCTAGGATTTATGTAGTCTTCCCTTGTAAATGGTCACGTTGTCCGACACTTATCTACAAGACACTTCAGTATCAACAATCATAGAATAGCCCTGGGCAAATCCTTAACAGCTATTTATCTAGTGTAGCATGTTGACTATATTTTAATATACGCCTGATCCTATTGTTAGTGAGCAGCTTAAGAATTTTGTGTCACGCTGATCTTCTGTTTAGAACCACAGTTAGTCATAGTTGTAGAGAAGATATCAAGCTATTGAATCTATCGCAAGGTAGTTAAAAGGGAGGCGTATTCTTCTGTAATTTAGTTATGACATGCAAGTAGTACTCAAAGTATTCTTTTGTCTTTGACATAAGAAACCAATTAAGTGACAAAACTTGCGGAAATAATTTTTTGCTTTAAAAATTAAGTATTTTCATCTAGATCGAAATTGCATATATGAAATAATAGTTTCGAGACATGAAAATATTAAGTATATTTTTTTTTTCAGTTGGCCGGTGTTCGTGAAACACAACAAGCAAAAGTGATCGATGTCAATCAATTAAAAGTAAATAAATACTAAAGAAAAGAAGGTTCTTTTCATTTTTGAACTCATTGTTTTGCTTTGTTTTTTTATAGACAATGTCAAATGGTACAATTGATCCTGATTCCTTAACTGGTAAACTAATTGAAATGCAAGAATTGATGGATAATCAATGTAATGAATTAATATCTTGTCGTGCACGTGTACATGAATTAATGAATCGTAATAAAGAATTAGAAGAACGTGCATGTTTATTTCAACGTGATTTATCTCATTCACACGAACAAATAAATAAATATCAACGTGATTTAAAAGAATCTCAAGCACAAAAAGAAGATCAAGAAGAACGAATATCAACATTAGAAAAACGCTATTTAAATATACAAAAAGAAACAACGCATTTAACTGAATTTAATAGTCGATTAGAAAATGAATTAGCTACAAAAGAAACTCAACTTATGCATGTACGAAACAATTTTTTAATATATCTAGTTCAAAATTTAAAAAAGAAACTCAACTTTGCTATTAACCGAAAACAATGTTTTCATAAAAACAGATTTCCGTCTATAGCAGAAATTTGACTTTTGACGAAACTTCCATAGTTTTAAAAGGCTAGAATCCATCGAGTACGAAAATTTTGAATCCAATAATCTCTACAAGGGCTCCACCTTCCGTTTCCAACATTTGTAAAGAACGACTGATGACAGTTTCAGTGTTGATAGCTCTCGATATGCAGAGCAACAGTTGTCAATAACTGAAAATTCTCAGTAAGAGATATTGAAGTGGTGAAAGTACAAAAATAGTTTTCTCCGTGTCGCAGCTACAATATGTCTAATAGAAATGACAGTTGTTTTTACAGATATGAGACATTGTTTGCGTTATCTGTTTTTTTTTGGTTTTTTTCTATCTCATTCCATTCGAATAATAGCATCACAACTCAAAACATGTTTTTTTTGGATAAGCTCTGGCAAAAACTAGCGGTATATGACTTTTTATCACAAAGAAAAGTAAGCATCCGAAACACTTTATAATATAAGTAGAAAAAAGTTTCAACTCAATCGGATATACTATGGTTGACAAACATGGACGATTCTCTACTTTTTGTTGTGTAAATTTTGATGTTTTTCAGGTTATTTATTGATTCTTGTTATATGCGCAATTAGAGCAGAAAAAAAAATAAAAGATCTAAAAATTTTTAGTCAAGCAAGTTGACAAGGTTTTCTTTAACATATACGGATGTTAAATTTATAGAAATGACATTTCTCTGAATAATTTTTTTTTAACGAAATTCCAATAAATAATTTTAAAAGAAAATTTCTTGAAAATATTTATTCCTGATCTAAGTGCATGTCTTCCTTATTTATTTAGGCTGAAGAAAAATATCAAGCTTTACAAGATAAATATGATTTATTAGAACAAAAACTTCAATCTCAAGCTGAACTTGATTCATCAATCAAACAAAATGGTATTACAATACCTAATAATAATGCTCTTAATGGATCTTCTTTACAAACATATTCGAACAGTCCAAATACTGATGATAAATTACATCAACTTCAAAGTGAATATGATGACCTTAAAATGGAATTAACACGAGTAATATGATTTATTTTAAAAACCAAAAAAAAAGGAATAACAAACTAAAATTTTGATTTCTTTTATTATAAAGGCTCGTCAACGTGAAAAAGTAACCGATGAACATAATACACGTTTATCAGCAACAGTTGATAAATTACTTGCTGAATCAAATGAACGTTTACAAATACAATTACGTGAACGAATGCAAACATTAGAAGAAAAAAATCATCTTGTACACGAAAGTGAAAAACTTAAAAAACAATTAGAAGAAATACAAAATGAACGAGTAAATAATAAAAAAAACAAAGAAGAAATTGCCATTTTTTTCTATACTAAAATTATTTCTCTTTTAGACAAAATTACTTGAAGAAGTTGATAAACTTAAAACTGAACTTGAAAATGTTCGAAAAGAATTACAACGTTTACAACAACAACAACAACAACAACAGCAACAGAAAATGTAAATAATTAAAGGATTCCGTCAGAAACTATCTTGGATCAGGATACCATATATGTGGTCTTATAGAGTGATTTATGGTACATCATGTGGTATACAAGAAATCGAGTTTTATGAAAATTTGGATTTGCTGAGGTTTCATATACTGGTCATAATCCTTAACGAATATATATATAATATTCATAGAAATCGTGGTACTCAAGATAAACCTATGCAAGTTTTGGTGTTAAACTCAGTTCGATAGAGTTATATGTATGTGCTCTTCAATTTCCTACAGTGAATATTTTTCATCGTTGCTTTCTTCATACTTAAAACGAGTCCCCATAAGTTCTAGGTTATTTCTCCACTGTATGATTCTGCATTGTGTTTCACAGATCAGATATTTTGAAACAACAGGAAGTCAATGCCAGTCTACAAAACTCTCCCATAGAATATCTTATTTTCGTATATGAAGGGATTGGTACTGTAACAATACTCAACGATCCTATTAAAAATTTTTATGTACGAACAATCAGTATAAAATTTCTAATAAACTGATATAAATAACTTCGTTTATAAATAAAAAAAAAGTTTTTTTGGCCTATGGACTCCTATAGAGGCGACAGGAATAGGGTTGCAGGAAGGAGGTCTGTTATTGTTATTATTTCTTTTTCAAATTATTATTCAGAGAATTCTGATTTGATTTTCACATGAAACTTTACAGCGATCTATAAACATCTCATATTCATTTTCAAAATAATTTTTTTCCGTATCTCTATATATATCCCCTTCACGAGTTTAGAGATCAAAAAAACACTGTTTCTGTTTTTGAAGGAGTTATCTACATATAATTTCATCATGTATGCTGTGCTGTTTATTGGCACATAAAAATTTTTAATAGAACCATTGACTATTATGAGTCCTTGCTCTCCCAGAAGATCTTTTCTGTAAAAACATATTGAGTTCAATAATATGCAATTTCTGAGAAAGCTTCATGTTGGTACTCATTTATTCTGTGATACAGTGTTAAACATATTGGAATATCAAGTACTGAAGCAATAACCTAGACCTAGACAAAGGAAACAGTTTTAAGTACGAAGAAAGTAACAATGAAAAATATTGATTGTAGAACATTGAAGAGCACATATAACTGTATTGAATTGACTAAGTTTAAAAACAAAACTTGCATATGTTTATCTTAAAGACCACAATGTCTATGAATAGAATATATATTCGTCAAGGATTATGGCAGGAATATGAAACCTTACCACATCTTAATTTTCATAAAACTTCATTTTTCATATACCATTCGACACACGGCAGAGTGCTCTACAATACTATATTTATGATATTCTGATTCAATATAGGTCACTAAATCCAGCGGATTGCTTAGTGGATTTGTTTTTTAATATTTCGTTTTTTTTTATCATAGTGAATCGATTCAAACTCAAAATCCTCCAACAAATGATTTTGTCACAAGTACAACTGATTCATTAAATCGACGGTCACCATCAACACGAGTTGTTAAAACAACTCCAACAGTAACTGATCATATTTTTAAAGTATTTAATCCAATTTTAATATATATATATATCAAATATTCTTTTATTTCAATAGACATCTGAAGCTGATTGGGATACAATTGATCAAGCTCAAGTTATAAATGATGTTCGTCTAGCATTTGAATCATCTGATGTTGAATTAACGACTGATGATGAAGATTCTTTATATCATCATCCGGTGACAATTAATAATGGAACAATACCACAACAATCAACACATAATGATGCACAAACATTAGCACTTGTTTTACAAGAACAACTTGATGCTATTAATAATGAAATACGTATGATACAAGCAGAGAAAGTCGATGCTGAATTACGTGCTGAAGAACTTGAATCGCGTGTTGTTGGAAATGCTGTTTATCATTTAGCTGATGACGATGAGGATGATGATGATAATGATAATGATAATGATACTGAATTAAATCATCATCATCATAGACATCATCCTCCCCAAGGAATACCAAATGGTACTCTTGGACATTATCAATCACATATATCACAACGTTATTTAAGAAATTCATCACCACCAACAACAACATTAAATACAAATACGACTTATACAGGACGATTAACACCACACACAACAGCAGGAAAAGCATATAAATTTAATACAGTAAAATTACAAAACATTTTCATAAAATATAATTTTTAATGTAAAAAATTTTTTTTTTTTCTTAAGGCACCACCTGGCATATCCCCGGCAAATTTATATTCATACAATTTAGGTTCGGATTCAATAGGTATTAATGTAAGTTTAACGAACTTTTTTCTTTTGCATGTTATTCTATTATTTATATTTAAATAGGAATATGATCATACATTACATCATCAATCTCCGCGTACATATCGTAATGATTATGGACCTACAACACGTTATTTAAAATGTGAATCAAGTCCACCAGTAACACCACCTCGAGTTACAACAAACATTCGAACAGCTACACCTCATCATGTTTATCATTCATCATCAAGTATTCAAAATCAGTACAGAATAAATACAAATACATCAAGAACAAATACACAACATATTGATGATAATACTAGGCATTATTAGTAAGTCGAAAAAGAAAAGCTTTAGATCGAAATTCTTTAAATATTAGGAATTATCTTATCATTATTGATTCATTTTTCTAATTAATATTCCTTAGCCACCTATGTCCATGTTGGTCATACAGGAATAATTGACCTTTTGGGCTGTAGAGTAATCAGGACTGTTCTGAGATGATCCCATCGCTCGAGACACTCTTGAAAGTAATAGAAATTTAACAGTACTGACGAAGTAACATTCTAGTCCTTCTGTATAAGTGCATTTATTGCCAACGCCAGATTATTCACAATGAATTGGATTGTTAACCATTGTCGGATTATTATTGAAATGATGGATTATATTATTAAACTGTTGCTCGAATCTTTATTCCATATATGCTTATACAAAATAGAATCTTGAATAAATAGAAGATCGAATTTACATAAATGAAGAAACATTTAAATCAAAATGAATTATATCAATCTATCATTTGTCTAATAGAAAGATATAATAGGCGATTTATAATTTTCTATTTCATTGAATATTATCAAAAGATACTAATTCCTATGAACCCTGATACGACTATCTTTAGGACTTCTATTTGTTATCCATCTAGAGTTCGTATGAATCCCAAATGATAAAATAAATATAATATTCGAATTGATTATTAGTTTATCATGGACATGTGAAGATTTGATCATAACAAGAACAAACAAAACCTATTGAATCTTTATTTTCAAGGTGTTTGAAATTTTTCGTAACTATTCCGTATTCATATATAATTTGAATAACTCTACGAAAAAGAACAACTATGTATAATTGACTGATGTTATCAATGTACTGTACTGAGTGTCCTCAACGCAAATCTAATAGGTCATAGTTCAATTAATGGTTATAAATGCATAACATTACAATGAATTCTATTAAAAACCGGTTAATAAGCATTCATATGTACTTTTTGATGGTCTATTAACACGAATAATAATTGAACCGTAATCAATAGATATTATCAGCATAGCCTACCAATCTTGACTAAAGCATAGCCAAGAGATAAGTGGTTTTTCAATCTAATATTGTGTACTCATAATAGTATGATGAAAACTGGCTGCGTGCCTCAGGTGTTCGTGTCAAGGTTAAATCTATCTATAGGAAAATCTTATTCTGAATGCATATATTCATTAAAACAATCATAACTCTCAAAGTATTTTAATAGTCTCAGAATCAGAATGTGGCTAAATCCCATCCAGAAATCCTTGAGCTTTTTCTAGAAATGAATCAATCCTACAAAATACCTACTTTTGAACTTCAAACAGGGTTCAAATCTCCCTACAAATTTTTTCTATCTCCATCATTATGTTTTAATCTCATACTGATATATTCATTTTAGCCCAAATCCGTCCATAGTTCAACCAACATCTTTATCATCAATAGCTCATCAAGATTCTCCTAGTCCAATAAGTTCTCAAAATTCAACATCAGGTGACGAGAATAGTTTGTATGCAAGAAGTCAACATCAACAACAAAAAAAGAAAGGTATACGTAATTCTCTTGGACGACTATTTACACGTAAACCTGGTTCAATTGATAATAAACCAGTACATGAAAGTATTCATCAACCTGTTTCATCTTATCAACAACATTATCCATCACCTTATATAAATCGTGGTAAATATAATTTTTTTTTTTAATTTTAATTTAAAATGTGTTGGATTTATTTTATTCTATTAAGCATCATCTGTACCTGCAGATGGTAGTGGACATAATGAAATGAATGAATCTACTACTGGTACATTACTTAGTTTAGGTAAAACAGAATTTGATCGACGTATAAAAAAGAAGTATGTTAAGAATTTCGTAAAAGAAAAATTTATAGAAGATTTAATTTTTCAAATAAATTTAGACAAGAATTACTTGAAGATGCTATACAAAATAATCGTCCATTTTCAACATGGGATGGTGCAACTGTTGTTGCTTGGCTTGAAGTTAGTATTTTTTTTTTGTATAACTTTTAATAAGAATATCATAAAGACGTGCGATTTTTATCACTTAAGAAAATTTCTGAAGCTATGTTTGTTTCGATCTATACAAGGCTGGCATTCTTTGCTTGTTCTGTTTAGGAGTTCAAAGACTTGTCCCGAGAAACTCAGTTTCAGCCAATTGATCTATGACTATCCGAAACACTAGCAAGATAGACGTGGTTCACCATACTGAGTTGATTGGTGATATTTGTTTTAAGGACCGTCATAGGTCAAGTAACTGAAATCGGGTATCTCAGGAAAAGTCTTTAAAACTTTCGAACAGAACAAGTAAATAATGCTAGTCTTGTGTAAATTAAAAGTAAAAAAATTTTTCTATCAATTTGTCTTATTGAAATTCTAACTCGAAAGAAAAAAATAACTTTAGAATATCGTTTTTGAAAATCTCTACCAAGAAACTCATCTGATTGGTTGATTACGGACCAATGAAATTTCTATGACCCTGGATCTTCTCTTTTGAATGGTAAAAACCACAAGCTTTTATGATATTTCTATCAAATGTTATTTAAAAACAAAAGTGGAACACATGACATTTTGATACGCATAATAAAAATCATTTCCTTATATATTATTTATAGTTATGGGTTAAAATGCCAGCATGGTATGTTGCTGCATGTCGTGCAAATGTCAAATCAGGTGCAATTATGTCTGAATTAAATGAAGAAGAAATTCAACGACAAATTGGTATTAGTAATCCATTACATCGACTTAAGCTTCGTTTAGCTATACAAGAAATATTAAATTTAACATTACCAGATGGACCACGAACATCAGTTACTGTAAATTGTGTTTTTTTTTTTTTTTTTAAACAAAAATATTTCTTTATAATTTTTTTATTTTAAAGTCATTAGCATTTGGTGAAATGGATCATGAATGGATTGGAAATGAATGGTTACCAAGTCTTGGTTTACCACAATATCGATCATATTTTATGGAATGTCTTGTTGATGCACGTATGCTTGAACATTTAAATAAAAAAGATTTAAGTAAACAATTAAAAATGGTTGATAGTTTTCATCGGTAATAAATTTTTTTCTTTTGCTTTTTAATTTTTAATATATTGAAAATTTTATATTTTTATTTTAGTACGAGTTTTCATTATGGTATAATGGTATTAAAACGAGTTAATTATGATAAAAAAGAACTTGATCGAAGACGTGAAGAATCTTTAAATGAAAATCAAGATGTGCTTATGTGGACAAATGAACGAATTATTCAATGGTTAACAACAGTTAATGGATTAAAAGAATATGCTAATAACTTAACTGAAACTGGTATTCATGGTGGCTTAGTTGCACTTGATGAAACGTTTGATCATAATACATTAGCATTAGCTTTACAAATACCCAGTCAACAAACAATGGTAAAAACAAAAAAAAAAGATTTTTATTTTGTTTAAATTATTTTTTATTTGTATGTTTAGACACGTCAAATTCTTGAAAGAGAATTTCGTTTGTTAATTGCCAACGGTACAGATCGAAAAATGGATGAAGTAAGTTAATAAATATAAGAATAGAATAAATGAATTTGATATTTTTTCAGCTTGACAGACAGTCATAACAGACGGTAAATTAAATGATGTTGTGCTTTGTCTTGTATATCATTATGCCTTTAACTTTTCGTTTCTTATTAGAAAATATCTAACAAAATATTTAGATTAATCTATTAATAAGCGAAAAGAAAAATCAAACTGTAAAAACCCATTCTTGTCATTACCCTAAATATTTATTTATCATAAGTTGATTAATTAATTATAAATCTTATTGTTTTTTTTTTTGTTTTGTTTAGAATGATCGAGCAAAATTAAAACGACATGCATCATTATTTTCTCGAAAATCGAAATCAAAAACAATCAATGGTGAAATCATACATACCAATGAAGTTGATTCATCAAATGTAACTCCTAATGATGAAATTCAACAATCATTAAATTAATCAAATTCGGCATTAAATCAACCAAAGAAAGTGTCCTTGTTCAGATGTGTGTATTTCTTCTCATGACATCGAATATTTCGGCTTTTTTTTTTCATGCTTGTATGTATGTACGCGTGTGCAATTGTTTTTGTTTTGTTCTCATTTTCTTGTGTGTACCCGCGCGACTATTGTCATATATACATATAGATATCTATTTTTTGTTTTATCTCTTGTTGTTGTTGTTGTTGTTAATGATCAACACATACACACACAAAAGCAAAATATGAGTTTTGTTGTGTTCTTACCCATATGTGTTCAAAAACAAAAAAAAAAAAGTTTTTTTTTTTTTGTCGAGCGGCTATGCAATAAATAACAAATTCATTCTTAATCATGTTTTTGTAAATCAACGAGTGCCGATTTATAGACAATATGTAGTATCAGTGTTCTTTCGATTTGTTTATTACAGAAAAAAAAATTGAGTTAAGGATTTTCCACTAAAACCTACCCATTGCTCACAAATTATATGTCGTGTTTTTTCTTCGTCTTCTTTGTGCAACTGATAGAGTCATGAATCATCATTATAAATGTGCAGCGATTCATTTGTTTTTTTTTGTATATGATATCTTTTTCTTACTATTCTTTTTTTTCCTGTCTATCTCAATACTCGTTTTTTTAAGTCCGCTGTCATGTTCTATTTATTATTGAACTGATTCTTTTGTTTCTTTTTTTTCCTCGTGTGTTTCCTGTCGTTTCACTTTCAATGCATGTTTGATTCACTGATCATCTATGCAGATTGATACAGATCATGCACATCAATATTATCCTTGTCTTTTGTATGCTTCGAAAATGTGTGAAAAACGCTTCATTTTCGTTTTGTTTTTGGATGTTTGTTGTATCAATTTTCGTGTGTGCGTTTTTCTTTCTATGTTGCTCTAATTGTTTTTTTTTTGAGAGCACAATTTGAGTTTAAATGAAAAATCCCAGAATAACAATCTATTAAAACAAAATATTTTGATCCCTATCTTCTAATTGACAGATTGATTGATAAAAATCATACACTACTAATCATATCAACTCAGCAGAAACGAAAAGTTAATACAGGATCAACAATGTTTAGCGAATGAACAGACATCGATATGAATATAATATATTTTTTATAATGATAGACAACGATACAACACAAATATCGAATGAAGAGTCATTATATTCAAAGAATAATTAAGAAATTTCGTAAGTATTGAATGATGATGATATTTTCTTCGTGGATTACAGTCAGCAGACATACATACATACATACAAAGACATACGCCATTTACAATACTATCGTTACATTTATTGATTTACGAGCGGCTAGAAAATAACAAATATACAAATGCATACTTTGAATATTCCTCATAACTTAGAAAAAAAAGAAATGTCAATGCCAAGAGATTATATCAATGTGTTTACAGAAATAATGTTTTGTACGAATGGTCAAATTTGCAAAAGAAGATATTCCTGAAAAACTTTGTACATAACAAAATTAATATTCTTACTTTATTTTTGTGGATAAAAAACTGTTCTCTACACATGAATCCAATCAAATTGAGTCAACACTTATAGACAAGTTAACAAATGTATCAGATTCAGATGACATCAGTTCACAATCTTTTGGAACCAAACCCATCTCTGTTGCCATATGATACTCAGACCAATAGTTTTAATAGTATTATAACTTCAAAAGCGTTTTGTTTGATGAAAACAATTTATCATAGCGATTTCGAACATATGATCATTGATTGATGAGCTTTTTTTTTTAAACTGAATCAATAAAGATTATGAATAAGTTCTTTAGCATCTTTGCTCGTTGAGATAGTGCTTTCAAATAAGATGCATATATGATAGATTTTAAATAAAATTCAAGATTGAACGAATAACACAATTATAGGCCAACTATAATATTCGATACTATACCTTTTGATTATGTATCTTCCAAGTGATGATTTAAAACTCATATCGAGCAATTATCAGCAAAACAATTTAATCTAGACTTTAATTTCCGTCAATGTCGTTTTTTTTCTGTCCAACGAAGTTGAAAAGTTTTTCGCATACGATTCTTTGTAATTTAGACTTTCCGTGATGACTTTCATTGTCATTGTAGCCTAGTTAAATTGACTTGTGTTCTAGCTTCTGCTACAAAATCTAAAGACATCAATCATTTGAAGTATTTAAACTACATATTATTTGCTCTGAATTATCTTTGTGCACGGTCAATCGTATAAAGGAAGTAACTGTAATGATTTCGATTGGCTTGAATCTAACCTGTAGCGGATAAAAAGCAGAGTTCATCATATAGGTCAACTGTTTTTCTCGTCCGTGCATTTGCAATCCAGAATATCACTGTTTATGCTTAATTATTGCCGTACTATACTTGACCTTTTGTTTTATTATTCATTTATATTCGTACTACAAATAAAATGACTTTAGTTTTAGATCGAAATAAATGGTAACGACTCCATTGCAATGAGTAATCAATTATCAAAACGTGCTTTTGACGATGTATCATCTAGTTGTAGTGAAGAAATAAAAAGTAATTCCACAAATAAGCATTTAAAAAATGCGACCATTCCTAAAAATAAGTGAGAAAATGTTTGAATCTAATTATATTTAAAAACCAAAACATTAAAAATTATATTTTAGGTCAATCTTTCAAGATCTTTGTATAGATATTGTTCTTGAAATTTTTCGATATCTCCGTCCTATTGATCTTTTATATTCATTTAGTGGTTTTTATGCTCATCTCGATGCTCTTTTAGAACCATATACACATACACTTGATTTTCGTTTTATAAATAAATCCTATTTTCAATGTTTAATACAATCATTATTTCCATGTTTTACAAATAATTTACGTGTACTTCGTTTAAGTAATGCATATACATTTGGTCAAATAAGTGAAACACTTTATAAACTTGATTGGTCTCAAATTAATCAACTTGAATCATTAACATTTGATTTAATTGAATTCGATGAATTATCGAAATATTTTCTTGCTATTCATCCATTACTTAAACATCTTTGGCGTTTATCATTAACATTTAATGAACATGATAAATTTACTGAAAAATTACTTATTGAACAAATTCTTATACCAACAAATCAATCTCAATCATTAAAAAATTGTTTTATTATTGGTATTACATTTGATTTAAGTAAATTATCTGGACACAAATTAAATGAAAATTTACGAGAATTAACATTAACTTTAGCTACAATAAATGATCTTATAATTCTATTTCGTTGTGTACCACATTTAGAAATACTAACATGTACTGTCCTTGATAGCACATATAATGAAAACATTGATAAAATTCAATCACTCGATTTCTTAACAATATTAACATTAAATATTAAAACATCAATTCTATTCAAAACTTTACAAAAAATTCTCATACCACATAACAACTTAAAACAAGTGTCATTACAAGCTATTTTACATAATGAGGTTAAATAGATAAATTTATAGTGTCTGTCATCAGTTCGAAATTGAATCAAATATTTTTTTTTTCGCATATTTTTTATCATGGTTGAATAGAACTCATTGTGTTACCTATTAAAAGCTTTTAGATTAATCCTTACGAGATTAAAACTTTTACTTAATCCTCCAAACATATAATAAGTAGTTAATATATTGTAATCTGCCATTATCGATATACGATATCTGATGATCCTTAGCTAACATCTGTCATGACCTGTGAGGATGAAGGGATATAAATTTCTACGTTATGTACTTTAACACTCCTATTCGATCATGTTTCACAAAACGACATATTCAAACGATATGTTTGGTGTGCAAATATGATAGCAAAATAGAGTAAGTACTGGTTTGCATTCTAAGATTGTGACCATCAGAATCCCCGTTACAATTGAAACGAATATCATATTAATTATCAACACAAAAATCTCCATCGAATACTATACTTAATACTTAAAACTAATTTTCATCAAAGTTCGATTCTTACGTCCTCCCCCGTCCTTCACTGTTATTATCAAATGTTCTGATCTGTACTTTCATGAAGATCGGTATTAGACGAAAATTAGTCTTTAGTATAATATTCGATGCTGATTTTTCTATTGATTCTCAATATGATATTTAAAGCCTGCATAATTTTTTTTCTTACTATATAACAAGCAAAATCAAAGAAACATTCCGATAAATACTGACACTTGATGCTTTTGGCTTATTTTAATTTTTATAGACATTTTTAATGTTTTTAAACCTAATTTTCCTTTGTTTCACTATAAAAATATCGTCTGAATATGCCATTTTTAGAGATAACTCGACGAGTTCTATGCAACCACGACAAAAACAATTTCTCTCAAGTTTCGAATTGTCGATTCCTAGAAAAAATGCTCTTCTCTATTGTTTTTAAGATTTCCTATATACTTTTTTTTCTGCTTAATTTAGAATTCTCCTATGAATTCCAATCAAGAAATAGGTGGATTAGCATTAGAAAAACTTTTTCGAACATTTCCACAATTAAAGAAATTACAATTCTATATACGTCATTCACATAATATTTATGGTACACAAACAAATCATTCACCTGATCATTTGTATCTGTTTTCATTTACATCTCGTTTTTGGCTTGATCGATCTATTGAAGTTTTTTCACATTTTGTTCGCCAATCACAACAACGTTATACTTATACATTACCATTTGCTTATAATACATTTGATATTGTTGATGATATAACAGAATTTTTTTTTAGAAACTATCCATATTATTATGGTAATGTTCGTCATTTATCATTATCCTCGGCGTCTAATCTAGACGAATTTATTTATTCAAACATAATATTAAAGTTTTTTCCAAATATTCAAACAATTACATTTTCTAAGGAACCTTCTTCAAGTACTACAATCAATATTTTAATTAAACATCAATGGGTTCTACAGAAGTATGCTTTGATTCTTGATAAAGTAAATATTAGATTTAAAAAAAAAATTTAGATCTGGATCTAATACTCTTTCTACGACGGTCTTTCCATGTGTCTATATTCATAATCATCGAAAAGCAACACATTTATATTTTCGAACATTAAATATTACTAATAAAGATCGAATATTATTTGGAAATGGTAGACGACGTATTCGACAATTAACAATTTATGAAATGACTCAAGAACAATCAATTTATCTTAAAAGTTTTTCTCCATGGATTTATATTCTTACACTTCATGTTAATACCTTAGAATGGTTCTTTTCATCGAACGATTGGTTATATCATCTGTTAACTGATATGAATTCGTTATTTAGTTTAACTGTTTATTATCCAAAGTATTTGAATAATGAAAGATTACATGATTTACTTGCTAATACATTATTAAACGTTAAAAAGCATTTCTATATCAAATGTAACGATGGAATATTGAATATATGGTTTTAATATGTATAAGTTATTGTTTTTTTTTCAATTGTAATTGTATTTATTTGATGTTTTATATAACATACAGATAGTAAAATTGTCCAGTTTTGAAAGTAAAAAATTTAAAAAAAAGAAATATTTGTCTGATTTCTTCTGATCCTTTATACAATGGTGGAAACTAAAAATATCGAAAATATTAAAATGGCGACTTCTGCAATTTCACTTCTTGTTAAAAAAAAACAAAAATTAAAAAAATAAAAATAGCTAAAGTTATATCAAATGCTTATTATTGAAAAAGAAACAATTGAAGACAAGCATAACAAAGTTCGATATATCCATTGATCAATCTAAAAAAGAAAAAGTTCTTATTAAATAATCTTAACTTTTTATTTGTCATGGCAAAACACAAATCATTAAGAAGACCAGATGCTGTAATAAAATACTAATTAAGATTTTTGTCTTCTCTTCACATTCATTTTTATGCTCAGCTACTCTCACACAACCAATCAAATCCACATCTAAACTCCGCTTTGTAGATGTTTTCGAAATTTTGACTTTTAATCAAAATGCCAATTACGTGCCTTTCTTCCCATTGTATTTTATTTTCGGGTAAATCCATGGTTATTCAATGAATTTTCGGGAAGAAGTTTTTTTTTTTTTTTTACTCACTTGAGTTGCGCTAGTCAAGTGGGAAGTAGTCAGAAAACAGTTTTGGTCGAAAAACTTTGCTGATTTTCGTTCGTCATGTTGTAGATTTGCAGTGTTTTCTTGGAACGTTTCAGAAATAATTTCAAAATTTTGAAGACATATTTTCTGCATAAGTAGAATACCATTACACTAGTACAAACTACAAAGTATTCTTCTTTTTATTGAGTTTCGATCAAAATATGAATGCTTCAAATAGAGGGACTTTGCAAATTTTTTAATAGTTTATTTTAAAAATACTATGCTTTGAAACAGTTAGATCTCGGTCAAATTTTAATAAAAACAAGAATAATTTGGCAGTCGTACTAGTCTCATGATACTCTATTTATTGGCAAATATAAATTTAAAATCTTAAAATCACTTCTGGAACGCTCCTAGAAAAATACTTGGAGTTTCTGCGATGTCAAGCGAAAGTTAGTACATTTTTATAACCAAAGTAGTTTTCTGATCACTTTTTACGAAAATAACGATAAAGGCTTTTTCTAGAAAAGTATTGGGTTACCCCTGGATTTACTCTAGATCCTTAAAATCTCTCTCGAACTACTCAGAACGAACACTACAACATGTCAACACCCGTATGCAACTAAACTATGATAGTTTTTGGCCTATATACGATACACTATATTATGGTTCAATTACGGTTTCATACGGTGCCGTATACGATAGCCATTTACGTGCTATAACTGTGCCGTATTTACGTCGCATTGTTAAAACACGTACACTTTATAATTACCTACCATGTGATCATAGACAATCAATAGGGTCTTTTGAGTTCTATCCAATGCTACCAAGCTTTCATGGCGTTATTTTTCTAGGTATTGCTTTCTGATGAAAACATTTACATGTATTGGTTTTCTATTTAAAAACCAAAAATTCTTTTTTATGAGAACAAAGTTACATTTTAATTTTTGAGTAGTTTGTACAAATCAGCAGACAACTTCTATCAGAATCTGTCTGGCATACTCATCTGTGTTATTTAATAATACCTATGGACTATGTTTCATTGCTACCAATTTAAAAAAGAATATAAATATTTTTTTATTTAAAGTAATTCTCAAACAAGTATACAAAGGAAAGTATTAATTTTAGGAAACAAATAATTTGTTTAAAATTTAGATTGATTCCTGAAACAATCATATGTGTAAAAATTGGTTTAAACAAATAGATTATACAAATATTCGTTTAGTACAGGAGAGCGTAATAGGAAGTCACTTCTCTTTAATGAGAAAAAGTTCATGTCAATATGATTGCAAACGATGGTATGACCGTAAAGACATCGTAATCGTACCATATATGATTCCTATACGAACACTGTAACGTAGCACCTGGTTCATAAGGTGAACCCAATATTCTAATAAATTATACTAAAAATTTCGTGCTCTATATTATAAGGTCAATTCCAATAATTAATGCTTTTTGTTATCTAATATTTGTTACTTCCTATAGCAATCAATTCAAATAATTACTTTGATGTTTGAAAGGAAAACGACTACATTTTAAATGAACTATATTACATAATTCTATCGAGTGACTAATCTTTTTCCATAGGTCATTCTCTTAATTATGTTTTGTTTGATAATAAAAAAAGTAAGAGGAGTTAGTTCATTTTTTAATATTAGCATTCTAATATTTTATAAGTCAACATATTTTTATATAGGTTAAATAAAAGAAAAATTGGATAAAAAAAGAAAAGTTATACAAGTGATACATCCCGTGATATACACAAAGTATTCATTCGTTTAGGTACATCATATGATGATGATGACATTGATTGTCGAGTTTGAAATTCATATATACGATACTGTTCGAGTAGTTGATCAGTAGTAAGTATTTGTGTTTCAACTGGTAAATGATTTTCTGACACATCAGAACTACCCGAATAACCTTCATCATCACGTATTGGACTTGATGATGAAAATGGTGATGATGATGACTTTTGTACTAAGTATATTGCTGTACGTGCTGGCGACAATGACAATTCATGATCGTCGTGTACTTTTAATTTAGATACAGTTGAAATTGCATCATATTCTAGAAGAAAACAGAAAATGTGTCATGATGTAATAGAAAAGCTGACAAGAAGAAAAAAAAAAAGATTATTGCTTATTGAAATCTACTTACTATCATGAACACTTTCTTCACTACTGGATAAAGATGATGATTTCTAAAAGAAACGAACTGTTAATTAAAGGAAAAAAAAAAATATTTTAACAAACCTGTTTATCATGACAAATTTGATTATATTTACGTTTTCTAATAATTATCATAGCACAAATAATTGTAATAAGAATTAAAAAAATACCTAAGAAAATAGGTATAATAATTATCCATTGTGATTGTATAAATAGTAAAAGAAATGATTCATTCAAATGTGATGTTATTTCAAGTAGAAATGTATCTTCATAATTATTTTTATCATTAAGTTGAATATGAAATAAATATTGTCCTTTAACAGGTTGTAATAATTTAATAAGTGTACAATTTGTTAAAAGTTGAAAATAATTATAAATTCTTGGTTGATAACGACAATATGTTGAATTAAATAAATTTATTGAAAAAAATTCATTTTGATTAATATGAAAATATTTTTTTATTAAAAATGGTATATGACCATATTCATTAATTATTCTTATAGTTATATTTGTATTAATTTCTTTTTTATATTGATCAATTGCTTTATAATTTAACATGTAAATGCTTTGTTTTTGTCGATTAAAAACAGTTGATGTATATAAATAACCTGTTTTTGTATGAATATAAAAATTTTTTGTATCATCTATTGTATAGGATATATTACGACAAAATTTATTTGTTATTTTTTGTAATATTAATGTTTGATTAGGTAAATTTTCTTTAATATCAATTAGATAATTATTTTTATTAAATGAAAATTGACATAAATTTTCATTTGGTTTCATCGAAAATTGATATGAACGATTTCTCCATAATGATGGTTGATCATTATCACAGGAATTTAATGATAAATAATAATAATCATGTTCTATTAATTGTGAATTATTTTTTGTTGATAATATATATATTGATTCAGTTATTAAACCATTTTTAATTTGACGTACAAATTGTATTTGAAAATGTTCAGTATCATTTATAACTAAACTTAAGTTTTTTGTTGATTCATCAAGATCTTTTATATTTATTGTTGCTAATGGTGTTGAATATGTATTTAAATCATATTTAATTTTATTTGATTCATATAAAACTGATGGATAAAACATTAAATTTATATCAGGTAAATTATCATTTATATTTAATACATGAATTATTATTTCACTAAAACAAGGTGCTATTGTTGATGATGAACGTGCTTGAATAGTTAATTTATGTATTGTTATTGTTTCATAATCAAGAGAATTTAATAGAATTAATTCTCCTGTTGAAGAATTAAGATAAAATGTTTTATATATATCACCATAGAGTTCATAGTGTATTAATAATGATGATGATGATGTTGCTTTAATAAAACCAATTTTTGTATTAATTAATGCTGCTTCCGAAATATAAAATTCGTATGAATCATGTTCAAAAAAAAGAAATGTTGCATTAGTTATATAAATTATTAATAATAAACGTAGGAGAATCATCTAAAAAACAAAAAATAAAATTCTTAGTCCATATATTCTTTTATAAATATAAAATGATCATTTGTTGGTTTTCTTTCTTTTGTGTCTATTGTGCTTTGAACATACATAGCAGGGTTACTTACTTTGGGATTGATTAGCACCTTCACCACTTGCTTCAAATTAATGATAAGACAGACCTTCTTTTTTTTTTTTTTTGCTTGTCGAATATACACACTTAATCTCACTCCGACAACTGTGCACTGTTGATCAGCAAAAGATCTTACCTTGATCTGTGCGCTAATCTCATGATGCTATCTGACACAATACACGCGTATAGATCATTAGACGAAGAAAGATAGATCTCATACACCATTATTTTCTAGACTGAACATTGAACTCGCGTGAACAATAGCAATTAGTATACGTATACATACACATTTGAACAGAAGCAATAGAGAGAGAGCAAAAGAAATAAGAGAACAAGAGAATTTTTCTCTGCAAAAATAGGAAGGAGAGAAAAAGTTCATTTATTCGAACAGAATGTTGATGATCTGATAAGCACGACGACACCTGTAAAGAAGTTTGTCAGGATAATAAATTAGCTTTTCCAAGATGTGTACACGACAGACGATGAGCACCGCTCGAAGATACGTGTCTTATTCACAGCAGGGTGCCGGACTACTCTCCATATGTCCGTCAAAGAATATAAACGAGTGAACATATTCAGCTGATTCAATATGGATACAAAGTGTATAGAAGCAAAAAAAATGAAGAAGTTTGACTTCTTTATTTCTTCCTTTTTTGATCTGCTTCGTTGAATTAGTATAGTAGCCGACGGCATTCAAGTTTATTTTTCTTTCATAATTGATGTTTTTCAATTATATTAGCCGACGTTGGCTATATTCGTGATGATGATTGCTAGTTCACTGGTCCATACTGAACTGATCGTCCGAGAAGAATTTCTGATGTTATGATAAGGTTATAAGAGGCAATCTGGACACCGGGAGGTGTGACCGACATTGGACAATTACTCTTCATTTCTTTTTATATCCGGTTTAGAATAGGATAGGAAATTGATGTCTCAACTAAGTTTGAATGGTCATTTCACGTAATTTTAATGTCACTTACAGATAGAGAAATAGACAGATAATTATCTATTGACTCTCGTTATATGAATGTGTTTGTAGTTTTTCCTCATTGAATAGTGCCGCTAAACAATGGAAAGAAGAGTTCAAAACGACGCTGTTGGAGAAAAGAGAAAAAAAAATGGCGTTATTGTGTCTGCAACTACCACCTACTGTCAATTAGGCACTGCATGTACAAAGGCGCGGTCAGTCGGCAAAATATTTAAAAGTATAAAATATGTGTGTTTGTGTGTGTATGTGGCACTATAGACGTGATCCTAACAGTGTAATTTGTCTTGGGCAACCGCGCGAATGGGATTATGAGTCACTTTACTGATGTGTACATATGTGTCTATACTGAATAGGAGAAGAGACATAGTAACAGTAGCAGCAGCTTGCGTCTTTTCTCTGTTATAAGAGTTACTATTAGTGTAATTGCAATAGTGCTTGTCGAAAGAAGAGAAGGGGAGGAGAGAGATAGAGACAGAGAAAGGTTAGACATAAATGAATTTGTTGAATTGTACATTAAAAGTTTAAGAGAACAGAGAAAGAGACACTCGTAATCGCCTACTGATGTTTATGATGAATGAGTCTTGTATGCATCTCACAAATGCACCTGCATTCTTCTTCATTTTCTTTTTCGTCTAATCGACATCGTCTAAACATACGTACCTAGCAAAGAAATGATATCCTTGCGGCTTCAATCGACTTTGTCGACACGCACAATGTTCCAAACAAAAGCGAAAATACAATATAAAAACATAAGAAAGACAAAGAAGAAAGGCATTGTCTATTATATATATATATATATTTATCAAAGAAGTTCAATCATGTTTTGTTTTGAGATGTTGTTATCCACTAACCAACACACTTGGGATATTGAACCCGAAACATAAGTGTGCACACGCCATGCAGGTACTCCATATATACATCAAGTGGAAGCAATCATTCTTCACTTTTACTACGTTGTCATTCATTGATACGACGAAAAGAGAAAAAAAATTCGTTTGTTCACTCTCTCACCTTAAAACAAATTAAGTCAACAAGCCTATATACACTTCTTCCTTTTCTCTCTTGAATCTTACAACAATACATAATCACAAGGACTCTTTTGGGTGCTCTTTTTTTCTGTTTTGTTTCTACACGACCCGTAAAGTTGATAATCGACAATCAAAACCCATGAAACTAATTATACGGTAGATTGTAAATAATACTGTCAATCTAAAGAAAGACGAAATGATTATTTTGTTCTTCAATCAAGGTAATAACAGAACTAGCCATCGTAATGCTTCCTTCATGAGTTAAGACTCGTTTTTTTCTCATCTATCCATGATGAGCGTTCAATTGCCAATGTCTGACTTTTTCTGATAGACGCACACATGTTTCTTTATTTTTGATCGCGTTCAACGTAATTATCTTGCAATTGCGACAGTATATACATTCATACAAGCATATACTAAGTTCTGATCATTATAGTTAAGAGTATTGATTACGAATTTTTAGCTATAATGAACTATTCCAAGCTGTTTCCACTAGGTACATGACTTCCATGACTAAGAGAATGTATTGTATACTTTATTTTCTACATTGTTCTCAATGATTATTATTGTGATTGAAATCAGAGATGATTATTGAATTGAATTGAAGGTTACAATGCTCATAAGTATAATTATTCATTCTCTTTTCACACACTTGTCAAACGTTGAATTTAACACCTTTACTAAGGCAATGCATAGAAAGAAGCAAAAAAAATTTATCACATTTCAATCGATCGATTTGTTTTGTCTTTTTTTCTAAGCACCTGAAATAATAGATCCAATTATTTTCTTGAAATTGTCAATTCATCTCCATATGTGTGTTTTGTTTTTCTAGATATAAACGTTTGAAAGTAAAGAAAAAAAAACAATAACAAAAAGTTTTTTTATGTAGAAAAAGGTAAATGATATGCTTGATTAAATTTATCGATTTAAGTGAATCAATGCTTGTTTTTTTTTCATTGGTTCTAGGTATACATAGATAAAACATTAACCGTCACAGAAAAGAAAATATGACGTTTGTTTTCTTTTATAAGATATGTTTTCTACCGTAAAATTATTTTTACTTTATAATATATTAATAATTCTTGTGTTAATAAAACACAAAAAAAATATTTGCAGGCCTTCAGCATATTATTAATTACCTTTTTAAAAGTCTTATTTACGATTGATTTGACAAATACATTGTAAAATAATGTTTGTTAAAATTTTCATACTCTTCACACTTTGTATTTTGAATACAATGTCTTTAACATCGGTTAAAGTACCAAAATATTTAGCTGTTTATTATGGATGGCCATCGTTAGTAGAAAATAGTCAAGGTGATGTAACAGCAGCTAGTAATTGGTTTGGACAATTTGATTTAATCGTTTTTGGTGATGGAATCTGGAAGACTACACATGGTGATCATGTGAAAACAAAAGCTATCATGAAGAATTTGATTCGTCGTGGTAAAAAAGTATTTGGATATGTTGATCTCGGTGTTACTACACAAAACTTAAATATAAAACAAATGCGACAAGCTGTTAATGGTTGGTCAGCAATGGGTGCTAGTGTAAGAAGAATATAATTCAAAATTGCGANTCAGTCCAAAATTTGGCACTTCGCATTTATCATTTTATGATATAACAGTTGGTATTAGTGATCCAAATGTATTTATTCCACGACGAGAATGTCTTTCAAGTGAAGAATGGAACATGCGACAAGCTCTCTTCGGCGCACCAACGAAAAAGAACATTTAGAAAGCTTTTTTTTATAACTATGTGACAATTTTTTTTTTTTACAAAATAAAAAAAATTTGTACTTTCAATAGAATAATGATTAATACTTTTCAAATGGTTGACAAATAGTAAAAAAGAGAGGCAATGTTTTATGTAATCAACTGAGAGGATGAATGTTTGTTTGATATATCCAGAAAAATATAGATGAATCTATATCGCTTTACATTCAATGATTCACTTATTTATTTATGCACCCGATATTTTGAAGTTTCGTTTCATGATATAAAGTATTTTTCATATAGATTTCGTATTTTTGTTACAAGAACAAGAATTACAAGTAGTGAGAACTGCTAAGATTTCAATAATCTATCTTCATTTTGCTCTTTTACATTCCTAAGCAAGTAAAATTCGTACTGAATACTTGAAAATGAAATGATTCATATTATGTAATGGTATCCGATTTGCAAATGCAATGACAGATTTTTTTTTGCACTCTTACCCCAGTTTTTCTAAAAAAGATAATTGCTAAACGTAATATTATTTTATTTATTCCTTATTAGCTACTGTAAATGTCGTTATCTTAAACCGAACTTTAATGATAACTGCAATCTACACTGACGCCCGGGTTTTTGTTTAAATAGAGTCAAGGTAAGTGACAACAATGTTGACTATACTCTTCCCACAGCATTATATATATATATAGACGAGCCATTTTCCAAGTCTCCAACACAGTTATTTATTCTTCTTCTTCTGTTTCATTTTCAACAAACGAGGTAATGATTGTGGCTCTTGTTTTTTGCTTGGTCGGCATTGCAGTTGCACAACAACCAATTCCATGTACTACTCCACCACAATGGGAATCACGTATTTTTGACATTAACGAACAAGAAAAATTTTCATTGGGAGGCAGATTAAGTTATGATGCTACTTATCATCGTGAACGTATTATTGACGAAATCGATGAAGGCAGTCAAGAAGAAAGTTTTGACACAATTGCCCTTTATGATTCGAAAATTGAATTTATTTATAATTTTAAAGCTCATAATTGTACACGTCGGGAATTAACTCGACCATGGCGTGATTTTGGTATTCGTCCAACTGATCGCTCATTTGGTGAAGCTTACATTGGCTCATCGATTTTTCCTGATACAGGTGTATTAGTTACAATCTGGTAAATGTATTTTCAAAACGATTTTCTTAAATAAATGTTTATTATATATTTAGGGCTGGTAATTTCACATTACCATCAAATGATACAATTGATTATATTTCCACATGGACCTATCGAGGATGTCTTCCAGTTTCTCGAACAAGTTTCAGTCCAAAATTTGGCACTTCGCATTTATCATTTTATGATATAACAGTTGGTATTAGTGATCCAAATGTATTTATTCCACGACGAGAATGTCTTTCAAGTGAAGAATGGAACATGCGACACACCCTTTTCGGCACACCTACCAAGAAACACTGATAGGATAAATTTTTAAATACTTCATGTTGAATGAATTTTTTTTAAATTTTTCAATAAAAAAATTTGTCGTAACATTCAATAACAATATAACTTCTCATACATAACGTTCGATCCTAATATGAACAAACAATAAGGAACTATGTTGCATTGATCAGATAAGCAAATAACTAAAAATGACATTATCTGTTGATATTTTGAGTTGTGTGAATTGTTTCTTTTGTGCCGATTTTAAAGCTGTTCAGCATCTTCATGATAATCATAAGCTATCATTATGAATAAACTGATATAAACGATGATGAGTAGTCATAATTTCTAAGTGTGAAATGATTTACATTTTTGTTTTTGAACTAAAGTTTTAGCCATAAAAGTTCCTATTGAAATTTATTAATTGGAAAAGACAAAACAGTGTTAAATTTTTAACGAAAAATTTTGTTTTTCATATTATTGAATTTCATTTATTATATCGTCTTATAAAATCATTTGTTCACTTCACCATGATGATTTGAGCCTTTGTTTCGACGTAGTAGTGTTCAAAGAAACTATCGATATATTTTACAAAAATAATATGCTTCTAATTCCATGCAAAATTTAATAATACTAGATATGATATATTTCTTTTGAACAAACGATGGTTCGCAAACTTTCACGTACTGTTCAACATTATGGAAACAAGAACGTTTTCAAAAAAGAAAAGGTAGCCAATAACTGTTGTCTGTTCATTGATGTCTTATTCAATGCAAAGTCCGTTAGTCGCCTCTTGCTTTATTTATGTTTTGTTTTCGATACTTTTGTTATCAACTGTTTGTTTTTGGATAATATTATTGTGTGTTTGCCGCACTATGGGCTAATTACAAGAAGTCAACAGGTTTCAAATCGCAACCCAACGAGGCAATTAAATTAAAGAGACTATCATTTTTAATTATAATTTAGAAAGTTGGAATCGCAAAAATGAGTGCTGAAGAAAAAGAAAGTCAGTGTGTCGCTGAGCAAGAAACGCAAATATCATTCTCACATTCTGTGTTTCGATGTTTGAAAAAGTAGTCATCAACACATAGACTAGACCCCTTATTCCAGTGTCAAGTTTCTTTATACGCTAAAATTGCCGATTTATTCATCAGTTTTGTATTGAAGCGCGCTCCCTCTTCAACAATCGTCAAAATTATATCACTCAAGTATACATACCGAAGCAAAACAGTGGAGACTTCAATCGTCAAGTCTTATGAAGTCTGTGAGGGTCCTCTGAACTCAGTGTAACCACCGGTAACAGTAAATCACCAGTGCGCTCGAAAGTTTCTTACCGACTGTTCTGAATTATTCTGAGGTTTTGCTATATTATTTTCAAAAGAATTGATCGTAGAAATATTTTTCTCACCAGTTTATCACATTTGACAGCTTTTGAAGACTATTTCTATGAGGAAATCCACATAAGTGTACTTCTATATAGCGAATATAAATTTATGATATCGAAGCAAAGTCGAATTGACTCTTATTGTGGTTTTTCATAAGTTTATTGGTATTTCCTGTTAATTATAGCATATATCTTGAAAATGCGCATGAGATAACGACGTAAACATCACATAAAACACAGAGTAGATACATAGGATGTGTATAATGTTGGTGTGATATCAGCAGTTAAGCAATTTGCAAAATTAAATCATGATGTCTAGTCATTTAGGAACACACATAACAAACGTCTGGTCAAAAAATGCTCTTTTGACTCCTGCCTCTTCAAGTTCATCGATTTCATCCGATTTTGGCTGGTTCTTCTTTGCTGGACGTGCGTTGATAACAGATTAGTTTTGATAAAAAGTTTAATTCTTCAACTATATTGCCTTTTTTTTTCAATTCAGCAAAATTTCATTTACTCAATGTAAGAGAAGAGGAAATGAAATGTACATCCAGATCAAACACATTTTTGTTGGAAACTAACGTAACAAGTGCTTACAATCGGTTCCTGCCACAATGTGACAGCATCTTTTACGCCAGAATTCGACGCTTTCAGATAGTCTAGATGCAGTAAAAAAGTGATTCATGTAGTTTTTCAAGATCCTGTTCGATCTATTAGCTTTTCTCAAAATATTCTACGATCTGTAAGCACCATGCTATTCTTGAATAGCATACATCACGCAGAAAATTATAATACAAATCTTATGATTCATATATTTCATTCATTTATCAACGAGACCCCGAACACTTCGTATAACAAATCATTTTAAACGCAGTGAAAGCTCGTTTAACTTGAACACTTCACGAAAACTCGTGAAAAAGCGAAGAAATTGTACCGAGCAAATGGATGTTCTTATATTGTTGTCACCCGTTTCCTTTGTTCGAGCTTGTCTACTTTTGTCTGATTCCTCTCCACTTTTCTTTAGGAACTTCGTTTATCAGTCACATCTTTGAAATTTTATGTAAAATCATATATAACTGGCAAGAGAGAACATATGAAAATAAACAGTCAAAAGAGTTACAACAGTTAGAAAGAAGTCACACATTATTACTATAGTAATTCGGAGGTATATATGACTAATTGAGGATCTGATTTGACAGTTAACGCTTGAGAAAAATGAATAATATTCAAGTCGTACACACCAATATCAGTAAAGTAAAAACTCTATCGGTTCCAAGTATGCTCGAAGTCTCATGAAACCTTAGCAAGTCTTTCGAAGTCTTTCGATGTCTCATACAATCGTTAATTCTACTGTTTTACATGCGATCCAAACAGGCTCTCAAAAAAAAAAAACATCTCGATGCTTCTTTTCACGACATTCTTCATGAAAAAAGCGAACATCTTAAGCTCATGAATGCATTGGTTTCCTGACCTACGAACTATGTATCAATGAATCGATTTGTCTTTAATGAGAATTTCTCAATATGAATATATTTGAGAGACACTGAAATGTTCTCTATTTCCATGATCAATGATATGCAGCTGAATTTCTCAGAAATCAAAAAATATATAAATAAAACGGTATCCTGTACGTATGCATTCAATCATCTCTCATAGATGAATTTAAAAGCACTTTTCACGACTTAGTCGCCATCACTCAGCAGTTAAAACAACCAGAATAAGAATAACATCAAGCAAATGTGGATATTGAGTGGTGAATGCATTTATTTCAGCAAATATTCTAGGACATCTTCAACCTTCTTATCTAGCAAACAAAAAAAATCACATCATCAAAACATTTATGTCAAAATATAATATAAAATACTTTTCTTGAAGAAAAGCCTTCTTTAGAAACATAGATCAATGAAAAAATACCCGAACCCAAGTGACTGAAATCAGAATAACTTGGGATCACAAATCGACTATCAGTGTCTTGTTAGAATTCAGAATTTTCAGCATGAGGCATCTTCCCTCTGATCCAATGATATTTCTATCAATATTGAGTCTTTTGAGTGTTTGTTTGAAAGGTACCGATAGTGCGTAGTGAAATGAACAAATATGATGTTTTACCGTGTTGTTATCTAGAGCTTTGACAAGATGCTCTCTACCTTTTTCTCCGATGTTACTTCGACTAAGCTCAAATGTTATAAGTGTCTGTATGAAAAGTCAGGATAGTGAGAAGCAAAATGAGTAAAAAATAGTGTTTTACCGAGTTGTTGTCAAAAACATTGGCAAGATGTTGTGCGCCTTCGTCCCCTATTTGACTAGCATGAAATTTGAGTACAGTGAGTGTCTAGGTGAAAAGTCAGAATCATAAAGATTGAAATAAGTAGAAAATTATGTTTTATCGTGTTGTTAGCGATAGCATTGGCAATCTGTTGTGCTTCTGTGTCTCCTGTGATATCCTGATAAATGACGAGTTCGGTGAGTGTCTGTAAGAAAACTTATGAGATTGAAAATCGAGAAGAGCAGACTTTTTTGTATTAATGTGGTGTTCTAGAGATTATTGTTGAGCTAGCCATCGTTGAATGCATTTGATTCAAATACGAGAAATCCTGTGGACGTTGTCCGTGTTTTAAAATGTGTTATTGTTTAAAAAAGAAACAATTCACATGAAGGTGATCATAAAATAAGGTGTAATGCATTGATGATTGAAGTTAAGTAAAATGGATCAGGATGAGAGGCACACTTATGACAATTGCACGTTGTCGCTTTTTATGACACAAAATTGTTGATGAATCCTCAATGATTACTTTTTTGCTAATAACATAGAAGAGCAAGATCAGGCTTTAAAATCGAGAACAATTATCAGAATAAGACAGTACTGTCGTAAGCTAAGTTCGTGGAATGGTAGATTTAGTGTATGAGTGAGCATAGTGAGAATCCTAGTCTACAAGGACGATCGGAAATCAATTCATATAATCTATCGTGAAATAAAGTGGATTCAGAAGAAATTTCTGAAATCACTTCGTTACCTGCTCTTGTATTTGGGATCAATCCTGTGTATAACTGCAAGGATGATCAATGTAAGCCCTTGTCCAGATCGTAATGACGATTCAAGAATCGTTTTTATGAGCAGCGGAAGTGTGAAGCGTAAAGATATTCTTCCGTTGAGTTTGTTTTAAAATTACTCTCAGATTCTTGGATGACACTTCTGAACTTTATCGAACACATTTCCAGAATATTAGGTAAAAATCTTATGAATAGTCTGCATGAACCATGATTGAAGATTGCAGGAAGGTTAAATGCAAAAATCTGGTAGGATTAAGGTGACATCTGACAAATATCCTAGTAGTTGTCTTTATATAAGTGTGACGATTTCTGATAATAGAGATTGTATATTAGTGGTTGTAACTAGTATTGATTTCTTATATCAAAAACCATCATACTAATGTATTTTGTTAGTGCTTTAGTACCCTTACCACGAGAGAGAAAACGTGTTAAGATAAGAAAAGGACGAAAGGATAGTACGGTTGGTTTGAAGGACATAATAACAACATAACAACATAATAAGGACATAACAACATAACAGGAAGTATTTCCTTGAGTTGTTACAATAAGATGTCTACAATTCAGAACATCACCAAATTGATTTCTTATCAACACTGGATAGAGCTCATTGAGTTGCATAGGGAAAATTATTTTCCATTTAGAAATTTTTCTCTTTCTCATCTAACATTGAACTTACAAAAAAAAAAATAAAAATTTTCTTCAATAGCAATCACTCTTGTAGACGTCAAATGCAAAATAGACGCATTTCGACAGAATAAATATGTACATCGATGGTCGATGATAGATTAAGTCTCCTAATGCCTGATGCAAAATGTCCGATTCGTTATAGTCCAAGCTTTGTGTTCGCTTCAGTTAGAAAATTCTTTTTTTATGTGAAAAGAATTACGAACTAGACAAATTTTTAGTGTCAACCGATCGTTCCATCAATCAAATAAATCATCCATCTTCTCTTTTTTAGTATGTCTCTATTTAGAAAACACTGATTTCTAGGGAATTACATTTCCATCATTTTTTCTTCAGATTACTATGAGTGGCACAGTAAAAATGCACCAAAACCACTACTTATCCATTTTCTTCGGTTATATGAGCCTACCGACATTCATAGGGTAACTTTATAATTATTGTGGTTTCAGGGTGTTCTTAGAGTTCCTATAAGTCTGAGAGCTTTCACAGTTTCTTAAGCTCTAGAACACTTCTTCAAATTATGTTTGCTTTATTTTGATAACTTAGTTTGAACAATGAATGTCTAGATTTCTTAAATTCAAGAAGTATAGAATTCATGAGACTTAACTGATGAAAGAACGGTTTGCTGCATTCTAAAAATATTTTGAACTTTGTTTTTCGTATTTAACAAAGAATTGCAGAAAAAATAGGAAGTTCATCTCAGAAGAATCTTGGGAAATCGCGTGAAACATTTAGTTGATTATTTTATTTTGGGGCACTATTTATCACAGCTAAAATCGTATCCTCCAACTTTTACAATCTTCAAATCAATCAGTAAACAAGGCCAAATAATCATTTGTTGGACCGCGCGTATATTGAAGAAGATAGAAATCTAATTTCATGATAAAGATGAAATTTACCTGATATCGATGATATGTATCAGTGATCATATTCAGTCGTATACAAACATTACGAACTGAATATAAAATAGTGAAGTCATCAAGATTGTACAGAATACGATAGACAAGTTCAACAGGTAATCTTAGAAGAGATGAAGCAATAATGTCAGACATTATTGTTGCTTATTTTCGAACAGTATGCTTTGTTAAAATGAATGTCTGTTGAAATTTTGTTTTCTTTATGTCGATATGTCGTCAATTTTCATTGTCCTTGTGCATTTGTTTTTGCTTAGATAGAGAACTAAAGCATGTGCAATGGAAGCGATGTAACAACCAAGGAAAATGCATTAATGTGACTATACATTAAAATTTATTTTCACCACCATTTCATGCGAGACCGACAAACATGCGCTGGTGATTGTTTGTAAGAATTTTCATGCATGTTGAATACGTTCGAGAACTCTATCAAATTTTTTTTTTCTTTTCGGCTTTGTTTTGTCTTCTAAGATTAAAATTATAAAGAGAACAAGATAAGTATAAGTTTTTGAGGATAAGAGAATAAATACATCAAACATAGAACTAAAGATATTATTGAAAGTGCTAATATTGCGATTTTATTGTTACGAAACAAGGTAAAGATCATAAGTGTAAATAAAATGGGAGACTAAAATAGTAGTTCTTGTACGGACAATTCTTCGACACGAAATCAGTCTTCAGTATCAACGAAAAAAAAAACTAAAATAACATTATTCTTACTTTTTAATGAATTTTAAACAAAAGACATGAATTTTCTTAAGTTTAGCGATAATTTTCATATGATATAAATGCCATAGCATAGCGTTGTCTCAATATGGAAGGAACTTTTCAGTATTAACAGAAGTCGTGAGCTTGTGCTCAGACCGTGTGGCGCGCAGAAAGTGAAATGAGGCATAAATAACCTATACTACATCCAAACAGCATTTTGAACTTTCTGATCCTACGTTAAGAGTGGTATCACTGACTGAGTATTTTAAAAATCTGAAATTGACTTCGATACAATATGTACTGTCAAAAAGAACCTTGTCAGGACTTCGAAATAAAAAAATTTTTTGATTGATTGGTCAAAAAATAAAGTAATAATCTCGAAAGAATAAGTCCACGGACGTAGATTAATGACTATTGCTATGTAAGGCACCAATTTTTGGATTGTTGGTCCATGCAAATTCTAAAAAACAATCTTTTACATTTATCCAATAGAACTGTTGTTTTGGATTCTTTTTTTGTCGAACAAAACTTGTAGGCCAACACAATTTGATCAAGTTATTATTATTGTTATTATTACAATCAACAGACGCCCATAAGATTAGAAATCAATTATAATTTTCAAAGAAAAATCTACTTCATCATTTCAATTCTGGATTTGTGCACACAGAAAATTGTGATCATGTAAACAGCATTTAGAGTCCATCCGAGCAGGAAGTTTTATGGTACCGACTTCTAATTGCATGATCTTGCATTGTTTCAAATTGTAATACAAAAAAACTCTAATTTTATTTATTCTTGAAAAACCTAATTTGGTTTATAATTGAACAATAAGTTTGAGCCAAACAACTTGATAAAATTTTGTCAGTCTAATAACTTTTAATAAATAAAAACACTATCAAACATTTTGGTGAACATATACATTAATATACGTAAAGCTTAGTGAAACACCAACAGTTATAATGCAACTTGCAAGAAAATAGTTAACTAAAACGTGTTCAGTCAATCTAGATCTGTATAAATAGAAGAAAAAGATTTTCTCTGAAGACTGTTGATGTGAATTAAAAAGCACAATTCTAATATCGTTCGACTGAAGATCAATTCAAAATAAAGAGCTATGATAGTTTGACATTCAATTGAATTGAGATTGAGCATCCCAATGAAAAAAACATATTAAATAATAAATCACGAGAACAACATTCGCAAAGTAATGATACATGACACATTTATTTTTAGATACTTTCTACGTAATATCAACCGTTAGAACACACAAAATATTCTTAATACAGATTATACCATTTTACACTTTTTACTAGATAACCACAATAGTGTCATCTTTGTTATACTAACATGGGTTTCACAAAAAGAGAACTTGCTTGTTATCTTATCATTTCTTTATTCAATGCTTACTGGTCATTGATGCATCATTATTTATCATAGTTTATCAATAACCGAATGCAGCGCTTCTTTCTCATTTTTATTTATTTATGTTATCTGAAGACTAGTATACCAGATATTGATAATAATTTTTTCTATCAACATTATATATAAAGATATGTATTTTCATTGTCTTTATTCAAAATCTTTATAACTCGTTTATTTCAGTAACAAGAATACAAAACAATGTTTACAATTTTTCTTCTCTGTTTGATTGGCGTTGCAGTTGCACAACAACCAACTCCATGTACATCTCCATCACAATGGGAAGGACGTATATTTGATAGCAATGAAAAACAAAAAACTACATTACGGGGAAGAATAAGCTATGATTCTGCTTATCATCGTGTACGAGTGGTCGAAACTATTGATGCAAGCAGTCAAGAAATGGCTTTTGATGTACTCACTTTATATGATGCCAAAATTGAATTTGTTTATGATTTAAAATCTCAGCAATGTACACGTCGAGAAGTAACGCAACCATGGCGTGACTTTGGTATTCTTCCCGATGCTCGTTCTTATGGTGAAGCTTACATTGGTTCATCTGCCCTTCCAGAAACTGGTTTACTCATTACAATTTGGTTAGTATAAATTTTGCTATTTGTTTATCAAGTAAATTTTTCGTTTATATTAAAGGGGTGGCAATTTTACATTACCATCAAATGAAACTATTGCCTATGTGGGTACATGGACATATCGTGGATGTCTTCCAGTTTCTCGAACAACTTACAGTGAAAAATATGGCAACGAAATGTTATCATTTTATGATCTTACTGTAGGTATTAGTGATCCAAATGTGTTCATTCCACGACCTGAATGTCTTAAAGCAGAGGAATATGCCATGCGAAATACTCTCTTTGGTACACCAACCAAGAAACATTAAATGTATTTTATTATTTATGATTATTTTGTTTTTCAATAAATTTTTCTCCTTTTATTTTTTGTTTTTTTGAAATAAAACAACTAATTTCATACATATATTTTTCTCAGATGATTTAGATATATTAAATAATATAATGATAAGGTTGTATTGAATATTGTATGCATAATCGTCATTTAAATATATGTAAGTCGATGAACAGTTGGAAAAATTAAACAATTTTTTACTGAATAAGATCATAGAAATAGAAAAAAATGATTAGTCTTTCGAAATGAAAATTATGAGCGATTAAGAGATTATACTTTATAAAGTCAATCTAATAAGATGATGATACCATGCTTATTTCATACTAAAGGATGATCGAAAAGTTTCGATTCCTCTCAGTAAGTTGATGATTATCTATGGTAAATCTATATAAATATATAGTTAATTGATTGAAATATGTAATTTTGTAAAGGAAAACTAGAGCTATCCTCTGAGAAAAAGACACGTCGAAACATGTAAATCGATTATAATTTTATGGTCATTTTACTAATCTTGAGGGAATATGTTCATCTTAAATTCTTTGAGAATATTATTTTTCATAATACTTGTAAGTCTTTTGCTCCCAAAGATATTTTTATCAGACTGAATGAGAAAACAGATGCTAAGATGACAATGAATACCGCTCGATATATACCGTTTATGGAACGAGTTGATGTACTTGTAATGAAAACTTTGGTTTCAGATAATAATTACGCTTTTCAAGATGATATATCTCGTATTCACCGTATACCAGCTGCTACAAAGTATGTAATAGAAACTATACCTGAATGTATCGATATTGATGATCAAGCCGTGAAGATTGATGATACATGATCAATAGAAAATTCGTGGTATATTATTCGACAAGATTTAAGTAAATATGAATTTAATTCATTATCTTATATCCAACAAAAAATTATTGATAAATGGAAAATTTTGAGTCAGGAGAAATGTGGGAAAATGACTAGTAGTATTCCAAAAAAGTTAAAGGCAATCATTGGAAAACAAGGTCAGCGGATCATCAAATTTGATTATTGATATTTAAAATCAAAACAGCAGTCTAACAAACGTATAAATCATTTAGATCTTCTATTGAAAAAAAATCTCTTTTTAATTTTTCCTCAAAAGTGTACGATGAAAATACCCACTTAAAATTAGTAAACTGGTCGTAGGATTATATTGGATTTACATAGTTCGAAGTATCTTTTTTTCAAACGATAGCTCGAATCTTTCTCTAGAAAATTGAATATTTTGATCAATTAATTATAGATAGATTTATCTTAGATATATTCGATTTTCTAAGAGAGGTCGAAACTTTTCAACTACCCTTTATATTATTGTATTCTTCATATTGCTAATGGTACTTGTTGTCTTATCGTTTGCCATACTTTACAAGGAAGATAATAACAGATTATTTACATGTTATAAATGAGATCATTTCATAGTCACAAAAAAAGACTATTTTCAAGATACTTCAGTGATAAGATACGAAATATATTGAATTTTCTTCTTTTATCCTTGCCCATTGTTGCGATCGTACACTCATCACGTTCCTATGCTATAATGTTACATCAAAATTCACGTACGTTTTATTTTAAATATTAAATAAAGATTTCTAGTATCACAAATAATAAGTTATAATGCAACATATGATTAAAAATGATGTATCTAATATATTGAAGATAGCCATCAGTATTTCTAACTCATACTTTGTTCTGTATAAAGCTGACACAGTTCAGAAAAAATTCACAGCTTATGTTCAAAGACATGCACTTAAAGAAAAACGTCAACATTAAATTTCGACTCTTAAATTATGAGTTTTTCGATCTATTTTAATAGAAAAAAATACAAGAATGAAAAATGTTGACGTTTATATAAGAATTTCGATAGACTGCATGAATCTATCGATCCGATGAAGCGGCAAGACAAATGCTTGAGCCTATTCAAGTCTCATGGCATCGTCGCCTATAAATTAGATCATGATATTTTTTCTTATGCGTGTTCATATGACGAAGCTTACATTGGCTAATCAGCTCTTTTAGCTACTGAACTTGTTGTCACAATACTAATTAAACTTGAAATTATATTAGATCATGGACTTATGGTTAAGATTTTCTTCATGTTTTTCAGACAGATTTATATTCGTGATCTGATGCTACTACTATATCGTTTTTCTCTATTACTGTTGGTATTAGCAATCCAAATATGTTTATTCTTCAACAAGAAAAAGTCTTACAGAAAAAAAAATCTATACCATATGATATATTCTGAAACATAAACGGATTCTAAACAATAGGAATATATAGATTTTATTGTAATTGAAAAGTTTTTGTTCATGTAACAATGAAAATACAAAAGTTAACAAATAATCAAATCATAGTAAAGTTGCTTTCTAATGTCATGAGGAAAAATCCAGTTAATGCAACGATAAAACAAATTGTATCAACCAAAATCTTGATATTATATGTAGCGTCATCTATATACCTCCTTTTTTTAGATTGGCAATTACTACTTAAATTTTAAAAGCTTTATCGACAAAAAAAAAGTTTATTGTTTTCATCATGTACTATGGATTCTAGATTTCCACAAACAGTAACCGTAAGATTGCTAAATTTATCTGTTCTTTTTACCTTTTGGGATATTTTCAGGCGCAAACGATATTAAATAATCACGTTACCGATCTTGTTGTAAGTAATTACGCTAACAAACTATTTATATCAGTAACTCAATTTGGTAAAATTGGAAGTTTAGTAAGTTAGAAAACAAAAGATGTTTATATTCATTTTCATACTAATTCTTTAGGTTCTCGTTCGTCGTGACGTTAATCTAAACGAAGATTCGTCTCCAGTTTATTCAATAAAGTCTCTTCTTGGTAAGGATCAAGCCGAATATCATATTCTGGCTCGTCATCTTTACGAACGATTACAATTAAAAAAACAACTTCTTTTTGGTTACGCTTTACATTCATTTGAAAAGAAAGATCTTGAAGCTATTGAAGAATTTATTTGTTCTAATATTAAACAGATAAATCAATGATAAATAAAGCTTTTAGAAAAAATTTTTTTCCATTTATAACATTAGTGGGTGTTATTTATTTAACATTACGTAGTGCAACATGGGTACGTTATGATCGTCGACGAAATCATGTTAAAACTTATTCACGTGATGAAATAAAAGCTAAAGGTCTTGATTATGCTGAACCAACAACATTAGAAGAAGAATATGAACAAATGGTTAAACGTCAAAATTTAGATGCATGGGAACAAAAAAGAATTCAACGACCATGGAACGAAGAATCCGATGAATCTTAAGTGTTCTTTTTTTTGTTTATTTTTTAACATATCAATTAGAACTAAAAAAAATAAAATAAAACTATAAAGTCGAAGATCTAGGACTAGATGATCAAAGTTTATTATGGACAAAAATAATAATTAGTTTATTTATCACTAAGGTCAGTCACAACAAGAAGATCTTTTCTTTCAAGAAGTTCAAGAGTTGCATCAGTTTAAAAGAAAAAAAAATCCAATAAATCAGTTTAACGATTGAAACATAGTTTTCTTATTGATCTAACCTTCATTTGACACATGACTCATTTAATCAATAAAACCAAATTTATTACAAGCTGTTGCTGTATCATCTCCACCAATAATTGTTATAGTATGTTGTTTGGTTTGTTCAGCAACAGCCGTAAATATTTCTTTTGTGTACCATTAGCAAATTGATCGTGTTCAAAAACTCCCGTTGAATAATTCCATATAATAGTTTTAGCTTGTTTAATAGCTTCACAAAAAGGTTTTTCTATTAATTGTTGACCAATATCAAGATCAAGATAATCATTAGCAACAATAAAATCAATTTGTAAATAAATTTCAAAATGTTTTGTTTTAGCTTTATCGAGAATCTTTTGGATAGATTTCGAACCTTATGTATCAAATAAAGATTTATCAATTTTCATTTGACCTTTTTCTTTGCGAAACGTGAATGTCATGCCTAAAAACATGATTTATCTCCGTCAATAATTAATCAATTGACTTTATCTAATAAATTTTCAATTAATTGAATGTTGTCAGAAACTTTTATTTTTAGAAAAATTTTAGAAAAAAAGAACTAAAAAACTAAGAAGAACAAGAAATGGTCGTTCAAGATTTTCAAGTACGCGATCAAAATAATCAAGTTTGTTTTTTATTAAATAACCAACTGCTTGTTGATGAAGTTTAACTCCAACAATTGAACTCTATGCATGATGCACTGCTCCAAATACATCATTAACATCTTATATAAACACGTTATTTGTTCATATAGATAAAATCAAAACTTACAAACATCACCCAAGTTAGATAGACTTGCTCGAACTTTATCGACAGCATCTTTGTCAATTTTTTGTTTTATTTCCTTGTTCATCTTTAACAGAATTTTTTTCTTCAAGATGAAATTGAAGACTTTTAAGTAAAATAACTTGTCCGTTATCAGTCTCATTTAGCTACGTGTTCAACTTCATCACCAACACAATCGTTTAGAACTGTTACATCTTTTGCCAATTTTTAAATCTATTAGTAACTGTTTTTTTTAAACTTTCTTTTCAACACATTTAACATCAGATCAATACGCTATTTATCTTTTACTTGACCATTAAAATCAACACGAATTAAAACACATTTGCCTTTTAGATCAAGATCTTCAATAATTAATTTATTGCTAACACGATCGTTACTTATTGTTGATGCCATTTATAGAATGTTTATTTTTGAGCGCATGTTATTGAAGTAAAAAACAAGAAAACGGTACTTGACAAATGTCTTATCGCTCAATGGATAATTAATAGAACAAAGAAAAACTATGGAATACTAGAGCAACTATGCAGATAGAACGAACAATGAGAGTAGAGAACAATAAAAAAAATAGGAGGCAAACGTTATTGTAACCAACATTGCAATGGTAAAATTGACAATGTATAGAGTTGCGTTCTCTTTCAACTTTGTAACTATTTGTTTTTTGATTATGTCTACAATCAAAGAAAGAAAATGTTAATGCTATACTTGTCTTAAGTATAATAAAAAAAGCCGATTTTTTTTTCGAAAAAAAGGACATGCAAAAAAGAAACAATGAATTTTTAAAAGAAACAAAAGTTAAGTTTTTTTTTCAATTATTTTTTAGTTGTCCATCATATTGTACATGGCTACTGTCGACGTTGAAAAGACTACATCGTTAGGTTTCTCTACCAAAACAGCTAGGTTAAATATATATATATATACGTATATTCTTTAATCAACTTTCTTTTCAATTATAATATCTAGATTTCAAACACTTGGTTTACATCCCGCATTGTTAACTGGTACTCAATTTCAAAGTTCACCTGATGTTGCACCAGGTTCCTATGATCTAATACAATATGGTGATTTTAGTGATAAGAATATTCAAAAACGTAGCGAAGGTTCAAATTGGGAACAATCATTATATACAGAGCAGCTAGCCAAACTTCCTCATCCATCCTTTAAAGCAACATATGAAAAACGAAAAGAAGACGAAAGACGTATTGGTCCTGGTACTTATCCCATTAATGATTTTTTAACAGAAGCTGATCGACGACCACGTTGTGTACGAGGTGCACTCGATCAACTTACACCTCGATTTCCAAAAGAAACATTAGTATGAGAAAAAAAGCTTTATTTCATTTCTAATGTAACACATTTTTTAAAAAATAGGATAGAGCACCTCCACCAGGTGCCTACGGTATTCCTGATGAAAAACTTGTCGAAAATACTTGGCGAAAGGGAAGTAATGTTCCATCATTTGATTGGAATAAAGGTGCAAGAACATTACCACTTCAAGTAATACATTAAAAAAATGATGAATTTTTCTTGTTCCTTTTTCGGTAATCGATAATTTTTAGGGTTCAAAAATTGGCCCAGGAACATATAATATAAAAAGTTCAATAGATGATTTAATTAATAAACGTGTTAGTGAAAAAGGTCCTTATCAAGTATTTACATTAAGTCGTTCAGCACCAATATCAACAGGACATTATGCTGTTCTTGACACATGGGATTTATCACCTGATTTTCCATCAAAAAATTATCCAGAATCAACATCATTAACACATGAATTAGCTAAAAATAAACATGGAACATTTAGTAAACTGAGTAGATTTCAAAAGAAACCAACTAATCGATTAGCTATTGAACATCCAGGTTGATAAGCTGGAAATATAAAATAACTATTATTCTTTTTGTTTTTATTTTTAATAAAAAAAAGGTCTTGAACCAAAAAATGCAGATTTTCCTGGACCAGGTACTTATGTCGTAACTCGCCCATGGGAACAACAAGATTATCATAAGAAAAAAGTTCCATTTAATTCAACATCATCAAGAAATGATAATCGTTCATTTACAAGTGGAGGTTCTCATCATGTATGTTAATTCCATCGAAATTCTTATCCATTTATCAAACATTTATTATTTAGTCAGTCGGTGTTGGTCGATATAATCTTCTATCACCAGTTCGAGATGAAACAATAGCTGATAAACGTAAACGACAGAAACGACGAAGTATTGCTTTTTCTTCCACTACATCACGTTTTGCAACATCCAATGGTGAATTATTATTGAAGTAAGTTATACTAATGTATAAAATGATGATACATCTGTTTTTTTTATATTGAAATTTCTTTTTTTGCGTTTAAGTGAACGTTTAAAACCACAAAATCTTCGACCGGAACAACGAACACAATTATACTTAAAAGGTCACATATCATCATAAGTTTTCTATGCAATTTCACAGACAATCAATAATTATCTGATAATTGATGGTTTCGTTTTCTTTAGTAGTTTTTCTGCCTTATAACTATTTTCAAAGAAATTTTTTTAAGTACGCCATTTTTTTAATTGTATATTTTGCGTTTAAAACAATGCAACCAAATCATGATTATTATTGTACTTCCAATTAGATAAATAAAATTTTGAATGATTTATTTCAATATGTTGTGTAGTATGTACATATGAATAAAATATTGTTTAATGACTATGGGAATCTAATTAGATCTAGCAAGATGGCTGAATATTAATGTAGACCTAATTAGAAATATTCACAGAAGTAGTAAGAAGCGCTGGTATAATCATTCAATTAAATGGTTTTGAAAATCTTAGATTAGCGCTAGAGATCGATAAATTTAGTTTTAGTTCAAATCTAAGGAACTGTTGAAATCATTCTCTGATCTGTCCAAATAATTTTTGTTCGATTTTTGAGAATAACACTTCTGGATATTAAAAAAACCTTTGTTCCGTTACTGAAATGTCATTCCCAAAGCAGAAAACCATTTTTCTGACAACTTAGTTCCAGGAGTCGTTGTGAACAGTTCTTTCACACATTTGATCTGAACTTTGAACTGGGAGTTGGTTGGTTCCTAATTAGTACAAAAACGTGTTGAGCTCGCCATAATGTACTGACATCGATGTCTTAGAGAAGTCATCAAAGTATTGTTTTTTTGAATGAAAAATAATTGACTAAAAGCAAGCACTTGTTAAACACTTCCCTGTAACGTGATTAGATAGGTATTTTGATATCAAAAACACAACATTGAAATCCGATATTTTATCGATACATGTTTGCCGACTCATATTACATTTTTATTTGCACTAATGCGGTAGTCATAAGAACCATGGTAGCACTTACGAGTTTTGGTTACAATTCTAAACGATTGCAAAGAATATTTTCTATCCAAAATCGAATTATTTATTAAAAAGAATTCAATTGAATCGAGAAGAAAACAGTTTCAGAATATATTTTACTAATAAAAACTTATTTCATATTTGAAACCAATTTGTTTTCTAAGTGGCGCACTTCCGCTAGTTTTAACAGACTTCAAAAATATTTATCCGTTTTCATACCATATATCATGATGCAATACTTTAAAAAAAAAGCCTTCTTGTACAATAACTATCTCTCAATTCATGTAACGTACCGCATACAAAATTCAGCTGCAATATAAAAGCAAATGGGATCTTGAATATGTCGTATCATTTTTCTAGAACATTTAGTTTACAGTAAATATCATGTTTTTTTCAATTCTATACCAATTGTACAAGTCAAACAATTTAAATGTCTAGGATTTATACTTAATTTTCAATTAAATTTCAACGTTTTTATTGATCAACAACTAATCAAAATGAATAGTGGAGTTATCATTCTTTGATATATCAACAAACAATATTCCACATTTTCCTTTGCTTTTATATGGTCTCATTTTACTTTAATCTCTATCATATATGTACTATGTCCCATTGTAACTTAAGAAAAATGTCATAGAAAATTTGACCCTTCCAACATTCAAAGACTATCTTATAAATTACAAATAGTGAGTAATGTTCATAAGTATCAACGATTGAAACTAACATTGAAATAACATTTTACTGCACAAAAATGTATTATTCATTTACTCATCGCTTGACCAAGAAAGAGAATAAAGCATTTTTAACAAAACAATAAACAAACTGTATTAGATGAAATATTTTCTTTTTGTAATGAGTGATTAATTAGTCTAATTTTTGTGAATACTTTGCCACGGTTCAAGACCTGCGAGGTCTAATCTGTAAATAAAGCTTTTTTCCATTAATTTATTAATTATAATATCCTTTTTTTTCGCCAATCATCAACAAGTATCAATGCATAAATTGATTGTTTTATGTTCTAAAATTCTGTATAAATGCCGTCATATTATATTTGTATAATTATACAATCAATGAAATCTGTTGCATATTCGTATCTTTTTATGTAACGATTATAAAAAAGAACTATATGGTTTTGCTTTTATTTGCCTTTAAATTTCAATCAACAATCAATTGTTTCATTATTTCTACTTTTCATTACTAAAGAACATTTTATAGGGTTATTATGGTAAAGCCGTCTAATATATCAGTGGATATTTAATTGTCATTTTTTGACCGACAAGTACATCCATAATGAAGTCATTTTTCTATACTTTTTTATTTTGACATAAGCCAAAAGAGTGATGCATAATTACATAAACAAAGATCTAAATCCTCTTTTTTCTTTTATAATTATACAACTCATATTTTATTTGTTTACGTCTTTTCTCTCATTCAAGTAGTCAGTCAAACAGTTGTACTTGAATATAAAAAGAAAAAATGAGAATTGAAAGCTGACTTTTAATGTTATTGATTTCTTTTTTTTTTATGAATACAGAATGTCATTTAATAAAAAAATATCTATTGATTATTAAAACAGAAAGTGATGTTTTTTCTAGTCTGAAAATCTAATTATGTCTGTAAATACAACAGAAAAGAAAAATTTGTTTTTTGGAATTTGATCTGTCATCAACAAAACGTTCTTCGTATTTTGTCACTTCATTTTCAAGCTAAACTTAGATACTTATTGACATAAAAAATTCAAATATTTCTATTGAAATTTAATCTGTCAGTTATTTAACTACATTCAGTTAGTCAATGATATATTGATTTAAAAAGAACATACGAGTCATTATGTAATAATAAGTTTCCTCACGTGAATACCTACTGTGAGGAGTATCTTGCTTTGATGCATAATTATGATAATAAGCGAACATCATATTCTTTGAAAATGTCCTTCTCGTGAGTTTATCAAATATTTTATATTAATTATGTATTTTTGTAAGGATATATTATTTGTCTTTTACAACCATTAACTTTCTCTCATTGCTTTTCATTTAAAACTCGACACCTGTCCATAAATCTATTTCCTTCTTCCTCAGTTGCAATCACATAGAATCATATCTACATCTGAAGTCAAGGCCTTAAATATTAATTATGTCCGTTTATATGATAAGACTAGATTATGCGGCATGTCACGTTATTTTTCAAGGTGTTTTAGAGTTTTTGTTTTTTTTTTTGAAATCAAGTATAAAATCGTTGGCTTATGTGTATTTTTATTGATGTTTACAATAAACACTATATTGTTTAAATATTTTTCATATCCAAACCAATAGCAGATTTGTTTTACTTATACGCTTGAATGACTATTTAAAAGACGTAACTATCGTGTAGGTATCGGTGTCGCTCTTTAAGAACGCACCTCATACTTGCTCTTTTTTGCATTGTCATCGCCATATTGACAAACAGCTATAAATAAACGATTAAAGTTATTTTTTTTGCGTCATTAAAATATATAGGTATGATTAGAAAACCTGTTCTTTTCCCTCCTTCACATAGAATAAAGTAGTTGATAACTATGCGACATTCAATTAAAAATAACTACTAAGTAGAACATTTGTTGAGGAATGATAGAAGATACTTTTCTGAGGAAGAAAAAAAAATATAGAGAAAATTATAGAAGCATCTCTTCTATATAATTTATAACTACTTCTACGTCTTTTAGATATGTCAAAATGAAAACAAATGTGCAGATTGTATGAAGTAAATTAGATGGAAACATTTTTGATAAACTGTCTTATTACAAAATTACTCAGTCAAAACGTTAATATGGTAATTCTTTTTTCCTTTCTTTAGTTTGAAGATTGATGAATTTCTCTCCAATTTTTCATGATTCTCTTTTGCTTGACTGAGATATATTTATCAATAGAGAAAAAAAATAAAAATCTTGGTCGTTTTTTGTTATTGAGATCAGCAATATAAGATGAAAAAAAAAATTTTAGATTAATTTTCAAAACGAATAAATTTGATAGATAGGACGAAATGGGGAGTTGGATTGGACATATTGCACCCGGTATGTTTTTGAAAAAAATTATTTCTCATGTCTAATTGAAAACTTTTTTTTTTGGGTAATTTTGTTTAGGTGTATTTTTTATTTTGTTTGCTTTATGGTGGCATATAAATAATTGTTTGTGTTATCTGAGAACACTCGGTAGTGGAGCCATTGAAAAATCAAGACAGCAACAAGTTAAATTTCGAGGATCAACAACATATCCATGTGACTGTTTACCGAGTAAAACTCTTCGTCAACTGCCTATAGAAAGTATTTTAAAAATTCTCATAACATCCATTCATTTTTCAATCGAACTTATTACTGGTTACTGCAGAGAACCAACACCTCATATTGGAGATGAAAATGCTCATCATACAGCAATGCTTTTTGGTTTTTTTCTTGGTTCTTGGATTGAAATACTTGTTCATTATAAATTTTTCATACCAAAACGTATAACACAAGTCATGGGTTTCTTAGCTTTTGCTATAGAAGGCTTAATGATGGCATTTCATTTACATGCTCGAAGTATGGTTGATGCTCATATACATCAATTACTTGGTTTAACTATAATATGTTCAATGATTGGTGCCTTATGTGAATGTTTTGATCCAAATAATTTTTGGTTTATTGTTGCACGAAGTTTTTTTGCTTTGACACAAGGTACATGGTTTATTCAAGCAGCATATGTCATATGGCCTGCGACAACAAATCCATTATTTCTTTGGGATCCTGAATCTCATCGATCAGTTTCATTATTAACAATGTCATATGCATATCATTTAGCTGGTAATGCTTTTATATTAATTATTGTTTATTTCTTAGTTTATATATCAATAAAATCACATGTTAAATTAAATAATGATGAAATAGATGATGATGAAAAACTTTCGGATTATAAATTAATTACAGATGTAAATGATGAAGAAAATTTTGCTTAAAATAATCAGAAAATAAGAACGTTCTTCTTGAACTTGTATCATAAATCTGATTTCTATTAAATCAGATCACATTTTTTACGGAGCTTCTTTTATAATATTCTTCGTATTTGGGATTTATTGCTGTTGTCATAATGTGTTATTTTTTTTTCTCAATAAACATTTAAAAAAAACTAATTGTTGTTGTGGCTACTTATTTTGCGCTTAATAAGTTTATTCTAAATGAATATGATCTTTGCTTGTCTATGTCAATTGTTTGTTGCAATCATTGCTATTCAAAGTAAGTCATGATTATTAATTGATCAATAATTACAATTTATATCTATAGACGATGATTTATTGCTTAATGGATTAGAATTTCCATCGTCTATTTATATACCTTTCGATAAATCTTATTTATTAGAATGTAATTCAAAGAATATCGTTTATTGGAAATTATATTTAAATAATGGAAAAATTGAAATTGTAAATGATAAATTAATTCGTTTAAATGAATTTGATAGAAATCGTGATGGATTCTATCAATGTCATACAAATGATAAGCCATTATATTCACGTAGCGTTTTTATTTTTTCAAATGGTAATTTACAAATATTTGATTGTTTTTACTTTTGTGAAACACGATCTAAAAGGAATGCTGACATATAGACGTAGAAATTTAAACCCTCTCCACAGACGTGACGAACGTCCCTAGCAACGACTGTCTTTCATTACAGGCCACAACAGACGTTGCTAATATGTGATCACAGACTAAATATTAACAACATCTCCGTATAATATATAAACTAGTTTCTTGTTGTATTTCTCAAGAATTAGCTTTATGAAAGGTGAAGAAATGCGTCCAAAAATAAATTGAATAAACTGATCGCTCTGTTATTAGCAACAAAAGCTGCATTGTGTTTTATTTTTTAATCGTGCAGAAATTGTGTCAACAATCTTTTTAAAGATGTCCACAATTCGAAACTTCAAAAAATTGTTTTTTTTACATATTACGATAATGTTTTCGTAGTGAAATTATGGGAAATTAATTTTAAAAAAAGCAGAAAAAAGCCTGTTGAAATTGAAAAATGCCAAAATCATCAAGTCTCGCTAGTCTCAATATTTATCCGCATAATCCTTTTGATTCTACTTGTTATATGTTTAGAAAAAAATTATTGATGCTTTTCGAAAAATATCGTTTCATTATTGAGAAAATCGATTTTCTCGATATGATAGCAAAAAAAACCATAAATACGAGTTTATATTCAAAGATTTTGGCTATCACAACTTCAGTTCCAACTGAAACGAATATCATATTGAGAATCTGCATAGAATCGTATATTCAAAATTAGTTTTCGTCAAAATTTCGACTTTAGGAGAAACACAAGTCAGAGTATTCGAAAATAACAGTAAACAAACACTGGGTAGTGTACGGGGTAAGGAAATTCATCTCAGTCAGGGTACAGAGTACGAAAAAAGGTTTACTCTGAATATCTCTAACAAACAGTGAAGAGATATAATGACTGAATTTTGATGAAAATTAGCTGTAACTATTGAGTATACCACTCGATGAAGATTTTTCTGCTGATTATGAATATGACATTCATTACTTTTAGAATTGAAATTTTGATTTTCAAAATATCTGAATATAGACTCGTATTTATGATGAATATTGCTATCATATTGAAAAAATTGATTTTCACAACAATAGAACAATATTTTTCAAACGACATAAGTCATGTTTTCTCTAACTGTATTATAAGTAAAATCAAAAAGATAATTTGAATAAATATTGAGACTAGCAAGACTTGATGGTTTCCGTATATTTAAATTTTTATAGTTTTTTTTTTCACTTTTTTTTAACCTACTTTTCTCGTGTTTCATTACCAAAATATCGTTTGAATACGCGAAAAAAAAAAGAACATTTTTGAAAAATAACTCGACAAGCTCTACTCAACCATGACCAAAATAATATTGGTCAAAGTTCAACTAGTTGACACCTTAATTAGTTTCAATTATAGGCGCACGTTCGATTGATCGTACTTGGACAAAATTAACACAATTTCATGAAAATCTAGCAACTTTTTGTCGACCTATGTATTTTAATTATGGTTTTAATGAACAATTTATTGAATTAATTGATAGTAAACAAACAATTCGTTATAATCGTACAGGTTTATTTGTTAAACATATTCGAAGTACTACACATCTATTTTGTAAATTATACATGGATACAACATGTGTTGGTATACGTGTACAAACACTAATTAAAAAAGGTATTTGTAATTATTTTTCTTTTTTTTTTCTATAGAATATTATATTTTAAATATAATATAAATATAGATTTAGGTAGTCCACTTTTATCAGATGAATATTTAAAAAATAATGATTTTCTTGAAATGAATACAAATGAACGTGATATATATCGTATTGCATTTGAAGGTATTGAATATTTAATATTCATATTAAAACTTTTAATATTAATTATAGGTGATTCTGTCTATTTTCATTGTCTATCAAATATGACATCATCTATTCAATGGAATTTTCTTTCTGGTAATTATTATTTAATGAAAACTCTTCCAATATTATATGATGAAGATACTAAAATTAATTCAGTAACAATAGCTGATGCTGGAATATATATATGTCGAACAGAGACAACTATTTATCAAAGAATTGTATTAACAATTATTCGTAAGAATATTAGTTTTCTTTATTAAATTTATCATAGATTTATTTTTTAAGATCCTCCTAAATCACCAGATAATATTTATGAGCGTACATTCAACGTTAATTTATATTCAAAATATTTAATTTGTTGTAATTTGGATGCTTTTCCATATCCAACATATTCATGGTCAATGATCACCGAATTTCAGAATACATCATTTGTTTGGTGTTCAAAACGTTGTTGTTGGTTACATATTATGTATAGAATATATCAAAATATTATTTGTACATCAACGAATCAAATTGGAATGGCGAAATATAATATTCATTTGAATGTAGAAGGTAAAAACAAACAGAAAGACAAAACATGAACTTATAATTCGAACTTTTGTTTATATTTTAGATATAGATTCGAAGGACACAGTTGTTTATGATGAACCAAAACTTTATAATCATGATCACACCGATAATTTTAATCTTATTCGAGGAATAACAGAAAATCCAAATATTAATCCAACGGTTATGACTACAAATGTGAAGTTAGTTTTAAATTATTGAATTATTTTGTATAAATAAATATTTAATAGAACTCATGCTTCCAAAGAGACAACAAGTATTACAGTTTGTATTAGAAAGAAAAAAACAAATAATTTTCAATCAATCTTTTTTTTACTTTTATTAATAGAAAAATGATAATAATGAATCAGGAAAACTTTTTCTAGCTTTATTATCATCTTCATCAAATGATTCTGATATTAATACTTATGAAAAATTCGATTAAATAAGTTCATAAGGATTTCGAAAATTTATTGTTCGAAAGAAAGTAATTACATTCTGAATTAGAAAGAAAAAAATATATATATATTCTTTTTATTATTTTCTCAGATTGATTAATATGGTGCAAGAATACGTATTAATATACAAAGCAAGTACTTGAAAAAACGAAACTTAATATCATTCAATTCCAAACAGTTTTTCGTTGTGATTGTTTATCATCAGATGATGACGTAGGAGCTAATTCAGCATCAACCATACGTCTATTAAATAAATATGAAAGTGCTAATAAATTTAGTTTAGGAATTTTTGAATTAAATGGTTCATGTTTGGATTTATTTATTGATATAATTTGTTCAGATTTAGTACGTGGAATAGACTTTGAAGCAAACGAAGTAAAATTAAAGCATTGCGGCTGACTATCGGTATTCGATCGTAGATGACGCACTGGATAATCGAATGATTCATGAGGAAGATCTTTGATTCGATTTGAAGTGGAATTTTCATGAGTCTCTTGTACAATTGAATTAGGTTTTTCGGTGGTTGTAACAGGCACCATTGGAGGTAATATGAATGAAAGATTTTCTTCAGTAGTGATAGATTTTTCATCATGGTGTGAAGAGGAATTTATGCCAATTTCTTGTTGAATGGGATTAGACTGTTCAGTAGTTGTAGAAGAAATCACTGGTAGCAGTACTGATGAAACCGTGTTTTTGTTAATGATGGGTTTTTTATTTTGTTGTTGTTCATTAATAGGAAGAGATTTTGATGAAACTTGTCTCTCATTTTCAGAATCGAAAGATTGATTTTTAGATAATTGTTGTAGAAGAGGAGTTGAATTAGTTTTATTGTTCGATAAACTATAATTTGATCTTGAATATGCATTTTCAATTGACAGTAATTCTGAACGTTTAATGATTGGCAATGATTTTTTATGCTGATCAACAAACGTTGTTTGAGTCATACGTTTACTTGATTGACGATCAAGTGATCGTGTTGCTGTTGAACTACGATTAGTTAATCTTATTTCTGATTCATCAACAGAAATTCTGTTATCTAAAAATCTTCTTTTATGCAAGCGACGTCGTCTAGCTAAACGTTCTTCTAATGTTTCTCTTTTATCATTCGACATATTTCAATAAAAGTACAATAAAAGTATCTAAAACAAATGTTTTTTTTATATACTTGAATAAAAGTGTGAAAAAGAAATGTTTCTTTTGTAAAAATCATGACAATTAAATATAAATGTCATATTCAAAGGAAATAATTTTCCGTCGTTTCTATGGGAAAATATAACATACTCTTCATTATATTTTTAAGAGTCTTTATTTTTTTTAATAGAAATAAAATGACAAAATTCATTTTTTTTTGTTCTACTGAAATAAATAAATCATTTGAATTTTTTGATATAGAACTAAAAGATTGCATAAATAAGGAGATGATGCGTGAATCCATTCAATTGTGTGAATGATGATGATGAGATGAAGTATAAAATGACCAAACAATATCTTGAATGAATGAATACATACAAGTTTCTTTTTATTTCTTCATCAGTTGAGTACCAACTGTTTCTTTTTTTCTCTTGATGATAATTGAACTGTAGAAGAGCATATGAAAAAATCTAGAGTACCACTTTTACTTTTTTCTTATTATGAAATCAAAGAATTTTGAGATGATATTTATTTATTATGAAAGATCCAATATATTATTGACTATAATCTTTTGTTGATTTAAATGCAACTAATTACAAATAAATAAGATATGCTGAAAAATTTTATGATTTCTTTAAGTTTCAACTAAAATATAATATTATAAATTTTTAACGTGTCATGGACAAATACAAACAGATATAAATAACGTCAACTTCAAAAGGTAAGTGTAAGGATGAAAAAAAAGGACCTTTCACGCTTTTTAAGAAATGCTCCATGAAGACTTTAAAATTCGTTCATTTGAAATAACCTTCATCAACATATTTGAGAATATATATAATACCTTCAAAAGGATATTATTATTACGTTCATTAACAATTCATATATATATATACATATATGTAAGGATGCTTCAGAACAATTTCATTTCTTTCTTTCTTTCTTTCTTTCAGACTAATGAAATTATTGACAATTCGAAGTAGTTGTTCGTACAAGGTAACATATTTTCTATCATAGAATCAATGAATAAGATATATCCTTGAGCTGACGAATGATCATACACGTGCATCTAGTGAACATGCAAGAAGAATGCGAGACTATTAGACACGCAGGGTAATGTTTGTTCTATCATAAACGTTGCAATTTCTTTTGATTATGTAATTCTTAAGTCATGCATATGGAATATTTGAGTTTCATCTCAATCAACATCTCATTTCTAGATATAGACATTAATCGATGTCTTATTATTTCTCATGTCATTAACATATATTTTTACTCATCTTCTAATGTTTTCAATTTATTTTATTTGTTTTGCAAATCATCGTCATCATCGACAACATTTACAAATTCATTGGAATTCATCAAATATACTTTTTCATACATCCGGTTTTTTAACTGTTTATCTTGGAGATTTAATTGATTTTCTTTGTCCTTATTATGAAGATCAATATTCGGATATTAATGTAGAATATAATACACTTTATCTTGTTAATGAAAATGATTATTATCGTTGTAATGCAACAAATTATAATCCATTATTAAAATGTAATAAACCATTTGATACACAACGATCAATTTATACATTATCAATATCAAAATATTTACCTTATCCAAATTTACCAGAATTTGATGATGGACATCTTTATTATTTTATATCAACATCATCTGGTCAATTATCAGACATCGATCAACGTTACAATGGTTTATGTTATTCAAAAAATATGAGACTAATTATTAATGTACAAAAATATTACCGACACTATTATGAAGAACATCGACGATGGCCAACACCTATAGTAGCTAAAAGAACAAATTTAAGTTTTATTGATTCAGATGAACGTTTTTTTTCTTTTTTATCATTATCTTCAATTACTAGGCAAAATTTTTATTTGACTCTCGTGATGCTTGTGTGTTGTTTACTGACTAAATCAAAAGCTTAATTGATTGTCTGTGTTTGTGTTTCGTGCTTTCTACTTCAGTAGTAGTGTAATATGATCTGATTAAATATTTTTCAATAGACAACTGTTGAGAAGAAATAGGAACAGAAAAAGAATGTCTGTTAGTTGGTCTGTCTATTTATCTTTATTTTGATTCATCTCCAAGTTCAAAAACATTTGATCATGAATTGTTCGTCATTAATAATCATCTTAATTGTCATTAATTCTACAATTAATAGAATTTCATCTAATTCAATATATTTTCACACTAAAACTCGTTCAACACAACTTATCAATCGAATGGTATTTGGTTCTACAACTGAATGTAGTATACGTTTAGGTGGTAAACAATTTACATTAAAATTTTATAAAATGATAACATGTCGTTATGTTGAAAATCTTTCAAATATTTATCCCTATTTATTAAAATATTCTCATGATATAACAGCACTTGAAATAACTGATTCAATTATTAAAAATTGGAATATAAATGAATATTCAAAAGTATTTCGTAAATTTGAATTTTTAATATTTCATCGAACAACAATTATAAATAAAACATTATGTCCATTTAATTCATTATCATCAAATTTATTTTATTTACATTTAACAAATTTTTCACCAAGTTTAGAAAATTTTTTTTCTAATCAATCATGTTCAATTATGAAACGTTTACATGTTCTTATACTTGATCATACAGATTTAGGTAATGAAAATATTCTATTAGATAAGTTTCCTAATTTACATATTTTACGATTAAATTTTTCTTCATTTAATCATCCATTAAATTATTCTTATATACGTTTATTTACATATTTACAAGATCTTTTCTTAAAAGTTAATGATGATTGTCATCGATGTGAATATGAATGGTTAAAATATGCAACACGAGATGATAACTATGTACTTTTTCGTATTAGTCCTAATTCTGGTTGTATGGATTGGAATAGAGGTGGAAAATTTGTTCAATGGCAATATGCACCATTATGTGGTTCATGTTCATTACCATTAATTATTAATAAAATAAAAACAAATGAGATTTGTAAAATGGAAGATGGAATAACAGAACATTATTGTAAAGCTTTTTATGGACAACAAAGTTTATTTCAACTATGGACAAATATGTTTGAAAAGAAAACTTTGAAAATAATGGAATTACCTTCAACAATGAGACCAAGTCAAGAATTTATGAAATCAAAATATACTACACCGATTATTAAACAATATAAAAGAGATATAAGTAGTATGGTATGTAAATTTTTAATCATGAGAAAAGTAATTTCACTAGAGAAATGAAGTTTCTGCACGAAGAATATAGATGGAAGAGTAAAAACACTCATGTGAATAAAACGAGGATAGATATGAAAGACAGATGTACAATTAAAAAAAGCACACACAAATTACAAATTTTATACGAGCCACGTCCATTAGAAACGAAATATAGGTTTAGAACAGTCTCTTTCTCATGATTCATGAAGTAGAAGAAAGCATGATGGATTTGACGAATTACTAGCTGTTGAAAGAAAATTTTTGTTCAAATTGTGAATTTTTCTTAAAAAGATTTCATTAATATGGACAATACATTAAATAATTTAATCTTTCCTTCATGAATAGCTTTGCTTTTACTAAACTAATTCTATCATGTAAACTATATCTATGCATATAAGAAAATTCTCAAGTTTTCATTGCCTTACAATAACGCCACAAATTAATTGAATTTCTTATGCTTTATTTTAAACTCAAGTTGAGAATGGCTTGTCCGGCTAACTCTGCTACTGGAAGAGTTAGTGTGTTATCGGCTCAGTGTATTTAATTGTTGTCATAAGTTTTGAATGGTTGACTAGAAAAACATGAGCAACATATTATTTTGACCTTGAAACAATACTCAACAAAATGTATTTTCATATTTTTTTGTACTTGCCTTGTTCCTTTGCCTCACAAAATAAAAGCATGAAAGAACTTGAAAACTTTTAATAACTCGAAGAATACTTCAGATTTTTATTCAGATAGACAAAGGAGTGAGCTTAGTACATTATAGTTCATTGTCAATAGATGAATCATGCGATGTCAACAAGTATTAGAGTTCAGATCTTTTTGCCAGATAGAACCCATACAATTTTTTTGTACGCTTAGGATTTAGCTAATGTCAGACTCATTCTTTCAAAAAAGAATGATTATTCTATTTTTGTATTTTTAATAGATTTAATAAAAAATATATCTTACGAGGGAATGTTTTTCAACTGATCAGTCGCTTTTGCATTTGGACTTAGTGCATAACGTAGACTTCAGTGAAATATGAAAAAACTCCAAAGGATAAATGTCCTTAGGCTTTCTGCTCAACTTTATAGGCATTTCATTAGAATTTTAGTCTCTGACATGGTAAATACAAACAAATCGAATGGTGGTATTTCGACCTGAGATTTTTTTGTATAGATAGATCTATTTGTTAGTATCATGGGATGAAAATTTCAGCTCAAAAGAATATTTCCTTCCCAAGTTACGAAAGTTCCAAAAATCATTTATATTCCATGAAAGATGCTAGAATTTTCTTTTTTCTTTTGAAACTTTAATATCTCGGGACGAAAATATTGTTTTGAGCTGAAACTTTCAGGATATTCCATCGGCAAATAAACCTCTCTGTAGACAAAATCTCAAATCGCAATTGGATCAATTGTGTTGTTACTATCTATCATGCCATTGACTAAACTTCTAGTAAAATGCCTATAACTCTGAACAGAAAGTTTAAAAGAAATTTATCTTTTGGAGTTTCCCCAAATATCACTTGAGTCTATCTTATGTACTGAGTTCAAATTCAAAAGTGATTGATTAGTTGCAAACGTTCCCTTGTTAATTGACTTTAACATATGTTTATAGTTTCCAACAACCACTCAATCATTGTTTATAAATAATGTGTTAAATATCATTTCTCCACCACCAATAACTAATTCAACAACATCTCAAACATCAACAATATCATTTTGGCAATCTCGTCTTGTTGTGACACGTAAACCCATTGATTTATTCAATCGATCTGCTTGTAATCCTATTATCGATAGTTTATATCGACCAAAAGTTCGTTTAAATCTTCCATCATTAATCGATCAATTATATAATATATCTCAACAATATACACCAAATTGTTCAAATATTCAATGTGATATTATTCATTCTGATTATCTTGGTCCACTTTGTTTAAAAAATGGTCTAACATATGCAAATATATGTGAAATATTATTGGCATTATGTACAAAACAACTTCATCCTTATAATTTACAAATTGATTATTTTGGTTCATGTGTAACAAATTGTTCATTAGTATCACGTTGCTATTCGAATAATGAAATATGTGTAATGACACCTAAACCACATTGTATATCACGTCAAAGAAATTGTACTGGTTTTTCACCAGTATGTGATACATATGGAAAAACATTTGTCAATCAATGTCATTTATCAAATTCTTTAGTATTTAATCAACCAAGACAAATAGCATATCGTGGACCTTGTCGATTAAATCGACAATGTACGAAAAATTTATGTAAATCAAATGAAATATGTATACAAACACAAGATAAATATCATTATCCAATTTGTATTAATTGTCATTTAAATGAAACAATGAAATTATGTTCATTTGAATTATTTTGTGGTGATAATAAAAGACAATATATTAATCGTTGTCAATTACATTATGAACGTTGTCAAACAAAAACATTTATTCAAATTGATTATTTTGGTGTTTGTCATCATCAAAATCATGATGATGAATATGAGATTGATAATTAAAATTTTAAAATTAACTTTTCATAGTCATCTACTGTTATCTTTTACTTATGTTTTATATATAAGAAAATAATAAATATGGATTAGTTTGAATCTTGTCTATTTCTTTAACTAGTTCTAGGGCGGCGATTATTCGAAACTTGAGCAAAACAATATTCTGTCATGTTCCAAGAGTGCTCGTCGAATTACCTACAGAGATGTAGTTTTTCACATATTCAAATGATATATTTGTAACGAAACTTAGAAAAATAAGGTTTAAAAAAATCAGAAAAGTTTATCAAAATGGAAATACGTTAAAAACATCAAGCCTCAATACTTAAAGGGTGTTCCAGATATTCTGAAACGATTTTAAGAATTCACCGTTCTCGCATTCTACAAAAGCAAATTCGCTGAAACTTTGGTAGATTGTTGTACATATGTCGTACTCCATAACTGCAAGGTTTCAGGTCTATTGCTTGTACTATGGATGAGAGCCTAGAACAACACTGTCATGTACTATTTTCGAAATTTTCCTGTATTCTGGGTCTGTCAAAATGTCTATATCTCGGCTTAGGTAGATGATAAAATCTTGAATTTTTTCTTAAAAGATGCGCCGTGAAAAGCTCTACAAAAATTGTAATAACAAATCCCTATTGACTTGTGTTCATACTCAAAATGAAAAAGCTACATGATAGTACGACTTCTCACCATACTGTAAGTAATAAAAAAAGGTTTGCAAGACCTTTTTGTTTTGCATGTATCTCAGCTTGAGAAAATGATAAAACCTTGACTTTTTTTCAAAAGATGCGCCGTCGAAAGCTCTACAAAAGCTGTATAAACAAATTCCTATTGGAAAACAAAAAAGTCTTCCAAACCTTTTTTTATTATGGTGAGAAGTCGTACTATCGTGTAGCTTTTTCATTTTGAGTATGACAAAGACCATTAACACAAGTCAATAGGGATTTGTTATTACAATTTTTGTAGAGCTTTTCACGGCGCATCTTTTTAAAAAAAATTCAAGATTTTATCATCTACCCAGCCCGAGATATAGATGAAATAAAAAAAAATGTTGCACATCCCGAAGATGACCAGGAAAATTTAAAAAATAGTACATGTCAGTGTTGTTCTAGGCTCTCATCCATAGTACAAGCTATAGACCTGAAACTTTGCAGTTATGTAGTACCACATATGTACAACAATCTACCAAAGTTTCAGCGAATTTGCTTTTGTAGAATGCGAGA